TCCAGAAGTGTGCCTCTATTTTAACCAATCCTCTTTGATTACGACGCTGCTCCTCCCGCAGTGCTGCGTCGATTGCCTGAGCATCAGATGCCAAACTGACAGCTCTGGCAGCGCGTTGTTGACATTACCAGTGACATTCAGTTGCATTCAGTGATTACGAGGCGAAGGTACTCACATCATCCGTCATCACCTGGACAACCTCATCCCCGAGGAACATCCGCTCACCACCAACTCATTACCCGGGTGTTTAAACGTGAGGATTCTTCATTTATCCCAATTACTCCCACAACAAACAAGAAACCTCACTCTCAATTTTCACTAGTCCTCAACCTCGTTCACATCATCTTCTTCCCATATTGATCCAACCGAGGGGAATAATGCAATCCCATTATTCCCATGTCGTGTCTTCTCCGGGGTACAACTTCAAATCTCCGGAGATAAATAAAAGTAAAACGCCAGTCGTGTACTACGAGGCACGATAGTCACCGTTGCTCCCCACCTTTTCCTCTTTTTCCTTTATTTTTCATTTCTTTTTTTTTTTCAATTCTATTGCAATTTTTTTTGCTCTTTCGCGTTTGCCGGCGTCACTTTCTAACAAAGCGCATCAATCTCCGGGGGAATCTCCGGGGATTGCAGTCTCGGAAAAACAACAAACGAAATTACTGGGGTGGGGCGTGCGCCTCGGGATCGATTCCTCTCGAAAGCCCGCGGGCTCTATAATTAGAGGAGCTCCACTCTTATTTATTCTTTCGTTATCATTTTTTCAGGGGTAAGGGGATGCAGTTGATAGTACTCCCTGGGATCGATCATCGGTGGGTTTCATTGACGGTGAGACGTCCTTTAATTTTTAAAGCACTCCAGCGCTTGCTCACCACCCAGCTTTATACATTTTTTCTCTCACATTTCCCTTCTTTTTTCACCTTTTGCGTGGGAGTGATGGAAATGGGTGTCTTAATGAGGCGAAACTGTTGTAACGTGCACTGCAGGGGACAAATCAATGTCGCGGTACGATAAATGCGCGTTTTGCCTGGGTTACGTTAACATTGGGTCATGCGTCGGCGTTGACTGCGGTATATGCCACGAATAGGGCGTTAATATATTTAGAAAATGCGTCGAGGGATGAAGCGACCTTTCCATCCCTTTTTTAAGAACGTACACTCGAAATCGTACTTACGATACGGTTTTTAAATCCAAGATCCACGTTACAGCTGCTGAAATCATGAAACTTCTCCAGGTTGAACTTTTAATTTTGCAGGATTTTTTTTTAATCGAATTGAAACGGTCTTCCGGTACCTGAATTAACAAGTGATTGGTGGACTGTTGTCGGTGATGTGAGTGGAATTGAGGTGGAACAGGTGTTGACGTTTATTTCGGAATGAATTCTGGTGGCGATGATCTGGGCGGACTAGCTGGGGAGGTATGGAAGCTGAAGACAGCCTGGCTCATCAGGGCCTTCATCAGCAGCTCGCCCTACCCTCGGGAATCCCCGGTCTCGATGTCGTAAGGGCCCTTCACCAGGTGCGCTAATCGATTATCTTTCAATTCCGTTTATTGCATAACTTTTCATTTCACGGGCTTGTGCACTTGTTTGGAAGAAGGGGAGGGCAATGCTTTGTGAGAATTATCGCATTGTCAATATCTCCTGAGCCATTGATTGAGGTGAAGATTAATTGGATACAGTATTGAATTTGAAAACAATGTATTCAGAAAAAAATTATCAGAATTAATTGTGGAGCTGTGGTATACTGGCATCTCGAGGTATTGACAATCAGACACTTGGTTTTTTTTTCAGCTGTTCACTTGAACTATTTAATGCTTGAGAATCTCTCGAACTCCTCCAGCTTTTCCCTCCACAAAAATGACAACAGCTGTTGACAGACAGCCAATTCTCCCCCTCATTAATTACCCTTTGCAGTGACTCCCGGAGTTTGAAGAACCCTCGCTTTGTAATTGAGAATAAATTCAAGCCTGAAAGTCCTGAGTCTCAAGGACACTTATCTCATGTCAGTACACCGCAATTGCAATTCTCAATTCCAGCTGCACAAGTTTTAATTAAACTAAATCAGATCTCGCTTTAATTTGAGAGGTATTCATTCAATGAGAAAATATTATGAGACTTGAATGAATCGAAAAATGTCAATCTGACGACGTGAGGACGATAAAAATGTAGAATTTCTGATAATGCAGACGGTAATATCCCTGCGAAGTGCATTGGACTCGTCTAAAGCGGAGCTCCGTCGGCTCCGAGAGATAGTCGGTGATTATCACACCGAAAATTACATCGAGACCGTTGAACGCCTGTCTCTGGAGAATCACGTACTCCGTCGACGTATACTCGATAAAGATAATACGAGGATAAACGATGAACCAGTGGATACCGAACCGTCGACGAGGGCCAACGAAAACCCTCCAGTACTTTTAATAAGTGAACAGTGAGTGGTTTAATTTTATTTTGCACAGAGATTATTATTTTAATTTTTACCCGTGGAGTTGATACTAAACACCAAGTAATGACGGTCCATTGAGGACAATTAGCGCAGTTTGACGTTATCCAAGACAATTAACACAGTTTAAACATCAGTCCTTCAGAAGTTAAATCGACAATGGACGAGGCTGACTCATCAGCCACCGAAATAAAGGAGAATGCCAAAGGGGAAGAGGAGAATTCTCAACCGGAAGTTGGCGATGTCGGGGAGGTACCTGTAAAGAGCACCCAGGATCTCCTCGATGTACCGGAAAAGGATCCGGAGGACGTGAGCCTCCGGAGTGTATCAGATGGTGATAATTCCGTATTCAGTGACAATCCCGATTGCAGCAATCTCCAATTGACGCCTGAAGTGAAGAATGCAGAGTCGGAGAATGAGTCTGAGGAGCTCGATGATATAGAATTGATATTCACGACTGAAGAGACATGCAGCAGAGACGTTGCCCTCCAGGAGGATCTCGTGTCAATCACCGAGGGTGAGACCTGGCAGCACAGCGCACAACCTGTTCTCCTCAAGTACACCAAGACCCGTGAGGAGCCACTGGTATGCAATGGTGAGAAAACGGGGAACAGCTCCGTCGAGGAGGCCCTCTCATCCCAGAGCTCATCCATCGATCGCGAGGAGAGTGTTGATAGATTTGACGAGAGCTCCAGCAACAGGCTTAATAAAATTTGGTCACAGTGCTCTGTTCTTGTTGAAACTGATATCAGCAAGTGTGGAGTTGTTGAAGAGACTGACAGTGGTACCAGGCATAATGCAGCCAGGAGAAATACACTTGCAGCACCACCAACTGCTTACAGGTAAAAAAGAATAAATTAAAAAATCGTGAATTTCAGGATGACAGATTGTATTTTGATAACAGGCCCATTATACATCGTGAAGCGGTTGCTGCGGGTAGGAGAAAGAGCTCTGCACCTCTGCGTCCTGTCATGGATCGCAGCTGCGGTGCAAGACGTGAATCCGGTGCTCAAACAGATATCTCAGCGCTTCCTGCACAATGGCGCTCAGAGAGCTATCTTGCGCACAAAGTGGCTCACACATTCACCACGTTACCCAGTAAATTTGCACTTCCTGCTGGTGTTGCTGGTAGATTGAGAATATCCGACAAAACGAGGAGCGAAGCGAGAAGGGTCATGCTCTCTGATATAAGTTTCACGAGTATGGTCCCAGAGTTATCCAGGAGTGCTGATCATCTCTGTCATGATGCCCACTCTCAGGTAAATTAATTATTAATCATTATTTTATTACACCTCGTATTTTTGTATTCAATATCAATGATTAATCCATTGATCTATTGATTAATCCAGAATTGCTTCAACTCTCGTGGATGTGGAATTCGCACACCAGATGTTAATCGTCGAGAGTCCCTAGGTTCTCCAGCTGGTTACTGGCCACGATGCAACACAGGCACTGGACTTCCAAGCCCCTGTGATTGTCGGCTATCAACGGATCTCTATTCCTCTAGATATCGTGGATCGTTGACTTCGATTCCTTCCCCTGGGCTTGAGGTCGTTGGTGGACCACCCAGGAGGCACTCCTGGCGTGCCAATGCTGCATCCTTCGATACCTGGAAGGTTCCAGCTACCACTTCCACACCCAGGCCCACCTGGTCCTCCATGCCATCCTCACCGACTCATATTCATCCACCAGGCGTCAGGGGCGCGAAAAATCCACCGAAACGAACGCGTTCCAAAGTTACGTTTCAGGGTGAGTCTATTTTTTCATTTGATTTGAAATGTATACAGCTGGGGTTTTGCCTGATGGGATTTTTCTTTCATCTGGTGTTATTAGAGTGCCCGATGATCAGGGGAAGTCTCCCGAATTTACGGTCAGATGTTATTGCCAGTGAGAATAGTGGGGATTCCACTGAATCTCTTATTGACGAGGCTGAGGAATATCTCAGACGCAGTATCGATTCCATGTTGACTATTTCGAGTGATTATTGGAGTCGACAGTCAGCCAGACGGAGACGAGCCAGGAGACACTCCGAGCCGGACCTCTTCAGGGAGTGGAATCCACCGCAGGACGCCAGGCCATATTTACCAAAGGTAAAAACTATTACTATTTTATTTATTAATTTTTCTGTAAAGCTGAAAAATCATTGATATAATGAGAGAAGAGGAAAGAGTTCATCAATTTCTTGTTCCAAATTGTTGGTTAAAATTAGATTCCACGAGATTTAAAATTGGATCACCTAGTGAAAGTGATATCTCCGGAGGGTCGAGTGCTTCAAGGAAGAGTTCGGTACATCGGGCCAGTGCCAGGTAGAGAGGATATTCATGTTGGTGTTGAGCTACCCACGGAATCAGGCGGATCTGACGGTACATTTCATGGGCGACGTTTCTTCGACTGCGAGCAAGATCGTGCTGTATTCGTTCCCTTCAAAAAAGTTGTTCTCGCGTGGTGCACCACCTGACCCGAACCCCCCGGTGGCGTCGGTACCGGCTCGTTCCCAACGCCAAGGATTCTTCTCTCTCAGTACACTATGTAAAATCGATACAGCAAACCACGGATTATCGTACATACTTCGATAAAATTTATCGTGAGTAAATGCAAACAAGTTGGAGGGATGGCTGGCGTGTCCCAGGGACTCCTGGGTGTTTGACCACTCCATATTTTTTTTTTTCGGACATCAAAGGAAGAAATGAAAGTGTCTTGGACACGACGAGACAAATCGACCTTCAATCGTCAATATCTCCGGACGTGACGACACGATTTCCATAAATCTCGTATGAATTTCAACTCTGGAAAATTATCTTGAAGCTCAAGGTAAATAATTCAAATTTCTCTCTATCGCTCTTGAATTATTGATGATTGATTGGTCGATTATTTTGGGGTAGTAAGGGATAGGGTGAAATGATGAGGAATTTATTTTGCGAATAATCTTGCCGAGATAGAAATAGAGAACTAGGCAGTACATGAAATAGATTGAGGAGCTTTTTATGAATCATATCGAAGGGTCTCGGAGTGGCCTCGAGCTGGATTTGAGTTATCAGTTTGGATATTCTGGTAACTGTTAAAATAGCAAACATAGATGTGTCTCTATGTCAACGTGTAAACTGATCGTCAATGGTGGCGGAGAAGCCACTGAATGGTTCAATTAATCTGCCGTACCATAACGGCAGAGTATATTGTTTATTTTATCAGATTAAGGATGATGTTTTGGGGGAGGGGGAATTGAGTTCAAGTTGGCTGTCAATTGCCAATTCACGAGGGTACCTGTCGTTGATGACTGACGTTCATTAAATTATTACATTTTCCGGTGGTCGATTCGTTATTTCCGTTCGATTTGCCTTAAAATTGCATTATATCCCAATTTATTGAGCATTTTCTCGATTTATCTAATGAACTGTTGATGCGAGGAGAAATTGTCAAAAGGCTTTTTTGTCGGGAATTTAATTAACGGCAAAAAAAGTCATTTGGTGTTTTAGCCTTCGATCGATAGTTGTGGCGGTAAATTGGTAATTAAGAAAGATGTAAATTGGAATTATCTCAATTCACCACTTTGTTACCAAATTATTAGAAACCTTAGTGGTTTCCAATGGCGGTGAGTCCTCCATCAACACCGTAAACTCGATTAATCGCACTAAAAGCCCTCACCTAATAAACTCCATTCGAAACTCGTGTGTTACGTCAAAGTTTCGTTATCGTTTTCACCGAGTATCTCAGGCAACCAGTGAAAATGAGGCTTCACATCGCGTGTCAACTCTTCCATTCGTAAAAATGGAAAAATTCAAGATGCATCACAAACGGCCAAACACACTCCACCAATTAATAACGCACGTATGAAATAAATTGATTGAAAATCTCAATTTCTCAGAGGGTTACCCTGAAATTTCTCAAGAGAGCGCAAGGTTTTTTTATTAATTTCTTTCAAAACGTACGATTTATCGCCATTTCAGTACAACTACGCATAATCTTTATTTTTCGTTATGTTATACTTGAGTACAATTAATTTGTGATGATGCTTACGTTTATTTTAGTTTAAAGTCTCGATGGAGCATTGGAAAAAACGCAGTATTGTTTATTGACTTACAAAGATTAGGAGTCTCTTTAGAGAATCAGAGGGTCTCGGTTTATTTGAATTATTAGGGAAACGCCATGGTGCACTGTTTTATTCCCAAAGTAGTCGCTTTACCCCGCAATTTATTTAACTAGATCTCGATTTTTATTTTTTACTTTTCATTGAGTTGATGAATTTTTTACGTGCACGTACTTACGATGGACCTTGTTTGGAAAATTGTTTTTTTTTTCGTGGGAGGACGAAATGAGGAAAGATAATGCAAACGTACCTGCTTCGATGATCGCGCGAATTGTTTAAGGATTTTTATCACCAAGAGTTCATTCCATTTTTTTCTCTGGGAGAATTACTTTATCAAATAAAAAATTGACGTATAAAAGGAATAATGAGAAAATTAATCGTAATAATAATTAAATCAATGAGATCAAATTGATTTGTTTAAACAATTTTGCCGAGTACTTTTAAAACTGGATAAATATCCTTAATCGTGCGATCATTAAATTCTGTCTCTGTCTACAATCGCGATTGTAATCTATTGATTTATATATAAATATGAATATATCTGGAGAATCTATATGAGATATATATAAATGCGTATATATATTGTATAAATAATAGGAAAAGGAGTGAGGGGAGTAGATAACGGAATGTTTCCAGGAAATAGAGTGAATAATATATGGTTAATCGATGGATGTTGGAAAATCTATTAAATTTTCAGTGTCTCGGTGTAACTAGATAGAATAATTTGGCATTCAGTGATATCGAGTATCAACTCGATGAAATAACGGATTATTACGATTTAGTTGAGATAGATGCAGTTTTAATATATTTAAATACAAAATACGTGTATATTTTTTACTTTTCCAACGATTTGATTACGAGAATTTTCATTACTTTTTTTTTTATTGATTTTCTGAATTGTCTCGGTCCACCAATTCGGTCGCAATATCGAAAGTCGTTGATAAAAAATGGTGATAGACATGCTCTCTAATTTCAATCGATCCCGACGCGGGTTATCGGCAAGTAATTGAAAATATTTGTCTATTAATAATTTGTTATCGCACCATCAAACGAGATCTCGACGATGCGTGGATCGGACTATTTTATTTAATTACCAGAGTAAAATTTCGCTTTAAAATTTGAGTCTGAGAACAAAAAAAAAAGTGACATCTGCGCATTCCTGACAAGTGTAAAGGGTTTTGGAAATGATAAACCAAGTGTACCGAAGAAAATAAATCTATTATTACTGTACTGGATGATTGCGTATATTTTTATTATTATTTACACAGGAATCGATACCCTGGATCTCTGAATGTCCTTTTCATCAATGATGTGCGGGATAATCAGTGTACCAGCTGTACGCACCATTCATACCAGTTTGTGCTCCAAAATCAACGTAATCTAGTATTTGGGCGGTCGATCTCTCGATTCTAGGCACTTGGCTCTCGGTTTCCTGTTGATTTGACACCAGGTAAGCCTCGGTTTGACGTGGATAACGCGGTGCCGGGGGTAGAATTGGATTCACCTCTATAACATCGATCCCATCAATGGGAATTGCGATGTATCTCGTCCCGGCGGCTGCCATGGAGACACCAGTCACGAGGAGGAGAACGCACTGCAATTCAAGTTCGAGTTTATTGTTGCAGTCCGCTGTTTCCCTTGACGAGATACCAGAAAAACGGGTCAAGGGGATTGGCTGAGTCTCAGGACAGACTGCCTGGCGTCGACAGGATATTTCACGGGTTTATGGATTTTTTTTTTCATTACCCTGAGGGGAATCGTCGACTTGGGGTCAAATAAATAATCTTACAATTTTTCATCTCCATGGATAAATGTCTAAAAATCCATGTATTCCCGCAGTATATATAATACAGGTGTATTTATATAAATTTCATATTGAAAAAAAAATATAATTGTCGAATTACATATTTTTTCGAGTGAAAATCCCGCGATTCGCGACTGAATGAATTTTTTGCCCATTTCGACGTAATGTTTAACGTAAAAAGTGATGGGAGCACTTGAAAATCGGCGGAATGAAGTAAAAATTGAGGTGAACCGGGATAAATCCCGAGATTACTCCCGGGAATAGCGGCCCACGCGTTGTGGGTGTTGAGGGTCGACCCAGTTTCACTGATAATTTCAATTTAGAGAAACTCTAGTTCAACTCAACCCAAAATACCGATGCGCCTTTGAAATGGAGACTGTTCTAATTGATCAATCAACAAAACTATCCAATAAGGACTGATGCAGCTGATGCGGATGCACCAATTAAATGTTACGCTCATTAATTAATTACGTCACGCGTGTCATTCAACGAAACATCACCGTAAATCCGATTCGACCCACGTATTTACCAAGTTATTCATGTTGAGAGCTGTTATGGCTTCTGGCTGATGATTATCGTAAAACTGAATTGTTGAGGAAACGAGGGGACTCATTTTATAAGCCGTCTCGCATCGATGACACTCGCTTTCACGTGGATACAATTCTAAGATTATTGTTTTCTTGTTTTCTTTTCTCGTTTTGGGTTTTAAATGACGGGGATAAGAAATGCTACATCAACTTCCAGAGTATTTGTGGAGGTAATCGACGAGTTGAGACTTCCGATCACGTTTTTTATCGGCATTTTCTTTTTGATGTGGTTTCAAGTGAAATTGATTTACAAAGGGAGCAACAAACTCTGTCTTACTCTCAATTTTGTAGTTTTTATTGATCATTTTTTATTGTAGAAATCAGCAATGTTTTCTTTTTTATAAAAATAGTCATCTTTGAGTTTAATGAAAATCAAAATAAAGAAATGAAGCTTTTTCGCTTTTTTTAAATGACTCAACTGTACAGAAAATATTAGCTTTAACATTTTGTACTAACGATTAACAAGTCTTGTTTCGATGAGTTCTCGTAGAAATCTCGATCCTCGATGGCCATTGAAAATAAAAATGAATAAATTTGAGTATGAGTGAAAAATAAACTAATGAGATAGAACACAACCTAAACGATTTCGTTGCATAACTCCTCCAACCGAAAATAAATCTCGTGCGAAATGGAAAAAGCAAATATTTACTTTTTATCATGAACGTGACAGGTCTTTGCAGAACTCAGCGAGAAGAGATTAACTTCCTGACGCAAGTCACATACTTGTTATCGAGGAAACTAGAATACGAGGAAGGAAACTCGGAACTATAAACTCTGAACTAGCGATGTCAACTTTTAATAGTTTTTCTCTCGTCCAGCGAGGTGTGATAGAATGTCAATGAGGTATCGATTTGATTTGTACACTCTAGAACATCTCGAGGCTATCGTCCTCATCGTCATCGGCCTCGTAGCCTGCTGGAACAGGTGCGTTCCTGGAGTTCCACTGGGAATTTGAAATCAATTTTTGTTCATTTCCATTGGTGTACGTCGACTGGCCTTCAGACTTGATTAAATTTGCTGTAGAATCCTTCACTGGTGTCACGAGATCGACTTCCTCGACGGGGACCCTCTGTTTCTGAAGTAATCAAGGAATACCGAATAAAAAGAACGACAAAAATTCCCCAGCGATGAGAAAAAATAATCGAATTACAGAAATACCTTAGGAGTAATCAAATCGATCTCTTCGATGACTTCAGGCTGTTTATCTGGTATTATTTTATGGGATCTCGGGGGCAGAGGAGATTTTAATGACGTGGGGCTCGAACTGTCCTGACTTGGTCTGGATAACGATAGAGTTGAACTGGCAGCTGACCAACTGTCTTCGATTGGTACTGCCAAATTCTCCATCACCAGTTGCTTTCCGATATTCACATCCTATTAAAAAATTATATAAACAAATAAAAAAATGAATAAATGATCACAATTCCAGAATTAATTACCAGATTATCATTCCTATCGAATAAATCAACACTAGGAATGGGTGATCCTTCCCTCCTGGACATTCCCTGACCCAAGGCACGTTCCTTGAAACCACGGACTTTGGTAATTAGCACCTTCCACTGGGCAGAATGTACCAATTCCTCAAATCTGTCGCACGCCTCTTGGCTCCACTCCTCATCTCTGTGAAATTAACCGAATAATTTCGTTGACTAGAGTTCCTGGATTACTGAACGGGGAATTGTCATTAGGAGAATTTCAATGATCAATTCATCCTTTGTGATTAATAATTTTGCATTAATAATTCAGGAGTTGTATCAATCACAGCTCAATCAATACCTACTGAGGGAATAAATCGAGTCACCATGGACTTGATGAATAATGCATACAAGATTTCCCCGGTGAATACACCACAATGGCTCTAGCAAATCAGCTAGAGTTGGCCTTTTCCCTCATATTAATCATTAGAGATTCGTGCAGATTCTCCGCAGTTGTCCCACGAGCTTTCGCGGGAACTTCCGGTTGATATCGTCACGATTTTACGATCAGTTTCATGAAATCGCTTGTGAAATTTGAATTTATGAGATTCAACGATTTTTATTGGAAAGCAAGTTCACAGGATTTTTCATTGTTTATTTATTGTTCATCGTATTTGTGAATAAAATCACTGGACATCAATTACTCCGGGCAATTTGGAGAGGGATTTATTTTCATTTCAAACCATTGAAATTGAGTTGTTGCACTTAATGATATCCTGAATATAGAACAGTTTAAATTGATTCAATGGTCGCATTAATCCTGACGGATAGATTGGCGTAGGTTGCCCGAAGCAGCTATTCCATTTATAAAGTACACACTACGTTGTCTCAATACGTGCCAAAGAAAAACAAGAATTACAACAACGGGAGCCACAGACCTCTCAAAGAAGTCAGTCGTATCTTTGGAGAGGAATCGGTAACAGTCCCCTGGAGTTTTCCAAAAGTTATCATTGATATTCATTAAATTCATTCGATTAACTCAGAATAGAAAACAAAATGGGAATTTATCCCCCGTGGAATTCAACTGACGCATTAATAAATATTCATAAGTAGTTGCTTTCAATGAATAAATCAATTCTTTTGTTCAATTTTCAACAATCGTGACTGGAAAAGTCAATATACTTTCTGTGCAATTTCCGTTGACAATCTGTCGCACGTACGCGGTGATTAATATTCATCGTGTAATTAATCTCGCGTTGGTTTATCGATCTCTCGTCATCGTTGATTTCACGTGAGGTAAGTCAAGGACTCCAGTGTTTCACACCCCCAGGGTTGAACATGGTACTCCAGCTCGTTGAATAATTATTATTGATTCGGTGATGCACACGCCATTGATAACTCGGCCACTCAATCAGAGCATTAAAAATTTCAATGACATTTTAATCAGGTGTAATTCCATTCATCATCTAGAATTATCTCTGGATAATTTTGAATGGTAAAAATTTTTAGAGTTTCGAAAATTGTGATGCAATCGAACGAGAGAAATTCTCGCAATACGGAAGGACTGGTGGAATCTTGGTCGTATGCCAGGGGGATAGTACCACAAATTGGGTATAATTTATGACTCCTCGAACAACAACAGACAAGCACTCCGGTATTATTGAATAAAATGCGGGAAATGGAATTTTTTTTTTAAGTAGCTAAAGCCGAATTGATAAGCTCGATTTTAATTTCGGATATCGTGCAGACTCTTTCAGTGGAAGGCACGAAAAGTTGCTTAATTGTCTGCGTGCCAGTTGCCCCAGCAATTCCCTTCGAAGTTAGGATTGCACTTGTTACGAGGTGTATCATATCGCACGAGGGATCACGTTATTTAATCCCCGGAGGAACTTCCAATGATTCTTACCAACTTATCCCTCTCCCATATCCCATCGATAACTGTCAATGAAAAATAATATCCTGGGGATTTTCATTCGTTATCGGTTGCTGCTGGATATTCTGTGGGATTGATTGGAATTTTTTGGATATCTACGAGTGAATGTTTCTGCCTTCACCGCATTTTTATGCGAAGGCCGATGAAAGGGAACGGTTAATGAAGCTTTTTGTTGCAGGTGCACTAGTAACTGCAGAATGGAGTTACTCGTTCCAACGGTTTCCGATATTGTCTTCAAGTACTCGTGGCCCATCAAGAGCTACAAGAAAACAGTCTCCAAGAAAACATTTATCGATAGTCCCAGCTTTGATCTGAATGTCAATGGAATCCGCAGCACCTGGAGTCTCTCCATCAGGTTCTGGAAGGGGCCTGAGGGCAAGTTTATGGATCACAATGAGATTGAATTTTTTTTAGAAACTCAATTCGATAAAGAAAATGATGAAAATCCCGTTTGCAGGGAAAAGGATCACGAATCCTGTTGTACTCTGTCTGAATATGCTCAGCTGTTCCGTGGAGGAAGTGGAGCAGGCAAAAATACGATTTCAATTCGCTGTATTCAACGCCAATATCAATCACTGGGAGTTCTGCCAAGTCAGTAGAACTGTCCTCGAGCTTAAGACCACGAAGGACATAATTTCCCTGGGGTACAGAGACCTGTCGATCGTCGATCGGCATTACAAGAAAAACGGAGAGGTATCGGTGATGGTGAAGATACAGATTATTCAGTGTGAAGTCGAGAAGAACAGTCTGGCACAGGTATTCATTGAAATATTGATCCGTCCAATTCATTCGGGGGTTCGTAGATCAGCGGGAATTTATGGCATTTAATTTCCAGGATATGGCAAGACTGCTGAAGCATCCCAAGTCTGTAGACACCAAGTTGACCTGTGGTGGAAGCTCAGCCCACACTGAAATTCCAGTGCACGCCAGTGTAATTGCGGCGAGGAGTGATGTACTGGCTGATATGATAGTGCCAGTCATTGAAATTGATCCACCAAACTCTGACCAGGGAGACAGCGAGAAGAGTGTAATGAATGTATGAAGCATGAGCTTCGCAAATGATTTGTCTCACTTGGATGGCATGATTTATGAATTTTGTGTGCCTAGTAATTCTAATGATGCATTTACTGTTTTATTCAACAGCTCGCTGAATACAACTGAATTATTTTTGCTTGGTTGGTGTTGTTATTCTAGATTTAGAAACGCTTCTGCACGCGTGTTTTTGAGGTAATGAGAACAGAGGAGAGTATTGATTTAATCCCCTTAGATGCCCTATCGGTTCACCCTGGACTTGACAGATCTCTCGCCTGAATTGACTGAGGAGCTTTTGAGATACATTTACACCGATCACGTGGATAATCTCGATTTTCTAGCGAGTCAACTTCTAGCCATTGCTGAGAGATTCAGACTCAAGGGTAAGGATGTCTCTAATAAATATGGCTCGATAATGATGATGAAATTTTTGACAGGTTTGAAAGAACTCTGTGAGAGAAATCTCATCGAAACTCTCACCCCGGAGAATGTCGCGTCTCTTTTACTGATGGCTGACGAATTTAATTCCGACTGTCTCAAGAGAGCGGGACTCGCCTACTGCGAGGAGAATGCCATGAATATTAATAAGAGCTTCGCCTGGAAAATCATGGAGCAGGTCAACCCTGAACTCTTCCATGAGGCGTGCGAGGCTGGCATTGGGGGGTCACAGTCCAGCAATATGGACGACAGCGAATTGAGCAATTGATAATTTTTCAGGGAAGCTGGGACAAAATGGGCATTCAATTTTTTTTGAAATTCAATTAATTGCGCTAGTGATTTAAATCCAAATAAAAAATATATCGTGAATGTCTATTTTGTCCCGCCATTCTCTGATAACTGCACATTTTCCTTTTGCGTTTATTTGAAAATGAATGACTGAATAAAATTTATGAAATCAATTATTGGAGCACTTACTTGGGCTTCACGTTGGCCAGAGAGAACTCGATGGCCTGGAAGCGAAGGCTCAGGAAGTCGGTTCGAAGCTCGAGGATGTCTGTGACAGATATTACTGAGTGATCTCCATAATCCAAGAAGAAGGCCTCGTACTGGCCATTCCCGATGGAGGACGTGATCTCGGCGCGGTACCAGCAGTTGTCGAAGTCGAATCTAGCCGCCACTGTTTCCCCCTCCGAAATCTACACAAAAAAATCAATTAAAAAAAACGAAATATTTCAATTTAAATTCTCAATCTCGAGCTCTTACGTGAATTAGAGTGTGGAGCTCTCGATTTTCTTCATCATTGTAGTAATCAGTCATAGCCTTGACCAAATCATCGAGGGCTAGAGTGCCAGGGCCGACAACTTGGACCCAGAATTGACTTGGGGAGAATGTCGCACTCACATAAACTTCTTTCGTGCCCTCTGCAATAATCCAATTAACAGAATTAATTCAAAATTAATTATAAAAAAAGATTATCCTCCAGAGGATTGAATATTCCTTGAAAATATAATTTACCACTGACTCCAGACGTTTCTCCAGGTGTTACTTGACTCTCATTAGACCCAGTGGTACTGGCTGTACTCCTCGGAGAAATTTTTCCTCGTGGAGATCTTGAGGACTGCCCCAATTTTATTTTCTCCTCCATGTCATTAAAATCTCGGAGTTTCTCTTGAATTTCAGTCAGAGCTGTTGCAATCTGCTCGGCAGTTCCCTTTATAATGACTCGTCTCTTCGCATCTGAAGAAAAATCCAAATGAGTTCCCAAATGGTGAAATAATTCAAATTTATTGAATACCTGGATCACGAGTGTACAACTTCTCCATGATGATCTTGGCATTGGCGAAAGACTGGATGACCTCGACTCTCCTATTAACAAGTAAAGAAGAGCAGAATTTCTGTGGTGCGAGCATTTCGTATACCTCGATGACAGGCTGATTGTTGATGAGATTCTGGATGATCTGCTCAGCCAATCTCGTCTCCTCGATTTCACCTCGAATGTAGCAGATCCTCTCTGACTCCTCCAGTTTGTCCTCGCTGAAGTGAATTCTCGTTGATGTTCTACTCTCAATATCTTTCACTGTACTTCCTCCACGTCCTATTATTGCTGGAACTGCAGCTTTTGGAACCTTCACCTCTGCTGTGTAAAGGTGTTTCCTGGGACGAGACCTAATGCTCTTCTCCCCATCCTTGATCAAACAAGTGATTCATCAACTTCTTCATCTCTTCGTTACAAATTTATCACATAAACAATCAATTATTTTCAGTTTACCTTTTTGTATAATAAATATAATACTCCAACACAAGCACCAGTCAATGACATTCCAATCACCAGTGGAAGAGCTATTTGTTTCGACACCCACTTCATCCTGTACCTATTGAATAATTCATCATCAGACGTAACAGTGAATAGAAAACAGTAAAAAATAGGGACTTCTTCATGATGTAACCTCAAAACCCAAACAGGTCGGGGCTCTTTGGTGTTATCAGAGGAAATTGAGGGATTCCGCGCCCCGAGGAGAGGTAATTACTCACAATTATGGGAAAGACCTCTGATGAATACTCTCGGTGTAATAATTCAAGGTGAACGCTAAACTATTTCAGAACATTTTGCACTGGTGCTTTCGAATGTACAGTGCTGCCAATACTGCAATTCCAACGGTTTTATTTTTTCTTCGTCGATTTATTTTGTAAACAAGAACGAGAGATGTTCACGGGGAATTCAGAAGGTCCAGAAAAAATGAAAATTGATGAGGAATCGAGGGGATTCAGAGAACTGCAGGTGTAATGAGCTCTTGTGTTGGTAATTGTTCAAACAATGTGGCAAAGTGATGCAATGACCGAGTTTAGAAGGTGACGCCAACCGGCTCGAATGCTCGAGGTTTTTTGCCTCTATTTTTTCACCGAAGACTTCTCCGGTATGTCAACAACGCACTCCGGTTTCTTTTCTTGATTGTCGAGACCTCAACTTCCTATCTACGATATTTTTTTGCAGCCTCTACTTGATGGAGATTATCGTTGAAAAAATACTCATTCTTCCTCATAAACTATTTGCTCAGGAGATGATTACAGTTGTTTGTTTTATAATTATACTGGATACTGGAGGATTGATAGCGAATTGTTAATTATTCTCAGGTTTTGAGCATTTGAGGAATATTGTGTCTCCCAGGCTCTCCTAAGTGTCACCTATCATCATCAGAATCCTCTTCGAAGGTCATGTTTCCCTGATAGAATCTAAGCATTTCTGCTTACACATCACTTTGAATCGCAGAAAACACGGGAATATCTCGACAGTTATTTTTTCGCGATATGCTTTCCTGGTTGAAAAAATATCGTCCCCTCAGTTCACCACCTGCATTTTACTTTCCTTGGAGGGTGAGCATTTACCCAGCCACTGCTATAATTGCTGCAATCAAAAGAGCTACAAAGAAATCAACAGGTGTTGAAAAAAAGAAATCCAGCACTCGTCGCAAAAAAAAATAATGGAATATTCCCGCCCTTTCATGATATGCATTCTGCAACTCAATTTTGCAATTATGGAAGTGAAAGTTTTTGAAAATTGGTGGGAACACTTGCAAATTGAAGAATGGAAAATAATTCAGCGATAGTGAATCCATTATCGACTGAAGCTCCTGTTCGCCTGGTACCCGACGTTTTGAAATACCTCTGAAGCGTTACAATTCACTCAGGAACTCCAAACTCCACACAATACTCATGTTATACTGTCTATCACACATCATCCAGTGGATTTTCAAAGTTAGAACAGTTCAACACATTCCTCAAACGCATAAGTCCCTGATGTTTCGAACGACGATTGTCGTCAATTCGAGTGCTATCTAACGTTGTAATTACTCCTTCCTAATCAATGGTTATTATGACAGGCCAACGTTGACAGGTTGATCAATGAGGAATCGTCGCAGGTAAGTCTTCACCAATGAAAAATTCCTATAGAAATTAAAATGTTCAAAATATTTCTTTCATTTGTTAACAAATATACTTTCTGTCATGCTAGAGGAGACGACTGTCACTAGGTCAAATGGACATGAACTTGTCCGTCACTCGGAGAAAAGTAACGTCTTTTATCACCAGGACAACACGACGACGAAGAGGTGGCATGAAATGGCGCGCCGCAACTGTTTGGTTTCCGCTTGATCTATGGAATCACTAATGTGTTTAAAACTTTCAAAAATATCACGTTCTGGTGGAATGATTTTCACGCAGTTGTCAGTGTCATTACCCTTCATTAATGACTCTGTACTGACAAATAAAACTCTGCGGTTGAAACCTGAACTTCCTCTAATTTCAATTTTCGGGGAGTTATTATTGTAGCGGTTTCTCCTGGAACGCTTGCGCAGAACATCCGTATTTCTTCTGACATTCTATATAAACGTTTCGAACAAGACCACGAGTTATTCGCTTACTTTTTCAGATAGGGAATTTATCGGTCGGTCTTATCGTGTGATTATGTCAGTTGTTGAAGTCATGACGAAGCCGAAAGTACTGGTCACCAGCTGCGAGACCCCAAAAACCGGCATCGACCTCCTGAAAGTCACGTAAGCCTCCAGATACTAAATTATTATTAGATCCATTAGCGCGAATTATTTGCGTTTCGATCTATGACGAGGGATTTTTTTCCTCATGGCAAGATTGAAGCTTAAAGTGACGCAATTCGAATTCAATTTTCCTCAATAAATAGACCGATTTCCAGAGCAATCGGTATTCAATAGAATTGAAAAGTTTAAATAATCTCACTTTACGAAAATTATCTGTTGTCGTTTGTTGTGGTCGAGTGCTTTGACACGTTCTATTTTAAGATTGAATTCTGTGAATTTAGAAATTAATCAGCTTTAATGACTCAGTGATGATTTATTATTATCAGTTGTGATGTCACGATTCTTCCCTACGTCGAGCCCACGATAGAGCAAGTGTACGCGGCCCTCCCAGGGCATGACGCGGTTTTTCTCTCTGGACATGTGACCGTGAATTCCAAGTTTCTGGACATCGCTGGTAGGAAATTTTTATTTTGACGTTGTGAGATAATGAAACACTTGAATCACTTTATGTATGAGCATTGCGATAAAATTTTCAAGGTCCCAACCTGAAGGTGGTTTCGACGATGTCCGCTGGTTACGATCACCTGGACGTTCCGGAAATTAAAAGGAGAGGTATCAAGGTGGGACATACACCCCAGGTACTCAGTGCAGCAGTTGCTGAAATTGCTGTGATGCTGATGCTGAATGCTGCAAGAAGGGCCCACGAGGGTCGCACTCTTCTAGAAGAGTAAAATCAATTGTTCTCGTGTTAATTACCAAAAAATAATCAGGACTTATTTAAAAAAACGATTTATTCCAGGGGAAAGATGGAAAGAGGTCCCCAGTGGCTTCTCGGTCACGATTTGAGAGGCTCCACCGTAGGAATAGTCGGTCTAGGAGGCATTGGCCAAGAGGTCGTGAAACGCCTGATTGGTTTTTCAGTTAGAAAATTCCTGTACACGGGGCACAACAGAAAAAAAGCTGGGGATGAGCTCGGGGCGGAATTCGTGTCTCTTGACGATATCCTGGAGCTGAGCGACTTCATTGTCCTTGCTGTGCCCCTGACCCTCGAGACTCGGGCACTCTTCAATGATGCGGTTTTCAATAAAATGAAAAAAACTGCTGTTCTGGTGAATGTGGGCCGTGGAGCTGTCGTTCAAACTAGCTCTTTACTCAAAGCTCTCAAGGAGAAGAAGATATTCGCTGCGGGGGTCGATGTGATTGACCCTGAACCTCTGCCAAGCGATCACGAATTGTTGAAACTACCGAATTTTGAAATTGTACCGCACCTGGGCTCTGCCACTATCAAAACGAGGAATGAAATGTCAGCTGTTGCCGCTCAGAATATTCTGGACGCCCTGGAGAATCAACCACTCGCCTATCCCCTGTAGATGATTGACAAAGAAATTTCCCCCCTTTTCTCTAAAAAATCTTTAAAATGAAATAAATAAAAATGAAAAATTTTGTGGGGATAAGAAAATCGCGGAGAATCGCAATTGTGGAAAGTATTATTTCAATTTATGGTATACTTGCATTTTTAATAATAGTCTTTCAATATACAGATTCAGTAATCAATCTTATTAGTAGTCTTGAAAATTATTCTCTTTATACACCCATTGTAAAATTTATGTTGTCGTTTGATATAGATTTTCCTGGCGCTTCTCAATTGCCAGCACAGGCTATCGTGATTATTTTTCAAGTTTAACCGATAGTTTTTCTTTTTACTCGATTGAAATCACACTCGATGAAAGTCTCGTTTTCAGAGAATCACATTCGCTTTTGTTTATTTTCGTCACAAGGATTTTATCACCCGTAGTGAACGACGGGTAACCATCAGGCTTCCACGACGGCGTTCTTCAGATTACTGAGGATTGGATCAATTCTGCTCTCCAGGGAGAGAATGTGTCCTGTATTGCAGCCGTGAGATGCTATAAAACTCACGACAAGAGGTAGTTTGTTCATTTGCACCACCTGAATCGAGAATATCTCTTTAAAAAAAATTCCCTGAAGTATATTTAATCGCAATATTCGAGGACAATGAACTAATTGCGTCGTTAATGACAGAAATAAATGATTGATTTACCTGGTAACTACTGTACATACAAATAATTGTTTTATTCTTTCCAAGACCTAGTTTGCTCCCCTGATCAGTTGCCATTCCAAATGTTGAAAGGAAACTCGCCCTCATGGCCAGCTCTGGTGCCTTATCGCTGGACACTGATACCACAGGGACACCATCGCGATCTGTTATCAATATGCTGTGAAGACCCTCGACACTGGTCAACAGCTGATACAAAAATTTCTTCAGCTCCTGTAAAGTAAAGGGTTAACCTCGATATCTTGGAGTTATTTAATTTTCGTATGAAAAATATACTCACCACAGACATTTTAGGAATTTATTTAATCAGGATTGTTATTCAGGAATGCAGGAGTCACTCGTCTGTCAGTCAGACATTGCATCACTCAGGGCAGTCTTTCTGCTCCATAACAAAATCACTAGTCAAGAGGCTTTTTTCTTCAATACGCCTTAAATCCCATAAAAAAGATGTGTAAACCTTTTTTTTCGTAGTAAAATTGCAATGTTTATTACTCGAGGGTGATAACACCAGCTCAATGAATCAGACTGTAGTCAAATCAGAATATACTCGGCATTCACTAGCGCTATAACGCGGGAGAATACAAATGAGAGACGAAACTTATTTTTTAAAGTCATTAATATCTCCTAAGCGAACGATACGATTTCAAAAAATCAGGGTTCATTTCAAAGCTCTAAAAAATTTTTTGAAAATGAATGCTGTCTTGGGATAATCGGCTCAGCGAATCTCGAATTGTGATTCACCAAAAATACTCAAAAATACAAAATAATATTTATTTCTTAAATATGATGAATGATGAAGGATGATAATGAATTATTTCACACAGTACAAGACGAGAAACGAGATAATTATCACAATGAGTTGAAATAATGGGTCTAATAATGGAGGATGATTAACTCTGTTTGGTCTCCTCCGACGGTTTGACACTGGTCTGCGGGGCAGATTCCATGGAGCAGCCCATGGCGAACATCTTGGGGATTTCCTGGCCGTAGTAGACTTTCGCGTTGTTAGCCAGGCTTTCGTATTTCTTCAGCTCCAAAAATTCGTTCGTTAATAGAAGTCGATTGGCCTCTGCCTGTTTCTGCATCTGATAATGATTTGCGTCAGAGCGACTCTTCTGACGGGCCAAATGCATCTCGTCCTCGATGGCAGCCATTCGCTGGAGGGATTCCTTCTCCTTTATCCTCTGGCTGTACTGGATCTGAGCGACCTGGGACTCCTTCTCCGCCATGATTATCGCTTTTTTACGATCAGTCTCTGCGTCTTTCTCCACGACCTTCTGGTGTTGAATGGAGATCAGGAGTTTTGTTTTCTCGCCTTCCCTACAAGTTGTTATTCTGAATAAATTATAGAGGATCGTTGAAATATTGATAGGGACTCACATCAGCTCGTAGTTCTTGCTGATGGTCTCTGGAATTTTTGGTTTGGTGACACGAACAGCCTGAATATTGAGACCTGGAGCGAGTTCATTCAATTCCCTCTGTAATGCAGTCTTCAGGTTCTCGTCGATTTGATCGAAGAGATCAATGTACACCTCGTGGAGGCTGTGCAGTGAGCAAAATTGATTGAGCTCGTGGTGGACCTTGTTGAAGATGAGGGTACGATCGTAATCCGCAGTGAAATTCTTCACCATATTATAAACAGCACTGGGATTAAGGATATTGACAACTTCAATTCGATCAAAATAAATCATAACTCCACCGCTCGTTCCACAGGGTACATTTTTCACTTCGTCCGTCTGGAGGGTGACCTGGACCGAGCGGAAGGTCGTGAGGAGAGGAATCATCATGTGGAATCCAGGATTGCTGACACTAGGCAACAAAGCTCCACCCTTCAATCCAATTTTCAAATAAATAATGTAAAATTCCGTTCTTATAATTATCAACAACAAATCATATGTTGTTTACATACCCTGAAGTAGACACCCACGTGGCCCTCCTCGATTCGATGAATGGAAAAAATAAAAACCATTGCAAGACCAATCAGCATGCCAATGCCAACCAATTTCTGGTGAATCATTTTTTCTGATCTCCAGAAAATCAGGGAAATCTGACAAACTGTAGGTTATGATGCTAACAACGAGAATTATCGATTGTTATTTATTACCGTTTGGTGATGATTAATGAATAATGATAAGTCTAATGTGAAGACTAGTGGCGAGCTCTCGATGGAGACAATTATTTATTTAAAATATATTTCTGATGTCAACTGTATCACGAGCACAAAATCACCCAGACATTCACCAGTCGCCACTGGTCGTGGAATACTGAGGAAATTTCGCGGTTTCATTGGTGCGCAGGCTGTAGTACACGTATGTGTAATGCATTGGATTAATGTTTTCCTTAAACCAAAAAATAAATAAGTCTCAATTATGAATTTTTATTGGAATACACCACAAGGACAATCGCAATGGTGAATTTATAGTACTTTCAGTACTTCCTTGTTTTTATTACGATTTTTTTTTACAACTTGAAATGGATTTTTCTTGTGGAAGAGATCTGATGTCCTCTAGATTTTGCCGGAGGGTTTTATATTCTTGAAGGGCTCTTTTTGCGAGTAATCCCTCGGGGTTTGTCGCGGGCTCCAGGAGCAGCATCGACAGGGACTTTTTTAAATACCCAGCGGCTTGCTCCAGACGATGTCCTAGCTCGTCTGATGATATTTCTCGGGATGTGTAGTCTCGATTCGCCAGGATGATCATGGGAAGGTGCATTTCGTACATCATTATGCCTGGGTGTGGAATTAATTAATTAATATTTGGGTTATAAATTAATTAAGGATTACCTTTTAATCGAGAGATACCGGGCTCCACGATTTCCAACACTTCGACGAACTCCTTGAATAATTCCAGCATTCTCTCCAGAATTTGCTTTCTAGCTCGAGGATTCGCGATTTCCTCTCGGTAAATTCCCAATAATTTCTGCTTGAGGTTCATTAATAAGGAGTGGCGAGGGTGGAACGTCCTCGTGAGGTCCTTAATCAGTGTCTCCAGCTCCTAGAAGTAAATTCACAGATAAAGTGATAACAGAAAGAAACTGGAGATTAATAGAGTAAATACTTTTGCACTGGACTGATCGCATTTTATAATTTTCCCTTGCGCTAAATCCAAAGTGCTCCGGACAAGTTTTCCCGAGAAAGTCTTTTGGCAACTCCTGCAGATCCAATTCCTCTCTCGACCGAAGGGATTCACCCTGGGAACCCCTAAAAACTCCTTTCTACACCGCGGGCAGAGGATGGAGCTGAGATGAGCCCCGAGCTCCTGGGGATCCTGGCACATCGCGCAGGTGCAGTTAAAGTATTTTCCCTCCTGCAGGAAAACGCGTCTCTCCCAGGTGCCGAGGAGGGACGAAGTGTAATTGAATAAAATCGGGGATCCTTTGTCTATAGGGAGACTCGCGTAGACCGTCAGGTTCAAGTCGTCGTCGACGGTTAAATGAGTGTTGCCCCTGCAGTCGTGGGTCATCAGGGCAGCCCTTGGATAAAGCCCTCGGAGGGGAGATGAGTCGAGAGTTCCCGGGGATCGAAGCTCGAAGGAGTTCACGTCGATTATCCCGCAGATCCTCTGGAGAACTTCATCGGAATCCTTTGGGGCCAGTCCCACCCTCTTCAGGACGTCGACGACGGTTTCCTGTCGGTCCTTCCAGACTTTCGTCGTCCTCCTGACGTCCAGGTGGGCCTCGAGCCTCATAATCTCGCTCCAGGATTCCTCCGCCTCCTGGAGGAGCCACAATCTCAGTGGGAAGAGTATTTCTCGGAATTCAGTCCAGCTCAGGCCCTTCAGGGATCCCCACCTCGTGAATGCTTCACACTCCCGAGTCGTATGGAGACCTCGACGATCTTCGCAGGATGAACTGCAGAAGATAGCGGTCTCGCAGATTTTGCAGGGGAATTTCAGGTCCAAGAGCGGAAGGTTCGGGACGATCCTGAGGCAACCGTAGCATAATAAATTACTGTTGAAAACCGCTGGTCCCACTGCCAGGGGTTTCTCTCGGAGGATCACTTCACCTGGGGACAGCTGTTTCCCGGCTGTTAAATACCTTCAACCAGCGGATAATGTGAGGGATCTCTCGATTGTTATTATGTAAGTCTTTTAAATAATATGAGGGATTTACCTTCCAAGTTCATCAGAACTAGCTTCCACGCACTTCTGCACTTCATCCTCGATTTCCTTGATGAGCATTTGGAAAGTTCTACAATAAAACCGATGGGGAAAGACTGACGATCACACGGACTCCGTGGGGAATATATTTAGACTGATGTTTTCTCTGGCCGCACGTTAATCTAAGTTTAGAGGAAATGCAGAGAGAATATTCGTTGGATCTATTTGTAATACTATTTATTTGATTTATCATTTTTTACTTTTGGGAAATTTGATATATAGTGAATTATTATTATTAATTCTTTAATTTTATTTATATATATAATTATAATTGTGAAAGGTACAGCAGTGGAAAATGAATAATTAATTATTGATAATAATTAAATAATTGGATTAATTGATTTAGAGATCTTTTATCGATTGCTCGAGCTGATTTAACGCGTCCCTGGCGCCGGCCGCGATCTGTCCCTCCACGGATTCGGAGGGTTCCAGGATGAGGATGGTGGCAGCTTCTTTTAGGACATTCGCAGCTTCCGTCATCTTGGATTTGAGCCCTGCGTCGTCGATAGCTCCGGCCGTCCACTGGGACTTTGCGAGAAATAGAAGAGGCGCGTGGAGTTCATAGAGAGTCATCCCACGGATTCTCGTGAGTCCTGGTTCAATAGCATCTAGCACCTGCAGGAGCAGCCGGCACATGTCGACTTTGTGCTCCAGTACAATGTCCGGGAGATCGTCCAGGTTGTACTCCTCCACGCGTCCATATAACTGGGACAACGAGTACCTGGAGGACGTCAACGATCGCATTATCGCGAAATCTCGGTAGCAATCGTTCACCCGGAAATCCACCAGGTGATAATTGAGTGATAATTACCTTAGCATTGTGAGAAAAGAGTGACGGGGATGGAGAACCGAGTGATATTTTTTCACGATGCTCTCTCTCTGGTGAATAGCATCCGGACCATAGTCGCCTGTGATCGCCTCCACTGCCTCGACCTCGGCATTTATTATCTGGAGGACTCTCTTCACCGCTCCACCACTCGTCGAGAATTCACAGTGAGTGCACTTCCACGAGCTCTCGGGATCTGTAAGTAATTCAGTAATTAAACCTCATAAATGTTGTTTAAAAAAATATTTCGAAATACCTAAAGAGTCCAGTGAAATAACGACTCCATTATCGCACTTGTTGCACTTGAGGGAGGACATGTGTGTCCCCAGCTCTGTGGGATCAGAGCACCGGGGGCAGGCGCATTGGAAATGCTTTCCCAGAAGAAGTTGCTCTTGTCTCAGCATCGTGGGGAGAAGGGAGTGGGTGTAGCTTCCAAGTAGTTCACCATTCTTGGGGACTCGTACTGTTGTTCTCAGTCTCACCCTGAAATTATTGATATCCCCATAATTCACCCCAAATCACTCCCTATTTTTCCTGATTTCTGAGATCCTCTACCTGTAATCGTCACCCTGGACGCTATGACTAGTGTTAGAAACGCACGAGTGATTCATAAGGGCGACAATGGGATACAGAGCTCTGGCCCCGTACCCCCCAGATGTCCTGATCTCATGGCTATTGATCTCCAGGATACCGCAAGCTGTCTGAATGGCTTCCTCTGAGAATCTCGCCAATTTCAATCGCTCCCTGATGAATTTAACGATATTCGTGTCGTCGGTCTTCCACTGGGTGCCCTGGCTCCGCTTTTTATTGTGCGCCTCCATGTCCTTCACCTCTTTACTCCACCTCTCGGGGAATTTCTCCGAGGCCAGGAGGAGTCGCAGGGGAGTGATGCATTCCAACTGGGGTAGACCATTTGGATTCTCTCCTTCTAGAGCTTCTTTCACGTTGAATCTCTCCTTCGATGCCTGGAGAACCTGAAGAGATCAATTACGAAAGATTTAATTGGAGTCTGTCGGATTAATTTCCTGGGTAATTTGAGAGGGAAAGCGTGACGTACTGGGCACTCGTGTTCCTGGTGTTGTGGTGCGTTCTCGCAGGTCTCGTTACAGACAGGCCAATGACACTTGGTGCAGAGGGGGATTATATCGGGGGCTGGGGGCCAGGGGGTGTAGCAGGAGAGGCAGAGGGGGTAGGTCGAGGCTTTTGGACCGACTACGAAGGGCAACTCCGTCAGGATCTCCTCCCCTGGGTCTAGGTCTTTGCTCGCTACCATATACCTGGGAATATTGAAATAATTAAAAATACAGAAGTAATTAAAGGAAAATGGTGCGGTGGAGTTGCCATGGGGGGACGCCGGTCAATGACCACTCGACTAGAATATTTCACCAGCGGATTTAGAAATAAATGGGAGCGTCTCGGGGACAATGAACTGTCTTACCTTCCCACTTTGTCGTTGGAGAGAATATCGTAGGTCGGGCCACCTTCAGTCGAGTCCTTGACGAGAATAGCAAAATTTTTTTATTAATTCGAGTTAATGAATTATTTTACTTACGACTGTCGCTGACATGTTTTACTTCACTCGATTTGAGTTCACGGTTACTCAGGGATTGCTTGGTTCAAAGTACTTACGGGGATTCAGGTGACTCGGGTTTTATAGACTCAACGGAATTAAAAATAAAAATTCTAGATTATCCTACGCTCATCTGCAGGAAGTCTAGCATCTTCTAAGTCATCTCGGGGCGGTTTATTTTTGGATTCGAGAAGCCTCGGGTTTTTCTTCGGGTGTTTATCACTCGAGGTGGAAACAGATATTATAAATCAGTCAGTCATTAATTATAATTAATTATAGTTTGATCTCTCCGGGAATCATCCAATCATCGATGAAATCCTTTTCATTCATTCGTATAAAAATTTTGGGAGAATCCCAAGTATTGACGATTTTACGATTCAAATAAAAACGCGCGAATCACCCGGAAGTCGGACAGATCCACTATCAAGTCAAGGCCACCGGAAGTGGTGTAGATGATTAAAAAATGAAGACTTGACGATTTTTTGGAGGAGTGACTTTGAGAGGGAAAAATTATTCTTTGAAAATTTTTCCTTGGAATGAGGAGAAAAATCCCTACCCCTGGGGGTAAATCTTCTCCGTGGGAGTGACTTGGGCGCATGCGTACAAGCCGGAAGCGCAGTCTAGCTCTCATCGCCCGGCGGAGTAGATTTTCGCACGCAGACAGCATCTGAAGGGAATAAATTGTATTTTCCAGAGATCCTAAACCGTTAATTAAAAGTGAGTAGTTGAATTATGATTTTGGGGTGTTGGACAGCCGGGGGTGGGTGGAGGTGGGGAAAATTGTGATGGAAGTGGTGAGAAAACCGGCGTGAGGAGACCGTGGGGTCGATGTCGTCAGCCCATCATCCACGGGATTCACCTCGTGATGGAATCCAAAAACGTGGGGTCTAATCTTCTCGAGGAATCGAGGACTCTCGGTGATTTATCGTCATCGGGTCATTGATTTGCGTAATTAGTGTGGGATGACTCGAGACTAGTTCAGATGTTCGACTTATGTAATGCACCCCAGGTCAATACCGCCTTTGACGAGCGCCTTCGAGACGGGTGGAAATTCGAATCTCTTAATTTTTTTTTTTCGGAGTTTTTCAGATGAAATTGTGGTGATGGGGTTGATGGGCTGGGCTCCAGGGGGTGGGGATTTTTTAAACGGCGAAATGGGCTCAAGGTCAGCACTAAAAACTAGGGCAGGGGTCTGGGGATTTAGTGGGGTGACCTGCACTGGGGAAAATCATTGCTCGATTTCCGGTTCAGAGGTTTTTCGTCAAGGCAGTTTTAATTAAAAAATTTAATTAAATGGTTGTTATAATTTTATGATAATGAGGAAAATTGAAGGATGCTCTTGAATTTTCTCTCTTGACGTTAGTCTTCAAGGTCAATTTTAATTCAGTAATATCCTTTGACAGAAAATGGCTCCCCCCACGTATGGCGATTTGGGAAAGAGTGCTCGTGATATATTCAGCAAAGGCTATCACTTCGGCCTTCTGAAGCTCGACGTCAGCACCAAGACCGACTCTGGTGTTGAGTTCTCCAGTGGTGGTTTCTCCAATCAAGACACCGGGGTCGTCGTAGGAAATCTCGAGACCAAGTACAAGATTAAGGAGTACGGGCTGACGTTCTCTGAGAAGTGGAATACAGATAATCTTCTTGGAACGGATGTCACTATTGCTGATAAGTTACTCCAGGGCCTCAGCATTGGATACAGCTGCACATTCTCTCCCCAGACTGGGTAACGCCCTCGTTCATTTTTTTTTTGATGTCTCGGGGGATAATTTTATAATAATCAGGATTCATGGGATTACAGAAGCAAGACTGGTAAATTGAAGACAACATACAAACACGAAAATGTATCAGCAACTGCTGATTTCGATCTCAGTCTCAACAGTGGACCATTGATTCACACAACTGCTGTCGTTGGATACCAGGGTAATCCCTTAATTCCCTCCATTGATCTTCATGATGAAATTCAAGGATAAAACATCATTAATCTGTTATTTTGATATTTTTATTTCCCAGGATGGCTTGCGGGCTATCAGACGTCGTTTGACTCCCAGAGGAGCAAAATAACCAAGAACAACTTTGCTCTTGGCTTCACAGCCAAAGACTTTGGTGTTCACGCCGCAGTGTACGTTCCCCAAGTCTCATAATCACTCGCAATTTATTCAGAATAATTGATGTATTTGATCTGCAGGGACAACGGTCGTGAGTTCAATGGCTCGATTTACCACCTGGTGAAGCCCGGCCTCGAGGGAGCTGTCAACATGGCGTGGAACTCTGGAAACAACGCAACTCAGTTCAGCCTCGGTGCCAAGTACAATCTCGATAGTGCTGCATCAGTCAGGGCCAAGGTCAACTCTCAGTTGCAGATTGGTTTGGGATATCAGCAGAAACTCCGCGATGGTGAGTCCATCGACATTATTTATTAAGTTCAACCCCTTTGACCTTCAATTGCTACGTAAAAAATAATTTTTACGCTCTTTGCCTCGTCTGAAGTAAAGAGTAAATTGCCAGACTTGCAAAAACGAAATCTATTTTTAACAAGAGTCACGTGTCAAGTGATTTTAAATTTAGAAATGCTTGGGGTGCGGTAGAACGAGCCCTCAGTAATTATTTGTTCTTAATTTTATTATTTCAGGAGTGACTATGAGTCTCTCAACAAACATCGATGGCAAGAATTTCGGCTCTGGTGGCCACAAAGTCGGTATTGCTCTCGACCTGGAAGCCTAAGGCCTCCACCACAATAAATCCATCATCAATAATAAACTGAACAAATCAGTAAATTCTGTCCCACTCGAGTAACAATATCGTAACTCTGGTGTCGCTAAGGAATGAATTAAATAAAGAGAAAAAAAAACTTGTGAACACATTTAAAATCTGCGCACCTCGGTTCCGAGTTAAACCTGTAAACGTATTAGATAGAATTACACCCGATTTTCACGGGCGCCTCGCAGAATCACGTTGGCATCAGTTAAGTATCGAAGAATTTATCGAGATAATAATGGATAAGGGAATGAAAATTCAGGATGACTTTAAGTCTATGATAAACGTTCTATTGAAAAAAATGATCTTGGATCATCCATCGTTAATGTATTTGTCGACTTTTTTTCTGATGAGCACTTCTCTCATTTAGTTATAGAATTTGGAAAAGCTTAAACATCGAGAATTTCATTGAAATTTATAAAATAAAGAGGCTAATTATTCCCTGTTGACTTTGTATCCTTGTAGATATGCTTTACTCCGTTTCTCTCATTGGTTGACGCTGCTTTTTGTAATAAAATATCTTGAGGAAAATAAAAAAAAAGTAGACAATGCATTCTCTTGTATTCGGACTGTGGGATCTGATACAATAAACGTATGAGAACACGGTTTATGTTAAACGTTTCATTTATTTACATAAATAAAGAAAACATGGCTCGCATGATGTTTAGATTTCTGGAGAAGTTATGAAATTGTGTGTAAAATTAGTAATTCCAGGATTAATTCATGAGGGTTCAAGATTTTTTCGTCTATACCTTCAGTTTTACCTGCGTTAGTGAACCATCTGGTCCTCGGTGGCTTTTGCTATCCATTCTGGTTGGGTTTGAGCAATTTTCTCGATTATTTGGTTTACTTGGTAGCAAAGGGATTGGATTTGTTTGTCCCAGGTGGGCAGAATCTCTCGGGCTGAAATAAAAATATACTCATTGAAATTACATCGAACTTCGACACGTGCAAATTAAATTTATATTATTTATTACTTTCGAAATGAACGATGGAGTCGATCTGGTCGATGTAGCCATTCATGCGACCTTCTGTGATCATCTGGCTGGCAATTTTCTCGGCCTTCATGGGGGGTATCTCCAGGAGGGCTCCCAATTCCTCGAATGTGATGTTATTGTATAGTTTGCTAGCTGAGAGGAGATTGTGCTCGATTACTGCTCGATCGAGGATTGTCGAGCCCAGGCCATCAGTTGTACAGGCTTTCTGGTGGGGCTGCAGCAGGGCCTCGAACTCCTGCAGCTCTGAACGACGAATAATTCTGTCCAGGTACATCTTTTCCAGGATTGCGTACGCTGGCAGCTGCTGACAACGTTCGTCCTTGAAGAGAGTTGCCAGCATTCGACTTCTCTGTTGTCCTAATTAGAAGAATGTTTTATTTAATCCTGAAAAATCTAGAAGATGTGAAAAATTGAGATTTACCAGCTGAAGCGAGGATTGTGCAGATCAGGGCGTTCCTGAGGGCAGTCATGCGCTCGTCCTCGTGGATTATTGACCTGTAGGACAGCTCATTGTATCTCTGGGCAGCCTCGATGAATTTCCTCCTGTAATCCAGGACTCTGGCGTAGCAGACCTTGTAATAAATTTGGAGTTGCTCGTTCTTGGACTCTGCCTGCAGTAGGGAAGCCCTGTTGATGAAAGCCTCAGCCTGCACTGGATCGTCATCCTCTAGGTAAAGTCTCGCTATTTTGAGGTACGTCTCGAGCTTGTAGTCTACTGTGTACTGCTTCTGCCCAGTTTCCAGGGGAATTCCTACCAGGACATTTGCTGCCTCTCTCCAGTTCTGGTTCCTCTCGTAGATGTCTGCCAGGTGCTGTCTGATACTCGCCACTTGTTCTTCGAAGGAAATTACTCTGGGCTGGACCTAAGGACCAATTCGATAATTCCCTCGTTAATTTATTCCATTGAATTAATTGAATTAATCCTGAAGCCATACCTTGTCCAGTGTATAATGGGAAACTGCTTTTGAGATTTCATCAGGGAGCAGCAGAAGGCGATTGCTGACGTCCGTCAGGACCTGTCTGGATATCACGAGACTCACATTCTCGTTGACAACTGAAAAAATTAATATTAATTCAAGGTTAGGTCTAGGAATAATTATTGTTTAATTCTCAGAGCCAACATTGCCAGTAATTTATCAATAATTTTCGATTACGCACTAGCTTCGATGAAGATCTTTAGGGTGTCGACGAGCTCATCCCCAGAGGATGACAGGATCTCGTCCAGGATGGCTCGATACCTGCAGACAGTCAAGTCAAAATTAATTAGTAAATTAATAAATAATCAATGAATGGATTATAGTGGATTCTTCTCACTTGTCGGCTTGTTCCTTGTGGGAACCTCCAGAATGAGTCAAACATGTCAATTGTTGACGTACGTAGCCCACAGTCACCATCTTTCTCAAAACCTCCACTCAGCTGCTGCAAAACCCTTTTTTGTTTTCCTCCCCTTCCAGCCCCTTATACAATTATTTAACAATAATTATCACAAATATTATGAATTACTAATTTTACGACTGAAAACCTATTTTGATTGAGGGATGTTATCAAACCGTTCAATCACTAAATTTCTCAAAGTAATCCTGAATAATTGTTGTTTTGCACGCGAATCTCTCGTTTTGATCTCCCAAATAACAATTCACCGAAATAAAAACGGCATTGACGTAGGGGGAGCTGTCGTCACTTTTTCCATTTTATTTTCATATTTTTCCTAGCAACAGCATTTTGCCTCGACTGGTTCCCATTTTTTAAACATTTAACAATTGATGGGGCCACAACAATGGAGATTAATTCGAATATAAAATAGTATCGGCATAATTTGTTAGAGTGAATTTTAGATTGTGGATAATAGGAACAGGAAGTGTTTAAACATTTGATTGGCTCACCGAGAGGGCGGTAATAGGCTGACGTGTTTTTAGCCGCGGAGAGGGTGGAAATATGGCGAAAATCGAAAATTTATAAAGTGCGCGGGGTCAATCATCTGTTATTATCTCGCGATTGAATAATTCCTGAGACTGATATCGAGTTTTTCGTAGAGAATTCATCGGGGAGAAATCGAGGAAGTGGTGGTGGTGTTTTTGGTGTCTCTTGTCGTTATTCTCAGGATTTTCTTTGGTGTTTATACCCAAGTGGCGCGCAGTGCACAGTGGGACAGCAATGGTGGGCGCGTGATTTTGAACAATTTCGAGGTTTCAAGGCTCCAACCAGGTATGTTCGATTTGTTCGTTGTTGAGTGATAAAAAAATTAAGTGGGCATTTCGAGGCCTCTCCTGAGGTTTCAGGGAAATTTCTGGAAGACGAGGGAGATAAAATACGGAATTCCGAGGGACGCCCCCTCCCTCCGCGCTCTGGAGCTCGTACGAACCGAGGAATTCTAGGTTAATTCCTCTTTCTTTAGATTTTTTCATTTTAAAACACTTAAAAATTGTCTGGACCCTCTTTTCCCTGTGTGTCAATCTCTTCCTTCGGTTATTACCGCGTTTTTTAGGGTTGGATAGACCTGGGGGAACAATATTGTTTATCTAATTTTGGTTTACGGAAAATGGCGGGTTCGAGTAATAAATGGCGCTAATGTACCACATCGTGGAATACATCTCTCAATTTTCTCTGATTCCATGAGTTTTCGAGAGATTCTGTGAAGTCTCTTGGGGTTTACTTTTGATATTTGTTGGAATTATGATTTTCGAAGATTCGGGGTGAGTTTTTGGGAATATCCGGGGTGATTATCCATTTCGATATTTGAATTTTTGAATTTTTAAATTCGGGCCCAATGAATGACTCCATTTATACTCGAAGATTTTGTGGGTTCTGGTCTCTGTTGAATTCAAATAACTTCGTTCATCGATTTATCAAGATCCTCCAGCATTCCACGTATTTAAAAATAATTGAAGTAAAAATCAATCAGCTAGATATTGAAATTAATTAATTTCCACTTGACAAGGTTAATGCAAAAATGTTAATTACATATTTCGACTGGTTTAATTTTATTGTTCCAGAAAATAGTGAGGAAGACCTAGAGAAATGTCGTCGAATAAATCGACTGGGCCTCGGGCCCTGGTAGAACCTCTGACCCTTGCTGATAATGAGTTATCAGCCCTGAATATTTCCAACAGTGACCACTACTCGACCTCTGAACTGGAGAGTTTTGTCAGCATCGAGGCTGACCTGGAGTGCATGAATGAGGAAGTGATGACGACCGAGGAGATAATTTTAGAGAGACCTGAGGACAATGTGACAATAGCACCTGACGTCGAGATGACGGATTTGTCGGAGGAAGTGCAGAGTGAGCAGATTATTTACACGACAGCGAACCAGACGAATCAGAATGTGGTGTTCCAGACGAAGCCAACTCTGCAGAGAGTTCCGATGTCAGCGGTTCAGGTGAAGCCTAATGTAGTGCAGCCAACACAGAGCCAGTCCATTATGATAGTCTCACCAGCTGGGGGTTCAGGGACGAGTCAGATATTAAAGATTTCTCACCCAGCGACAGCTTCTCGAGGACAGATCCAGAGTTTGGCCCAGTCTATAATCACAGCGAAGTCCGCTGATGGGAATATTGTCCACCTGAGATCAGCCCAGACTGGAAAGCCCCTGGTAGCCACGAGTCAGGGAGCCAACATCACCGTCAGCAATATCCAGGGGGCCAAAGCTGTGCAGAGTGTAAAACGGCCACCCCAGGTCGTTCAAAACAGAAACGTCATCACTAAAATGATTCTCTCAGGGAGTCAGACACAGCCTGGCCAGGAGGTGATCTTGACCTCGACTCAGGACAGCCCACAGTCACAGACCATTAAATTCTTGACAACAACCAATGCCCCGGGGCTCAATAGTCCTGCAAAAACCATTACCTTCGCACAGGCACAGCAGATGGGTCTCATTTCGGGGACTAACAAGGTTCAGCAGATTCTTCCTTCCACCACGCAGAAGCAACAGGGAATTCTTCTCAATAAATCAGGGCTCGTGGTGCAGACTTCGACCTCTCAACCACCGAAACTCACTCTTATTCCAACGAGCTCGGTTAAATCACCAGCCAAAATTCTTCCTGCACCCACTATCACCACACAAGTTCGACAGACAACGATTCCCAATTCTCAGGTGGCCTTCACGAATACTGGGAAGACCACGGTGCAGCCCAGTTCCCAGAAAGTCATCATCAGACAGAGTGCACTCAAGCCTGGGACTGTCCTGGGGGGTGGCCAGGTGATACGAATACCAGGGCACCCTATTCAGATGCCAGGGAGGCAAGTACAATACGTGAGGCTCGTCAGCACAGCATCATCACCGACTACGAACGTCGTGACTGTTGGGAAACCCAAGACGCAAACCATTCAGGCCATGGGGGTCACTCAAAAAATCGGGGGCCAACAGCAGCTCGTCAAGGTCGTTCCTTTGAACACTGCGGCGAATCAACCGTTGAGGACTGTTGCTCCCAAGGCCACTATCTCTGGAGGAAGTCAGAGGCTGTTAATACCAGCACCAACACCTGCTGGAACTCAGGCGAAAAATACTGTTGCAATTCCTGCGTCAGCATTAAGTCAATTGGCCTCTGGACAGGCTGTAATCTCAACGAATTCTAACGTTGGAAATATTGTGGTACTGCCTGCTCAATATATTCAACAGGTATTCTACGTTTTTTTGAAAATCGATACGTAGGTTTTTGATTTTAATGTTTTGGAGCGTTTCAATCATTTTATTTTAATCATTCAGCCGCAAACGGAGGAAGTGAAACCCAAGCCCTCGCCGTCGACCCCAAGTCTTCTGAGTGGCTCACAAAGCACGAGTGGGAATTTATCCACAAGCTCGTCTGTAGATCCACCGACACCCAAAGGCTCTCAAAAAACTGCTGCCAATGCTGAAGCTAATGGCATACGACCCAGAAAGCCGTGCAACTGTACGAAGTCCCAGTGTCTCAAGCTGTAAGTGAAATAAAACTTGTCGTTCGATTTTTTGAAAGTTTTATTCAATTGTTTCATCGATAGAAAGAGAAGAATCAGAAGAGGAGAGCCTAATGCTTCCATAGTCGAAACAAAAGCCGATCTGTCATCTTCTAGAGCGTTTTTTCACCACAGAACAATCATGTTTGTTTTTAGATACTGTGACTGCTTTGCTAATGGTGAATTCTGTCACATGTGTAATTGCAATAATTGCTCGAATAACCTGGGGAACGAGGAGGAGAGACAGAGGGCAATCAAGACGTGCCTCGAGAGAAATCCCAATGCCTTTCGTCCGAAAATTGGAAAAGGCAGGGAGACTGGGGATGATATAAGGAGACACAACAAGGGATGCAATTGCAAACGCAGTGGCTGCTTAAAAAATTATTGCGAATGTTACGAGGTAAGTATTCGACTCACGTCTGTTGTCCATATTTTTTGCCCACGGAATTTATTCAGTTTCATTTAATTGTCCAGGCTAAGATCCCCTGCTCGGCAAACTGCAAATGCATAGGCTGCAGGAATGTAGAGGAGCCAGCTATCGAGAAAAAATCTCTGAAGGATCTTGCTGATGCTGCTGAGGTAAGAACGACTCAGCAGATGATGAATAACTCCAAGGTACCGCAGTTCTCGGCCATGACATTCAGACCGCCTGCCACGTCCAATACAGGACCTCGACAACCATTTAATTTCTTAACTGAAAAAGTCGTGGAGATGACCTGCCAATGTCTGATGGCACAGGCTGAGGATGCTGAACGTAGTATGCTGGATGAGGACACGTCGCAGAGACTGATTATCGAAGAATTTGGACGCTGTCTCAAGGAAATAATTGAATCAGCTTACGAGGCTGAGGCCACCACCTAGCAGGATTATCCTGATATTTATTCGAGGGATGTGAGGACGATTGATGAGTCTGTTTGTGTAAAATAAATGTCTGGTTATGGAGATGTTGTCCACATTCAGGCAGCAGTTATTTTTTAGTGTAATCTTCAGTCTGAACGAATGTTATTGAAGGATGGATTAATGATTGACAGTTGTCTACACGTGAATATTCAAAAAAATTATTAATTTTCGAGGTAAAGCAGTCTAAGTTGCATATTTACACTCCATACAATAGGAATAATCTTGGAGCATTACACGTACATTTTATGACATTGTAAGAATTACGAATAAATGACCGAAATATAAATGAGTAAAGAATAAATGAAATTAACTGGAGTTCGAGGGAATTAATGGAGGGATGGAAGAATTTTCTAAAGATCGACTGTGTCGATAAATACGACTGATTATTCTTCTCTAAAATTACTTGATAAAGCAAATTTTCGGTTTTATTATTTTAATAACTGAAAATTTGAGTAAAATAAAAATAAATCCACGCCTTTATTATAACGATGATTGTGTACATAAACTCGTGTAAATTACAAATGTACATCGCGTGCTTTTCTGAGCGTCTTAAGAAAAATTTTCAATAAACCCATTCACACCATTTTATCGTTAAAAAGTCACGACTTTCTGTTTGGGTTTTATGCTTTTCTCAGCTTTCCCCTCACCTTCCAGATCCTCGACAGTCTCCGAGATGGTCCCCAAGGTCAGAATGCTGTCTTCCTTCTCCTGCACGAGGTCAGGGCAGTCTTTCTTCAGGTGAGTGACATCCCCACAGATTTTGCAAGCACCACCCTGAGGATATAGTCCCTTGGGATTGTCTGGGCATTGCTTGGCGATGTGACCCTGCTCCCTGCAGATGAAGCACTTTGCAAAGCCAAATTCCTCCTTTTTCGTTACTTTGCATTCGAAATGTGTGTGTTCTGTGGAGCCACACTTGAAGCAGATCCCAGTTACCACCTCTTCTCTCCCTAACTCAGGACAATCCGAGAGATTGTGTCCAGCTTTTCTGCAGTGAAAGCACACGTTTTTCTTCACCCTCGTCAGAGCCTTCTCTGCTTTTCTCCGCTCCAGCTTCATCGCAGCGTTGATCTCAGACTTGGGGATTCCTTTCATCACCATCTGGCTCTTCAACTCCTCCAGCCTCTCTGCATCCTCTTTCTTCACTGGAAAACCGTCGTACATCACGATTTCAATCTCCATCCCATTGATTATGACTTTGCTGGAGCCAGGAGTGGGTTTTCGCCTCTTGTGCTCTTTGTCGTCGCGAATCTTCGGAGGTTTTCGCTTCTTCACGACTTTCTGACTATCAAATCTACCCAGGGGCTTGCTGAAGCCTTCTCTTCTCTGATAGAAGGGTGGATTCCTCATCTGGGGTTTATTCTCTTGTTTAATATCCTCTGGGGACTGGTTCTCCTCCTGGGGGGAACCGAGAGTCTTCTGCTTGCTGCTGATTTTTATTTCCGTGCTCCACTCATTTCCTTCCGTGTTGAACGCACCTGGTACTTTCTTATTGTCTTCTTTACCCTCAGAAACTTCTGACTTCATTTTATTCTTTCTGTTTCGCTTCTGGCGTTTGCTCAGCTTGCCAGAGGTTTTTTCACTGGCATCTCCATTTTGTAGATCAGAACTAGAATTTTTGGTGGACTCCTGGGGTTTAATATCAACTGGAGCTGTTGATTTATCTTTTTTCTTATTCTTCTTCTGCTGGGATTTTTCTGGAGATGCTGATCCCTCTTCTTCATTTATTTTCTGCTTTTTATTCTTTGGGGGAGGATTTCCTGGAGCTGCGGGAGCTTCTAAGGCTTCAGAAGAATTTAATTCTGCGTTGGATTTCCGTTTCTTCGATTTCTTTGGCGATGATGAATTTTCTGGGTTTACCGGAACCTCTGTGACATCAGTGTTCTTCAGAGTCGATTTTAATTCTTTTTTCTTGATTTTTTTAGACACAGGAGTCGCACTGGAGTCGTTAGACGACTTTTTTACGGATGACTTCGATTTTTCTGGCTGGAAATCTGCCCAATCATGACTGACAGCCCCCAGGTCTCCGTAGAAGGGCTCCTCTCGTTCTTTCAAGAGCTCTTTCGCAGATTTTGTTCTCTGGGCTGGAGAGGATTGTTTGGAAGTCACTGAATCCTCCAGCTGCTGCTTCATCACGTGCCAGGGGGTGGGCTCATCTGGTAATCGCTCGTTGGAGGCTTTCGAGCCCTTTGCTCTTGCAAATCTCGTCATTTTCTGGGTTTATCACAGAAAAACACAACTAACAATAACGAGTCATTAAAATAATCACCGGAAACCGTCCAGGTAATTGGAAAATATTTTAAAAATCTGTCGTTTCACTTTATAAAATAAATACTCTGCTGTCTGCACCACTCATTCAACCGTCTGTTCCAACCGCGTGGAGATGTTTGAACATAACCTAAATCTCTTGATTCGTAAATATATCATGATCATCTGGGGACCGAGTGCTCACGGAGATGATCGAATGGTTGAAATTCAAGACCATTCATGTATTCCACAACCCCCGCTGAAATTGTCTCGGTTACATAAAAAGATAATCGAATATAAAATGAATAAAATATCTATGTATTTATTTATTGTTTTCTTTACATTCACATTTTGTTAATTATTACTCGAGGGCTGAAATTCTTTATTTCCAGAATAAAATGGGAAACACTTTTTGAAGGAAGTGTTCTCCCTGCCCTCTCCAGTCTCCTCTTCAACGGTATCAGCAAGACCTCTTCCTCTGGTCTCAGGTAAACCAAGACAAAGAATCCCAGAGACAAGTGCTAAACTTCCGCAGATGGTGCTAGGGGCCCACCAGGCCACCGACCCCAGCAGATCAGATACATAAGGTGCAATTATTGTTCCAACGTGTGCCATGACACAGCTGGTGCCAACTGCGGAGTTCCTGGCGACCGTTGGGAACAACTCCGAGGTGTAGAGGATGACAATACCGTAAACTGCTGAGAGGGTGAACCTCCCGGTGAGTGCCACTCCCATTATCGCTCCAGTCAAATCCTGGGGAATTGCCAGGATGCACAGGAGGCAGACTGCTCCGAGAATGTACAGGAGGGATCCAGCTGCTCGTCGTCCCAGGAACATGAGGATGATCGATGGAATTATGTACGCGGGAATCTCTGTGAAGCCCATTATCAGGACATACAGATAATGGTTGTCAGTGAAATTATCGGCGTTCAGCGCTGGAAATTAAATATATTGGTATGACCAAATTAATTGATTAATTAATTAACTCTGATGTATATATAATTTATTTGGTTGTGATGATTTGTTATGGTCGTTGGTCATTTGAATCGTTTGAACGGACAGGGTGGCGCGCGCATTTTCTAACATGGCGGGTAGCCAAGAAAAAGGCGGGATTTTACTGCATCCGGTGTGTTGATTTTCGGGAGAAATAAACTCATTTACTATATTAAAAATACGTTGGATAATAAATAAAGGTTTATGGGAGCCTTTGGGGATATAATTAACACAGATAATTGTTTTATGCTCAATATTTCGGTGCGCGGCAAATGCGGATGCGTGATTTGGTCGGTACGCATGACAGAAAAATTCAGTATGGCGCGTCAGCCAGAGGCAGCGGTTCGGCGTTTCGTAGTTGTCGTGATTTTCCGTGAGAAATAAACAGTTTTAATACATTTAAATCGTCTTGAGTATTAATTTAAGGTCCGTAAATGCTCCGGGGCATGTAATTTATATCGATAATGGCTTTTATATCGCGAATTCGGTCCACGAAAAAAAATGTACATGAACCGGCTAGTGCGCATGGCCAGGAAAAAGTCGTTGAAGCCGGTTTGTTTTTTTAGTAACGGTTTTTGCGATAAATAAATGGTTTTAGTGTTAAAAAAATAGAGTCAGATCGGTAATTAGACGTGATAGGTTGTGATTAAAATGTGAATGACGCAAATAATAGTCTTTTACGTCGTAAATGTGGATCGGGAGATTTCTGCTCTTCACATTTTGTTGCATAGGTATGCCCATTTCTGGTTAATAAATTGATTGAAAAAAATTATTGACAATTTTCAATGATTATTATTTACAAATAATCGACTTGAGAATGAATGATTGAATGTTTCTTTTTTTTTTTTGCAGCTCTGAGCTGTGAACGCCAAGAATACCCAGAATCCATCCCGATCCGATGTTCTCACGACGTAAACAAGACAAAGACCTGACTCTGAAGTACAAGCGAGTGAGTAATCCCCATTGACTGAGATATTTATTGAAAACATACCTATCGCGTAATACGACAATGACGATGTAAGCCAAGAGAGGTACATGATGATGAGTCTCTTTCTCAATTCCGAATTTGAGAAGAGAATTCTCAGGCTCTTCATGTTCCTCTGAATGAAATTTTCTTTTTTCTCCTCGTGGATACCGTTTTGTTTGTTATTTCGCTGGTCCGAGGACATGGACATCGGTACAGGGGTCGTAGGAACGGGTCCATAATATTTCTCGATGATTTTCCGTGCCTCCTCTCGACGATTTTGGGTGATCAACCATCTAGGGGATTCCGGCATCAAACTAAAAATGGAAATCGATGTCTCATAGGGAAATTCGCGATTAGGAAACGAGACACTTCAGACGTTTTCTTTTTCTATCATTAATGAACTTCATTGTTCCATTTATTTCTCAATCATGAACGTTTGGAAAATGTCTGAAGGGTTGATTTCACCCAAATCTTTTACCAGGCGTGAATTATGAGTAGTAAGGATCCAAGTGAGATAGCCATTTGCAAATTTCTCCAGTCGCGAAATTGATAGGCGAGTCCTGCTAGAATAGCAGTACCAATTGGGTACCCAGCATTGAAGGCAATCCCGAGCCACTGCCTGTGTCGACTCCCAGACACTTCGGTCACTGATAAAAAAAGCAAAATTATCAAAGGGCCCTCGAGAAAAAAAGACATACGAGAGTATGCAATCTACAAATAGTCAGAGATGAGTATCCAACAGCAGCTGAGCTGAGCCCAGTGATCCACCTGAGGCCCATGTACCCCCAGAACCATGGGACCAGTGCACTCGCTGGTCCAGAGAGTATCTGGAGGATAATTCCGATGATAAAAGTCCGTCTGCGCCCACTTTTATCCGCGTAAACCCCGAAGATACCAGATCCCATTAGTTTGCCGAGTGAAAATGCCATGAATGTGTTGGCACGATCTGCAGCTCTGGTGCACACCAAATCCCACTGTCACCACGGAATAATTAATCCCGAGTCTAATCCTTAGAAGGAAATTACTCACTTCTTGAACAACTGTCGATCTTCCAACGTCTCCAAAGATAAAGGATGAACAGGATGAGCTACCTGGCCTCTCCGAGAGGTCTTCGACGTACTTGACAGCCTCCTCGTATCCCAGTCTAGCTAAATACTTGTAATCGTAGTTATACATTATGCATTCACCAGCTGAGGATATCCTTCTTATTTCCTCGCTCGTCCAATTAGCGGAAACCAGTTCCGGAACTGTACACCAGTACGGTGGAATCTTTAATGACACGCGATCAATTAAAAATAACTCGGACAATGAAAATCAGTAGACGAAGAGGTAAAGAGTAACAGGTTGACCTGTTGCTCCTTATCTGTTCTCTACTTAATGGACAGGAAGTTGTGGATTAGGGTCAGACCTCGGTGGTGAAGACGTAGGACATGGACTGAAGTCCGTTAAATACCGTTGGGGTGAGTGTTAGGGTGAAAACTAGCCACAGGAATTTTGATCCGTCACCCAGTTTATCTAGGGCACTCAGTAACTCGTCTTGTCGCTTCTCCGATAATTCTGACATGTTCGGTCACTCGTGGTTTGCAAAGGGAAGGACTTTCTAATCACTGCCGAGTAATAGACTCTGGCACACTCGACACATTTCAATAGTTTATTCATGAAATTATGCGCATCGCGGATAAACGTGGTAGTCACTTGCTTGTGAGTGAAGAACTGAGGTACTCACGGCATTTCCAACTTGTTATCTCGTAATTGCTGTGAGGTGGCGATTATTCTCTTTATTCCACTAGACTTCTCTCTCGATAAGAAATTTATATCTTTATTGAGTTTATCCGAGTCATTCATTAAAACACACAGTCTCTTTATTCATATCACTTCCAAAATAGATAACAATTTGCATAAATATTTTCGTTTGGATAATTAAAATTCTTGATGATTTAATCACTTTATCTTGACGAGGATTGCTAATATATATTTTCACTCTGACTCAATCAAATCGTTTAAATAAAATCACAGAAGACTGTTAAGAGTTTTAATACTGAGAGTTTACCAGGAGGATTATCGGCGATTGTCTTCGTGGTAGTTTGTCTCTCTTGGCACACGTCGAACCATCGGCACGTCGTAAACTAGGTAGAAGAATGCGTTTGTTATATGACCGAGTGCTCGCCACCAGGCGTTTACCTTGTATTGAATTTCCTTGAGAATTGGGAAGCCTATTCGTTTCCTCGAGGGCTCGGTTATTCTGTCAACAGAAAAAATTATTTCTGTGTTTACACGTCAGTTAATCGTGACAAACTTATCCCCCAATACATCAATCTTCTATTTAATTAATTTGGACAATTTATTTCTGTACATATCTTTTTTTCTCTCAGCGCTCAATTATTTGTCACTGATTAGTGCGTGTGATATGATGTAGAGGACTTTGAACTCACCCATTAACCGCCAATTGCTCTTTAGTTTGATTGGTGTATGTGTACATGTAGCAAGATGGATAGGCACTGACTGTTGTAATTTCGTGGAGCTTTCCTGGTGTCACTGACACTCGATTGTCTTTATCAACGGTGACTGTTGATTGCCAATTCTCCTCGGAGTAGGTCACCTGTCCCTCGAGGACAGTTAACGTTACGTTTGAGAATTCGAGGCTGAAGTAATTCTCCATTTTCATGCTGGGGTAGTCAGCCACGAAGAGGACGTCGGTGTAGTTGGACCAGGTGTAGACTTCCTGAGTTATCTCCTCCATTTTTTGTCTGTATGAGTTGTACTGAGTTAAAAGTGGCATCAGAAAGCTGGCAGGTTTGAGGGGGTGCCAGTCGGCCATCAGCATGTCGATGTTCGGGTCGAAGATCCTCTGCTGGAATCTACTGTTCAGGGAGCACCTGACGTCCACGTAAATACTGAGATTCGAGGACAGTCTCGACCATTCGCTCTCTGTTTTTCTTCTCGACTCGAGGAATTCCTGTTTTTTTGTGAGCAATTGAGTCTTTACGCACTGGGTGTACTGGATCACCATGTCTGGGTGTTTTGACCATTTTTCATTTTGCACCCAGGCTTGGGGATCGAGGAAGTGGTCCTCGTTGCTCTCGTTGTCGTGGACCTTCACTACGATGAGAATAGTGTCCCAGTTGTGGACCATCATGTCCCAGGAGTAGCCGTACAATCCTGATACCCAGTTGTTGTAGCCTCTGGTGATGAAGTGAGAGTAGGGGAGAAATAGTTGGAGGATTACGTGGAGAAGGAGAAAGCCGACAACTATTTTCTGCTTCTTTCTGGGTTTTGGGGTGATTTTTTCCTCTGGGGGAATGGGTCGTGGTATCCAACCACTCACTGGTTTATTCTGGCTCTCACTCTCGTCTGATTCTTCCGTTTCTGAAGGACAAGTGTCCTCAGATTTTTTCTCGCCCGTATCGCAGCTTCTGCCCGTTAACGAGGTAATTATCTTTCTCGGCCAGTCAACGTGACAGAATAGCCCCATCGTCGCTAAACAGACGTAGGGAAACATTCCGATGCTGAAGAGTCTTGAATTCATGAGGTGAAATGCTGCGCAGAATATCATTGCTGGTATTCTCGTGGTGTCGAAGAGAAGCCAGAAGCCGACGGTTAGATCAAAAATAAAGCCGAACCAGTGAACGATGAGAAAATCTGTCTGGGCGGTTGTCAGGAGGAGTTTGAAGGGATCAAAAACCCAGTGCTCTGATAAATTCATCATGGAGTAGCCCTCCAGCCACTCTCTGCTGGATTTTTTCAATCCTGCTAGAAAATATAGAGCGAAAAATTGGAATTTCAGGATGAAGTAGTTCCACAGGGGAACTGTTGCTGGTTTTTTTGATAGTCTTGTGTCTAGGGCCCAGTAGCGATTGGCGTCTGTTCCCCAGAGTAGAATTCCAATGATACCGTAGAGGTACGAGTGGTTGTTCCAGAAGCTTTTGTCCAGGATGAAGATGTACCAGTAAGGGAGGACGAAACAAGCACAGGAGAGGTGGAAGAAGAGACCTAGCATTATTCCAAAGGCTCCAAGCCACATCACTGTGTACAGGAGGATCATGTAGGGGAGTGGAGGCTGATTCATACCGTGAATCAGGGGAAAGTGACAAGCGTGGGTGTTTCTCCATTTTAAATCGATGTCAGAGAGCCCTCGCTCCTCCACTACGTCAATTACCATGCACAGACCTGGGAATTTATCTCGTTGGTTATCGATTCAATGTTTCGTGGATTGATCTCTGATTTTTTTTAACTCACCGAAAAGGGCTCTTGCCACTCCCAGGCTAGCACCGTCTGTCGGTCTGTAAAGTAGCTCGACAAATCTCTCATAATTCGTTAGGTCTGACAATTTAAATCCCCAGAGGCTTTCCAATTTATTATCTATCGATTCTCTCGATGGTATTCTGATTTTTTGATGCGTCCATGCAAGTGTTGCGCTTGATTCGATCTTTTCGTTCTCCATTTACTTGCACTGAGGGAATAAATTCAAATTTCAGGGGAAAAACAAAGAAAATAATTTGACGACTCATTGCAATTTGTAATTGCGGATTGAACGATTTGTTTATCGGGGATATTTTCAGATTTTTGATAATTTCCGGGGAATAATTGAAGGGAAATATAGATCTGTTTGTATTTTCGATGAATAGTGGATTTTCTCTACAAAATTCTTTGAAATTTCACTGAGACCGCAATTATAGTATTGATTTGAACAGAGATATTGTACATTTGATATCGGGTGCGTGTGTCAGGTCAAATGACAGAGCGATTTCTCAGAAATCAGACTAACACGTACGGCAAATGAATTCAATCATCACTAACACGAAAAATTTCACTTGGTTTTTGAGTGAATGTGGGATACCCGCCGGGTGTTGGAATGATTCAACAGGTTTCTCACTCGCGGTTGAATCTTCAAAAGTCAAGTGTTGATTTTTTATTTTCTTACCTTTGATTATTTCGGAATTTACACGGTGTAAACAATTGGTGCACAGATGATTTTAAAATCGTTAGGGCGATAATCTGGGTGGGTTGATTGTATCACGAGTGCGTCAGAGCAATGAGGAAGAGCTCAACAGTAGCTTGTGAAGAAAGAAGCGGGAGATGTCGGTGTTGGCGTCGCCTGGGTAACGTATGCCTGACTATTGACCCGCGCCAGCGCAATTATATTTTATCAGGGGTACTTCATCTCTCGTATGACGGACAACAAGACGCCACTTGCCTCGATTCAAGACGTCTTTGGCTTTTTATCGGTGTCAGTGGGAAAGGGGAGATTTGAGGTCGTAGTCATTCCTTGGAATTTATTTCTTACCCAGGATTTCATGGCTAATCCCTGACACTTGAACTCAGTTGGAATTGTCAAATCAAATTCATTACAACTCAGGAGATTATTTGAAGATTAGTTCACGATTATTGATATTGAGTAATTAATGGATTAATTAGCCGTCTGGATGAGTTGGATGGAGTTCAGGGATTTTTTTAGTCTAGTTATGGCTGGTCTTTTTGGAATAGGATGTAGGAAAATGTTCAAATGGTAGAGAGTGCAATTCTTTAATGAATTCATCAGAAAATAGTCAGCCAGTGCCTCTTTGCTGGAGCTTTTCAATTCTAGAATCGCGATTCAATCTGGAATCCCCCAATCAAATTATTGAAATGAGGAAAGAGTGAGGAAATTATTTTTCGGGGTGTATTGAATTGATTGATGGAAGCAATCGACGAATTGTGGAATATTTCTGGAATATTTCTGGGATTTTTTACTCTGGTTGCAGTTGGTCTCTTTGAAATAGGTTTGAATGGGTCTCTCGGTGTTTGCCATGCGTGGGCTTGTCCTCGGGGATTCTCAATCTATGTGTATGAGACATCAATTCCAATCATTTCCATCGTGATGCACTTCGACCCCTTTCTCCATTGGATGTCGGAGCGATTAACAATCTCGTCAGTCCTTCAACTTGAAGTACAAGATAGTTTCGGGGTACAATGGAGGGAAGAAAGTGAAGTTGATCATACGTTGAGCTTTTTATCGTTGCAGCTGGGGTGTGCCTTAATGAATGGCCATCACTTTGCACTCTAATAAAAAGAAAAGAGAAAAAAATAATTGAGAGAATGGAGTCCCCAACGGCCGTTTTCAGGTTAGACAATGGACTGATTTATTTCAGCACGCCCCTCAATCTGTCTCTGTGGACCACTTTTCAATCCAGACTCACACGAATAAATTGGTAACTTGAGTTTTCACAGGTTTTCGTACACTTTTCGTTGAATTTGGGTTTAATTGTCATCTACTTGCTGTTTGAATTGATCGCGTGTCCTCTGATTTTACTCACGTGTCAAATTATTGCTCGGCAAATAGAATATTCGCTGAAAAGCCCTTTTCAATCGTCTATTTATATCCATGCATATGAAGTATGTTTACTCGAGGAGGAATTGTGTCTCCATTCTGGTGCACCTGGAGATAAATCGACAGTATTTACCCGGCTATTTATCACGGTTTATTATTTTCTATTGTTGACGAGTCATCTATTGTCGAATTTTCTCGTCTTCGATGAAGGGGAAAATGAGAGACGACAATGCTTGATGGGGAATTAACAAAAACCATGTCCAAAGGGATTTGCATAGGACCTTTTGCCACGGGCTCTTGAATTAAAAGTATCTGATTACACGAATTATCAGTGGGTAATGGTGAAAATATTTTTAAACAGATGTTCAGTGTCATTTGATAAAAATTATTCGCTGGTGCATTATTTTTTTGGTAAAATAAAACAAAATTTATCCATTAAAGTGACAGTGTACACATACGGCTAAGTCCTCGGTATAATTTGTTGCACCGAGTAATATTTCATGTGCATTTGGGCCGTTTGGCGTGCCCCCTGAGATCGGATGGGGTGGTTTTTCTTGCTCCGGGGGAGGAAGAGGGGTAACAATGGGAACCCTTTATCGAGCCCCTACCCTCCCAGCATCCATACATCATCATTCATGTTGGATGGGTAAAAAAAATAATAATAATTTTGAAAAAGAGTACTGGGGGCTGCTCAGGGGTTGCATCCACCAGAAATTTAACATTTAAAAGGCCCATAAACATTCCAGGCGATAAATAATACCAGTGAAAATAAACTGACGAGTTTATTTAACGGTATTGTCTTCAGAATGTTTTTTTTTTTGGTTTCTCTCCTGAGAAATGTGATAATGTGATGTCATTAGATTTCTGGGGAGGGGTTCTCCTGACTCCTGGGGGAAAGGTTGACATAAACAATGACAGGACAAAAATGGTTAAGGGTGGATGAAAAATAATGAGGAAATTTTTTGGGGTGAGATGGGAGGATTTTTATTTCATTGGCATCGATCATTGGGGAAAAATCTTTTTTATGTCTTCTATGGGTGGATTTAGACGAGGTTTTTTTTTTTAATCCGTTCGGTTATTTCAAAAGAAAAGCCAACCCCTTCACTGTGTCACAGCACGGATGAGTGATTGTAAAACCATGGAGTAGCCCGCAGAAAAGGGGTTGCACATCCACTGGTATTGGAATAAAAAATGAGACAGGGTGAGATGAGAGTTTGAAAATTAATCCTTGTAATCGTTGTGTAATCCCGTAATACTCCGTGACGGAGGATGGACGGTGAAATTTTTCATGGTGGTCGGTAGGAATTGTCAGTGGCATGAGGGGAACATTCGGTTATTTTAGTCGGGTGTTGTTCTTTCGGGGTAGGTCTGACTTTTCTGTCATTAATTCGTCTTCAACGGTGTAAACATGTAATTAATATTCCGGTTTGTCTGGATAAAATAAAACTCGCTCTTCCAGAAAATGTCATGTGGGTTAATCTCTTCTTCGCAGCTGCTCCAAATTTTCATAAAAAAAATTCATTCCAGGATTCGCACTTTCATCGAAAGTACTAAATCTTCCCGGGTGAAAAAAAAATTGTAATCGGAATATTTTTTCCAAATTTCCAAATAATTTCTGGAAAACTTTTCACAATTTTTTTTATGAAACAAAAAAAAAATCGAATTTAAATAGGAAATTTTTTTTTCCTATTTTTTTTGTTAAAAAAAAAATTCTGAAAAGTTTTCCAGAAATTTTTTGAAAAATTTGGAAAAAAAATTCCCATTACAATTATTTTTTTATCCGGGATATCCTCTGTAAAATGTTTTGAAAACACGTAAAAATTCCTGATTATCACACTTTATTTAATTCATCATTAATCGAAAGTTTACGATGGGGAAAATTTCTCCAAGTTATCGGGCACAGGGCATTAGCATAAACTCGATGGAGAAATCTCTGATGCGTGAAATCCGATGGCAAATGAAATTTATAACAGATCGTATTAGCAACTCGTTAGCACAACTAGGCGCGTACCTCGTCATCCGGAGAAACAGGATTACGCGTTTCGCCCCATCCAGAATACCACCCCCTCGTCATCTAAATTTTCACAGTCCCATTCTCCAAAGGCGTTGGTCTGTGAAGATTGTGTCTAGGTGTACCGTGTGTCCACGAAGAGGGGAAAGCTATTGAAGGGTGGCAGGTAACCCGGGGATTGACAAAAAAGAGAAAAAAAAAAATTGTGCAATGTCACTTGGGGTGCGTGAAGAGGGGAATATATATTTTGGATATTTTGTTTTTGCCTCCCCCTTCCTCATCTCCCGGGAGATTCTTCTAGATCTATTCAGCGCCCAGTAAAAATGGCGTAATAAAAATTGTATTCGTTTATTTATCGGTACCAAGTGCCTAGAGCAACTGGGGGATGGCTTTTCTTTCATTGTTATCCAACGACGCGTGCTTCTGTTTTGCTGGACCGTATTATTTTTATCTCAGTGGTGCAACTGTTTTACTTTGAATCTATCAACGGTTCACTTATCTCTCGAGTACTTGGGCAAATCGGTATGGGGCATCTGCAATCATTCAGGTGCGCTTAACCGCCTGGAAGTACTTCAAGGTGTTTCGACTTGTTCATGATTTTTTTTTTATCTTCTAGTCCGTTGGACTATTGAAATTCACAGCAATTTTTTTTTACCGAGTAACGATCTCTTCTTTGAGCGTTCGGTTTAAATTGCCGGTTTGAATTACAATTATTGGTCGGTGCTAAATGTATTAGCGATGAGTCATGAAATTGTTGGCTCGAGTGGGGCTATTCGTCAATATGAAATTGAGGCTCAAGCTCCTTTGATGATACGTGTCATTGGTACTTCAGAAATAGTATCGGGCTAGATAACGATCGGTTGAATAGAGGAGATACATAATGCGTCACAAGTCCCTCGAGAGTTGGGTTAGGAACAAAGAAATTGGGGTGCATAGTTGGGGTAAATCTAAAATGAGATTGCGAACTGTCGATTGATATGGTCAGCATTTATCAGCTAGTCTCGATGATAAATTGATCATTTTTCATGAATAAAAAATTGGGGAGCATGTGCAATTGTTTCAGGGTGGGGAGTTGATAAAAGAGATCTTGTCGTTGGTGATTTTAGATAAGTAAGACAATGAAGTGGGAGAAAGCCAAGTGCTGGCATAATGGTAATGGATGGATAACCAGGAACTAATGCGAGAGATTGGAATCGTTGGGCTCATTGTTGATCTCCATGTGAAATACGGGGGCTGGGGACCTGGCGTTAACGTCAAAAAGCGTTATTCGCTCGAATTGGCTCACCTGGTGTGGTAACCGTATCTGGAGCATCGAAAATACTCTTGATGAGATGTTCAATGGTTTTTAATTCATGGCAAGGGAATCGAGGGAATCATTAGACACATCGCTGTCTAATTTTTCATGGTCTTCTGTACAGAGGGAATTATTCTATTCTCTTTGAACACAATTCAGATGTAGCGAAAAGATTTTACCATTTTTTTTAGATTAAAAAATGGTATAGGTATGACAAATTGAGGAAAATTAATGTAAAGTGGAAGTTGAAAATTCTGTTTTCAATAATTTTTCATGTTTAGCGTTCGAATAAGGAGGGAATTGTCTCGTAATTTTACCCGAACGTTTCGATAAAACTTCTCAGTCGTTTGCGAAAAATTACGGACAGCAATTTTTTAACTGTATTTCTCTGGTAATTATCATTGGATTTTTCTCTCTGGGTGTTTGCCTTGCCTTTGTTTGGTTCGGAATAATATTTACATTTCGTATGAGGATTTAGCAGGAGTTTGATAATTGAATGGGCAATCGCTTGGAGCTATTCACGTGGTGAATGAATTTCGGTGGATGATTGTCAAATAGCTTGAGGCTGTCACTCAAATATTTTCGATTGTAATTGGAGAAAGTGATAGCATCCGATGTGATAATAGATCCCACGGTGAGATACATTAGCCCACATTACTCGAGCTGAATAAATAAACGACACGTGGCTGGGCGTTAAGGCGGTTATTTTTGCGTGGAGAAGAGTCGCTCGGCACGCGTCGCGAATTAAATATACAAATGTCGGATGGGATATGATATCGTAATTATCGGCTACACTCTAGGGCAGCTAGGACACGTGACCAGTCGGTGTCATGGGAATTCACTGGGCGCACGTGACTTAGTTGATATGCTTTTTATCCGGTTCGCACAGGTTTTTGTAATTGATTGATTGGGCGTGATCAATTCGCTGGTGATAATCATCTGAACGTGTTAATGGATCTTTGATAACCTGGGTAAAAAAAAATGTAATAGGAATATTTTTTCCAATTTTTCAAAAATTTGTTTCGGAAACTTTTTTTAATAATTTTTCAGAAATTTTTGAGGATATAATTTGTTCTTTTAATTATACTGTTGTTTTCTTACTTTTTTTATTTTTCAATATTCTCAAAAAATACGCCGTCTAAATTATAAAAAAAAGTTCCTATTCAAATTTTTGAAAAATTTTTCAACAACTTTCCCAAAAATAAAATTGTTTTGCTTTCCAATTTTTTTTTGTTTCATAAACAAAATTTTCTAAGAAATTATCCAGAAATTTTCTGAAAGTTGGGAAAAAATATTCCGATTGCAATTTTTTTTTTACCCGCGAAGATCGTGAGAGCAAAAATTGATCACTGCATTGTTAACAATTTTCAATTATTCAATTCAATTTTTATGAGAAACGATCACAGAGTTTTTTATTTGTTCTGAAAATACCAGAAAATTGAGTATAAATTTTATTTTTAAACATTTCCACTCGCAGTAAGATTAACGAATTTTTGCGCCGCAATTTTTCACGATTTTTTTTCCCGAAGGTGCAGAATTTTTCTCATGCAATTCGATAGCATATGGATAAGATAAATCCACCACTTGAAGATATTTTTTACTCTCGAAACGCCACGCGGGGATTATTTTCTTATATTTTCACGGATGATATCGTGTGGTTGTTTAATCAATTCGCGGTAATTCAGAGGCTCAGACGCGTGTTCCAGGGTGAGAACACGTGTCGGCACACGTTCAGGATATCCTCTCGATGGGTATTAAACTCTCGTGACAACAAACTCATCCTGTTGCAATTTCCGATCAAAAAGAAATCGAGGGTGTGAAATAATTCTTGTAATCCAATCAGGAGCAGATGTAAATCGTTTCGAACATTTTTTTTTTTTGAGGGAAAATTGTGCTCGACTTTTTGGTGGGATTTATTTTTCTCGGTTAAACCATCGGAATATATCGGTTCTGTGAAATAGAAGCGTTGTCACGCATCTAATGTCAATATTAGGTTCAATTTCGCGCGAGGGCGCTATGTCAAATATCTTAAATAGCTTGAAATTACACGAGTTGGTGGTCCACCATTTTTCGAGAGGGGGAAAACTGTAGCCAATTGATTCGACAACGTTCTTTGACATTCGGGGCTACCGCAGCCACCGGTTCTAGTGCAACACCACAAAAAAAATTAAGTTCCTCGATCATAAAAAAATTTACACAGAAAAAAAAATTTTTCAAATCCGGATGTGAGAATCAAGATGGGGTTTATCCGGTCATAAATTTCCTATTTTTTTCTTTTCACTCGCTTAATTAAAAAAATAAGCTATCGCAACCTTTGGTGGACGATCAGGGAAGGGGACTTCCGCATTATTTTCTCATATTTCCCAGGATATTCACCCTCAAATCTCACGCTCGTTGATATCAGATTGTATCGGTTTTATAAAAATTGGGAATATTGTTTGGGATTTTTTGGGAGTCAAGAGTGCGAAAATCCCGGTCGGTTGGTGGTTTTTTATTTTTATTTCTTGGGGTGAGGCTTCAAAGGAGAATGTCGGTTTTTCTTTAGTGCTAAATGGCCATGAAAGTGTGCCGCTCATGCGCACCAAGGTGGTCCTTAAGCTTCGGCTCGTAAACAGTCTTCAAGTTGTAAAACGCCCACCGAAATGAGAGCCCGTGTGAAGAGGAGGAAGGATTGTCCTCTTTCTTCTCAGAAAAAAAAACTATTACTCATGGGGAACCCTGGCGAAATTGAAACATTGTTTCTTGGATTTTCCAAGAAATTCAATTCGTTTCATTCCTCGATTAATTGATTGAAATTTAACTGAGATCAATTTTTTAATTGATGATACACTTATGGGGAGGGATATTTAATAATAATTATGGAAAATTATTACGGAAATAATTTATTGAGAAAATTTACGTTGAGATATCGCAAAATCCGATTTTTTATATTAAAATTACAGAAATCCCACAAATTTTGTTATAATTCCGTAAAATTTTACTTAATTATATTTCGCCTCGGATTTACGAGACATTTTATTACGCAATTTACATAAATAATTTCCACTGAATTTCGATATAAATATAAAAGAAAAATCTGAAAGGCTCGGGTTTGTCATTAAAAAATACGAAAAATGGACGTAATTTTCCTGAAACCATAAAAAATTATGTTGAAGAATTGATACCTAACAATTTTCAAATTTTTCCTAAATTTTCTGTTATTCCGGATAATTTTCGTTGGACATTTCCCCGTACCGTAAAAATGACGAGAAATTGAAACCCTCACGCCGTAAAAATAACCCGTTACGGGTTTTTAATTCACACAGTGACACCCTGACGTTGAAAAACAGTTATCGTTTCAGCACTGACGTGCCAATTGTTATGAAATAACAATAAAGTGCACTGCGAGGGAGTCATCTGCCCCCGAGGGGGAGGAGATCATAATCATGTCACTTCTGCATTTCCGGTGGTGCTCAACAGAATAAAAAAAAAATAAATAAAAAATTCCCATTCCCATATAAAAAAATCTCCCCTCCATAAAATCGACACACCTTTTTTATTTTCCAATTCTCTAATGTTTCAATATTTTTTTAAATCGTTTCAGATGTCAGAGTCAACGAGTGCTTTCACCTCTGGAAATGCGAATGAAACCAGAGAGGAATAATAGAAAAATAAGAACCACTGCAATTGGTACGGAGAACTCCAAGTATGGACAGATGGCATGGGTTTTGCCCCCGATCCTCGGAGTCTATTCGTCGTACCAGCGTACGAGTGAGTTTTGACATTCATGTGCATGTGTAGATTTTTTTTTTGTAGAAAGGGGATGGGAGGGGGGTTACAGGAACACCGGCTTTGAGCTAAACAATAGTTAAATCAGGGTGTGGGTAGATTCGAGGGGTGCCAGGGGGTGTTTAATGAGCTGGCCAGGATGGAGGGGCCCCTATATATGTCCTTAGGTGAGGGTGTCGATGAACCTACTGACGTATATCGTGACCAGAGAATCCTCGGCCACTTGACTACTTCCTAGAGCAAAGTGCTCCAATAACATTGAATTTCACCCGAAATACCCCCATTCGAAATTAACAGAACGTAAAATTTTTCATTCATCAAAGACGATGTTGCAATTATGAAATTAAATATCGGCCGAGTCTTCGGATTTTTAACAATTGCACAATTATTTCATTGTGTTGCGGGTAGAAATATGAAATACGATAGGCGGGGGTGGTTCGATACTTTGTAATTTAGAATCAATAACGGTTCTTGGGGTCTATCGGTTGAACTTGCACCGTGAATTTGATCCCGGGCACGCGTTTTTCATCTGGAATAACGCACCAGTCATTCACTACTGCAATACGAGATAAAATCCACTTCTCGATGCGTAATCCGGATTAGGTAGCCCCTACCAGTCCAATAAAACTGTGTTTTTTTAATGCCTTTCTCTTTTTAAAGTTTACCCCCTCGTCGATTTGTCCCGCTGTATCGTCCATCTTAAATCCCCGGTTTACATGTGATTACAGGGTGTAAGAACTCTAAAAGCTTTTTCAAACGACAACAGGGACTTTAATCCGTCAAAATAGTTTGAGTTAAAGATGTCCGAGTGTTTTTGGCAATTTATCGCGGTATTAATATGGAAATTCTTAGAGTTGGGGACTGGAAGAAAAATCATGGGAATCAATTTTTTCAACAACTCACGGTTTAGTCTGCATTTATTCACCCTGAAGAGTACATTAGAACGCTCCAAAGGGTCGAGATAGTAAAAATATCAATGATTTTTGGAGGAAGCAAGTGATTTTTATATGAAATCGATTTTTTTTTCGACTGATTTTTGATTTCGCGTATATTTGACTCATGGAGTACATTAGAACGCTCAAATGAGTCATAATTAATTACGAAAATATATTTTCACTTCTACACGGTTAAAAATTTCATGGAATTTCAGTCAGAAAGTCATCTGAATTTTCAATGATGTGGGTTTGAATTTCACTTCAATGAAAAATCGTTTCCAAATTTCTCGTTTGTCTCGACACTCGAAAAAATGGATTTTTCAATGAAAACCTGAATTTTTATGCTCATTATGAAAATTAAGGAAAATCATCGATTGAAATTTCGAAATTTTGATATTTTCATTTTCATTTTCCCACATTTACAGAACTTTCAGTCCCTTTTTTATTAAAAATTTCCATTTTTTTAACTTCAATTTTTATCTATAATTTTTCAACAGTCCAGCCCACGGGCTTGACCTACGACTCTATTATCTATCAAAGATAAAAAAATTCTAAATTGCCAGAATATTTGGATCTTTAAAATCTACCCCGCGAAACAAATCATAAATTAAATAATTCTCCCCGATCAAATGATCTGCTAAATTTTTTATTTATCCCATTTTGTTGAATACGCGATTATTTTTAATAGTGATACGTCACTCACGTATGAATGCTGGTCTCCGAGGTCTGGTTGGGGGCATTCTTCAAGTAAATTATAGTCTTGAATGGCGACACGATGGGGGGTTGGTTGGCACGCGTACACGAAGGCCTACACCTGCCCCCCTCAGACATCTGTCCCCCCCTGGTCTATACGTCTATCGTTTCAGAGTCAAATTCACGTATGAACTCATACATACGCCGGTTTATCACTAGGTAGACTTTATTATTTTTTCGCATCGATTAATAAATACGGGAGGGACAATGGGCCAACATTTTTCACTGCATACATTTGCCGATTTATTCTCTCGGTTTTTTTTCTTCGTAAAAATACACAAACAAAAATTAATAAATTCTCGGGGGAGATAGGGGTGATGTGGGGGTGAATCCGTCGATTTTTTTGCTCACGAAAATGATCGGGGATGCGGTTTCGCCTGGACATATCCACGGAGTAATCCAGGATTAAGACGATGGATGAGGCAAATAAGGATTTTTCCATAATTCTGGGGGTTCGGTATCGGGTGGTGCCCTACGGGTAGAAGTGCACCTCTTTGTTCCATGGTTTACCACAAAAGGCCTGCAAATGCCAAGTTGAAATGAAAAGCCGCGACCACCCCCCGGCCCCTCGGTTAGACAGCCAAACAGATGCGGAAATACGATGCTCAAAGATGTTTGTCAAATTTCCTCTGTTTGTTCTTTCCTCTCTTTTTTCTTTTCTCGTTTTTATTTCACTTGTTGGTGTTTTTTTTTCGTCAATCGGTTAGGGCCTAGATGATTATCTTAATTGGCGACTGAAAAATGTCATTGACTTAACGATTTGGGTACAGTGGGCCCCGGAAGGGGGAGGAAATACCGTTGTCATTAATCATCGATTAAGTGCTCAACGATTGGTCAGGGTAATTTCACGAATTTCCGTGAATTTGGGGAAAAACTGTTTAGTCTCTCCCTTTCGTGTCGTGTATTTTGCCACCCTTGGGGGGTTGAAATCGAGGGACCGGTATGTCAATGTACAGACCAGCACCCCTGTACAATGAGTCTATAAGACCGATCGATATGTTCACTCGACAGTGACGGCGATTCGATCATGTTGAAATCACAGTTGTCCAGAAATCACTTGAAATCATTTTTCGAATAATTTTTCATCGGCCATCGCTCCATTTATTTTACGTTTTTTTTTTCATTTTATTGGTTGGTTTTTTTTATTTTTTGGGGGAAAATTGGGGAAATTTTGGGGGATTACTACACCTTTAGGACAACCGTCTGTTCATTTTTCCTATTGTGTTTACACTGGAGATATATCGCCTATTCAGGACGGCCACTGGGCAATTTTGGGGAAAAACCGGCGATTTGTGTGGCTAACGGATTCGTTGCAGCTTGCGTAGTTGTTTTGCAAATAGCTGATGTATTTAGGGGAATTTTTGGGGGGGCAGCTTCGAGGCGAATTGTCATGTTGAATTTTGAATTTTCTTGGGTAAATATGGGATTGTTGCAACCCTTTGGGGACCATTTTTGCGCAATTTTGAGAGGATATTTTTGTTTCATTCAGTCTTGTTTTGATAGATCTGGGGGCACTCGAAGGACTGACGTTTTCTGTTTATTATTGTAACACTTGAGACGGGTTACACCGGTTCTGCTGCTCTTGTTATGGAAATTTTTGTTGAATAGGCGAATCCAGTGAAAAATATTTATCCTACCCGGGTAAAAAAAAATTGTCATCGGAATATTTTTTCCAAATTTTCAAAACATTTCTGGAAAACTTCTCGGAAAATTTGTCTTTTGAAACAAAAAACAATTGGGAAACAAAACAATTTTATTTTTGGAAAATGTTTTGACAAATTTTTCAAAACCTTTTGCAAAAATAAAATTGTTGTGTCTTCCGATTTTTTTTTGTTTCATAAAAAAAATTTTCTGGAAAGTTTTCCCAAAATTTTTTGAAAATTTGTAAAAAATATTCCGATTACAATTTTTTTTTTTATCAGAGGAAATCGAGATGAATTTATCCAGTCGCTATGAGGTATTAATAATTTTGGGATTTTTTTCATCACTGAAAAATTATCATTCGTGGTAAATGTGAAGTGTGACAAACTTGTAATCCTAGGGATTAGAACTAGCTCCGAAATTTCCAATCATCTCGACAATTTGTGATACATCTGCTGGGATTTCACTCACAATAGACATAAAACTTGGGCACGTGCCTCGGCACGTGTGACCACTCATTTCAATTATCATTCCTGCAAAGTGTACTAAATGGTGAAGGAATCAATTCAACAATTAAATGAACAATTCTTTAAAATAATTTTATTGATTGTTCCATTCTTTGTACAATAGAAAATATTTCTCAGAACTATATAAGAGCACAATTCGCAGGCATCACTTAAATTCTACTCTTAATTCTACAGCCTCAACCCGACGGTACGCGTTTATTTCACTCTATGAACTTAAAAAAAAATCCTAAAACAACGAGATCCGCTGAAATTATTCGCATTGACTAGAAAAAATAAATGGCAGTCGGAAAATTGCTGTCGATTGGTTCCATTTTTCGTCAGTCTATCCGCGAATCATTACACTGGTAATAAAATATTTTCTTACAAAGTAGTTAACGATATTTTCATTAGCACTTTACAATTCACTGGTAGATGATTCCATTCAACACCGAATGATCAATTATTTGACAAAATTCACTCCGTTATTACAATAAAATAAAATGGCGATTAGATTGAATATTTGGTTGACGATTGAGACAGTCATTTTTCAAAAATTGTTCACTCTCACTCAATTTGTCCATCCAATCTCAGAGACACTGGTACATGTTATTATGATGAGCCATTAGGTGCGGTTGGCTCATCTGGTGTTGGGTGTGGGGATTGTACATCCTTTGATCATAGCAGGCTTGATACTGGATCGGTGGACTGATGCTTTGGTCGCTGTAGCAATCGTACTCCTGCCACTCTGGCATAAAACGCTCTTGCGGATAGGGATATGTGTTGTGACCAGGTCCTAGACGTTTTTGAGCAGCTACAGCACAGCTACCCGTTGATGATGTGATCATGTTGCCGTTGTCGGTGATGCTTACAGTGACGTTGCCAACGTTCACTGTTATTTCACCGCTATCGGTGTTGCCCAGGGTCTGGGATAACGCCCAGATGTAGTTGTGAGCAAATCTCAAGGTCTCGATTTTTGTGAGCTTTGTGTCCTCTGGGAATGTAGGCAGAGCCATCCGGAGACGTTCCAGGGCGTCATTCAGGGTGTGCATTCGGTGGCGTTCTCGATCATTCGCTTTCATCCGACGGTTTCGCTTCAGTTTTAATACCTGGATATTTTTTAATCGTGAGGTTGTGAATATTCATTTTCAATCCGATGAAAAATTATTGTAATTATTAGGGGAATTACCTGTGTGGGGCTTTTGCATCGGGTGTTTCTAGTCTTCTTCTTCTTTTCTTCCTTCATCACTGGGTAGAGTGGGTCCACCGAATTCTCGTGCTTTGGTGATTCGAAACTCACGTCGAACCCGGAGTCTGATGAGCTAGAAAGCTCGTCGAAGCCGTTCTCACTGCAGAATGAGTACTCGGACGACATCGTGTACCTGAGAAATAAATTCATAACTCCGTTAATATATTCTTCAAGTACAATATTGTTTGTACAAACAAATCCACCAATACTCACGGTTAATGAGGATTAATCCAGTCTAGAAAATTATCACTGATTAATTTTAACTCCACAAAAATTGTTAACAAATAGATTGCAATTGGTTCAACGTGATACGGAGTTTGTGTTGTACACGAGGCGATAAACTCGGGGTACGAATGAGAACTGTGTACGTCCGAAGGGTCTGTAGTGGCATATATAGGACTTTGCCATCGGGGGTTGCGTACCCCCCACCTTGACAACATATCGGGAGAACCCCTAGCTACTGTATATGGGGCACCATTCAGAGGGAGACAGACAGACTGGGATTTACCCTCTAATCGTACAGTGGGCTTTCCCCGCCCCTATTTCTTCTCTTTTTCTCATTTTTCTATTTTACCCCCCCTCCATCATCCCTTGGATCTGGAGATATATGACGCGTGCCGCGGTTGTAACTGGACGCCTCGTTTTCGGATTAGTGGTTGGAGCTCATTGAGATTCCATCGAGCATTAATTATTGGTAATTAGAAAATAGACAAAATTCGGATACGCCATTTTATCTTCATCATTTTCAAGTATTTTTCCATTTTTTTTTATAGTCCCGGGTAAAAAAAAAATTGTAAAAGAAAGATTTTTTGCGAAATTTTCAAAAAATTTCGGGAAAACTTTTTAGAAAATTTTATTTTGTCATTTAGATGGCGTATTTTTTGAGAATATTGAAAAATAAAAAAAGTAAGAAAACAACAGTATAATTAAAAAAAAAATTATATTTGCAAAAATTTCTAGAAATTATAAAAAAAGTTTTCTGAAACAAATTTTTGAAAAATTTCTCCAAACATTTCCCAAAAATAAAATTGTTTTGTTTCCCGATTTTTTTTTTTGTTTCAAAAGAAAAATTTTCCGAAAATTTTTCCAGAAATGTTTTGAAAATTTGGAAAAAATATTCCGATTACAATTTTTTACCCTGGGTACACTATATTTCGGTATTGCTCGAAATTTATTTGTTTTCCGGTAATTTCTGGAGAATTAGGCGGAAAATTACGGCGTTGACAACTTTCGGTTGATTCATTCTTTAATTTTCGAAGTTTTATCAGAATCTGGTGTGATGCGATACCGATAATACCTCCCCATTGAAACAACAAGTGCAGATAATCTAATAAGTGACATATGGCGTGATAAATATCGCTATAGCAACAGCAACAGGCTAATCAGGTCCTCGAAAATAAATCGGGGGAAAAAAAATAGAAATTCATATATCGTTTATGCCATTCAGCATCATGACCTCAACAACGGGAAAATCAGAGAATTGCGCAGGTCGTCCATAAATTCGATTATCGTCGATGCATTATCGATTTGCACATGATCGAGTCGGTGAGTTGACTCTCATTATCATGTGAATGAAAAATTTTTTCAGCAGACAGTCTGTGACGAATTGAGCCGTTTAGATTCTGTTTGGGTTAGTTGAGAGGTTTATTATGCAATTTGCAATTTACATCGGGTGTGGGATACCGGCACGTGTGAATCTTGAGGGAAATTAACGGTCTACATTGTTTCGGGTACTCCATAAATTTAGAATTCCCAGGCAAAAGTTTACTTTCACTCCGCGATGTTATTAAATCATCAATTATTGTTCCGTATGTTACGATGGATCGGGTAAAAAAATTGTAATCGGAATATTCTTTCCAAATTTTCAAAACATCTCTTGAAAATTTTTCTTTTGAAACAAAAAAAAATCGGGGAACAAATTGTATTTTTGGAAAATGTGAAAAATTTTCCAGAAATTTTTGCGAATATAATTTTTTCTTTTAATTATACTGTTGTTTTCTCATTTTTTTTATTTTTCAATATTCTCAAAAAATACGCGATCTAAATTATAAGAAAATTTCCTATTCAAATTTTTGAAAAATTTTTCAAAACCTTTCCCAAAAATAAAATTGTTTAGTTTTCCGATTTTTTGTCATAAAAAAAATTCTCTGAAAAGTTTTCCCGGAATTATTTGAAAAATTTGGAAAAAATATTTCGAGTAAAACATTTTTTTTCTCCTGCTTTACGAATTTATAAATTATTGGTAAAAATTTATTGAAGAACGGGCGGTTCAACCCTTCGTTCTCTAGACAATTCCCCGATTTCGATAAAAAACCCCTTTTCACCGTGAAATCGATCTCGCTGACACATGGGATGAAAAAAAATTATTGGAAATTACACGAGAGATTTGGCCACGAGGCGTGACAAATCCAACATCAAATAAAAAAAAAAAGCGTAAGAGTCAGGTTTCATTTATTATTTCGATGGTCGAGAAAAGGATAAAAAGGGTTTTGTGGATTCAATTTGGTGTCAGTGATACGCTCCGATTGGATAATTTATTGGAAAGGTTTTATTGGTGTTATTGATGAGCCAGATGTCGCACTCTAGGGATCACTTAGCGAAAGTTCTTCTCCGTTAACAGAAATTCAGGTCTGAGATTCTGAATAATCCGTGGGAATTCCTCTGCACTGATAACACTATTCATTCAGTCGACCGATCTTTCTCACTCGTAATGTATGACGCTGACATTTCTCAGAGCTGCACTGAATTAACGCGATTGCAGAACCACTGGGAAACGTTGGGGATGATCTTTCAAATTATCCCACGTTCGGATTTTAATGTTTTCATCAATATTCGTATCTCCTTTCCACTCAAGACAATTATTCCTTCGCCTATAGGAGCTAGATGTAAGAGAAATCAAAGCCAGTTGGTTGAAAAAAAAAAAACATTGACCAATCGAGGGAGTCGTTCACTGGGTCAGTGATCGATCAGCCGTTTCAGTAGATCCATCAGAATTTGTTTTGCCATTCTTCTCCCTCAGCACTCGATTGATGAGTGTGATATGACGTATTTGAATGATTACTTCTCCCAATAAATCAATTCATACTTTCTATCGGAGTCGATTCGGGGTATTGAAAAGCCAACGACAGGATAAACTCCAGAAATATTCAGCTTGTCTACCTCCAGGTGCGATCACGCGTTGAGACCTCCAATATATCCAGTTTTCCTATTTAAAAATTGCCTCTATATCACAAGTAAAATGATAGTTCCATTAGCATTCGGTAATTAATGCATTAACAACCGTTTGTATTGAATAATTTAACGGGAAAAATTGATAATTCATAAAATAAACTCGAGAAATTCAGCTTGAATGGTAAAAAGTAGTTCTTGGTTGGTCGAGCTGTTGGTAAAAATCCATGAAAATTGTTTATTCAATTTTCCATCCGTCCACCTACGTTCTACTATATCGTAAATCACTGGAGTCATAATCGCTCGGTGAAGGCATGCCTTTCCCTCCTTTTTCCTAATTTTTCATCCTTATTCCACCCATCAACAAGGATGGATAAAACGATTCTATGGTGTTACCTGTTATTCCCGGAGTTATCACGAATAGTCTATAGACTCGCCTTATTCCACAAGGTACAACCGTTTCTTTCTCATTCCCATTCCTTCCACTCCTCCTTGGGCCTGAGGCCCCGCATACCTTCTTACGATGCAGTGCTCTCCTGTCCATAGCCTCGACAACACACTCCGTACACGAGACTCACGTCTCCTTTATCTGTCAAAAATTCAATAATAAATTAACCTGGAGGGTTACTTCTGCTGTCTTCCAGAGGTTGAACTGCAGAGTGAAGTTACGATGAGTTGACCAGTGGATTTTTACGTGTCGCATTTGGATTAATTGGTAATTCATTGGATTGGAGATATAGTATTTTATTATTCATCTCTGATGAGTGATCCAATACTTTTGGAAGTGTTCGCATCGGTTTTTCTTCGAGGTGGGGGACAACATTCCGGTCACTTCAGAACTCTTGAAATTCCCCACGTGTAACGTAATACAGGGAATAACGGTGGTTTTTCTTTTTTTCTTTTTCAATGGCGTTGTGATTAAAGAGTCTGGGACACGAGGCCACAGGTAACCGGTAGAAAAGACAGTTAGACGGACGTGCCGTTAATCAGGTCTTCTGGGTGATGATGATCGCGTGATGTCGTGTGGATGAAATCGAGTCTCTTTGCTGGTGGAAAATTGTTAGGGGTTTTTTTTCGGGGGGTTCTCATGGGCCAGGGGATCGATGTTCTCGGGATGGTTAGTAATGGGATGGGTCCCGTCGAAAACTGGGGAGTTCGATGCTGGGGAGAGAGATCATCTCACAAGATGAATCCAAACTCGTTCAACACCTTTCGCTATTTTTTATTTGCTTTACTCTATGAATAATCGGTAAATTTACGTCGTCATGCTTCTCGCGCTCGGTAAATTTAACATAATACCGGTGGAATGCGGTAATGACCACTGGGAATAACGGGTATTTTTTTTTTTTGTGTAATGTGTGGCTCATTATCCGGAGAACTTCGCTTGAAGACTGTTGACTCAAATAAACACAAATTTCAGAGGGAAAAAATGGGATTCACAGGGGGTGGATGACCAGGATATCCTTGATTGAGTCATGGAGAACGTGACTTGACGCTTCAATCCTTCATCTCACCCTGTGAATCCATAATCAATTTGTTTTTCCATGAAATAATTGTTGTTTATCGCGGTGAATAATTATGTTAACACGGTGAAGTGGGAGGAGATAGGAAGAGGATTCGGATATTGCACTGAAGATTATCATCTCGATTGAATTGTAATTCCATAAGAAGTGAGAGCTCAAGTCACGGTATTGCGCCTAGACGCACTCGTTATTTCTCTCGGTACAATTGTCTTACGCAATGTTGTTACCCATTCCAACGATAAAGGTGTATTTATATCAATAGAAAGCCGAACGACAGAGGAATCTCGGTGTTCTCATCCTGTTTTCAGGATTTCCTCGGTAATTACATCAACCGCAGTCCATGAAAAATAACAGCCCTCGAACAATCATATGAATATTAAAATTACTCCTCTGCAGGGTGTAATAATGGTGGACCAGACATTATTCATCCAGTGAGGTTTTTTTTTTTCCCACGAGTGAAAATCTCGGGATGTTAGAAAGTCCATTATTTATTCACTGAGAAAACCGGACAAGATCAGGGCTGAGGCGATGGCTCTCTCTCTTTTTCTTTCTCCCTCGACCAGAAATGGAATTTGATTTCTAACGCCTTTTCATTGAGATTGCAATGAAACCGGTAACTGATACCGTTGTTGTCTCCTATTCCGTTGCAATGAGAACACTTCCAAAAATGGCAGGATCGCCAGTGGATGATTATTAACATGATTCTGTGTTCAGCGTGATGATGAGAGATTTTATGATCCTCTGGATCATCGCACTGTCACCAGTGTTGGCTCAAGTGGTAAATCGAGGGCCTCATTTTATTCACAATGGTGATATGGCGAGACTTGCTGTGTCAGAAGGGACATTACCTGGTGCTGCTGTCTATAAACTCCAGGGTGAAGACCCGGAGGGCTCGAAATTGCATTATTCAATCAGTGGCGAGTATTTCACGGTTAACCGTGAAACTGGTGTTGTTACACTCAGGCGTGCACTGGACCGTGAAGTCCAGGATCTCATTGAAGTAATCATCAGTATAACTGGTGAGTAATTGGTGATTGAGTCTTGTGGTGGGGAGTTATAATTTTTCAATCGTTTAGATGAGGGTGTGGCTGGGTCTGAGCCAAATATCGTGTCCTTGAGGAGAGAAATTGCTGTTCTCGATGAGAATGATAATCCACCGGTTTATCATGGTCGACCTTATGCAACCAGGATAATGGAGAGTGCTAAAATTGGTAGTCTGTTGTTGCCAGAGGGGACCGTTACGGTTACTGATCGTGACGGTGGGGTCAACGCTGACGTCGAGGTCAAGTGTGTACCAGCATCGGCTGACGATGACACTTGCTTCGTGTTCAACGTCACCACGGAGAAGGTTCGAACTTCCCCTCAATATATCTCCTTAGGTCTTTATCCAAGGTAATCAGACCTTTTATTCCAGATCTCAGAGGGAAAATACGATGTGAGAATCACAGTCGTTCAACCCCTGAATTACGAGCGTAGAAATTCTTACCTCATCACGTTGCTAGCAACTGATGGGGCTGGAGATTTCTCTAAGAGGCTCCAGGCTAGGGCCACAGTTGCTGTGGATATCCTAGATGTTCAGGATCAGCCCCCGATATTTCTGAATGCTCCTTATAGTGCAGCTATTCCGGAAAACACGTCGCCGGGGCATCCGGTATTGACCATTAGGGCTCGGGATGGAGATACTGGCGAGTCTAGGTCGGTTTTACTCAGTCTTGAGGGCGATGATCTTAATCATTTCGATTTGAGGATCTCCAGGGAGGGTGATATCACTGTTGGAACACTTGTCACCACTGATGTTGCACTGGATCGGGAAGAGACTAGGATTCTTCATGATGGGGGAATTTATACGTTTAAAGTCAAGGCTACGGAGTTGATTAATGATGAGATTCCCGCTGAATTTTCAACCTCGGTTATTACAATCGTTGTTACTGACGTTGATGATCTGTCCCCGGTGTTCAATGAGGGATTCTTCAAGGTTAAAGTGTTTGAGGATATAGGAGTTGACACACCTTTGCCTGGATTGAATATGGTTGTCAGTGATAATGACGTCGGTGAGAATGCCAAATTCATTTTAGCCCTGAGAGATGCACCGAGTTATCCAGGGGTCAGTCGAGGATTCTCGGTGACACCTGAGCAGGCACAGGGGCGAGTCCCAGTTGTAATCAAAGTTCTCGATCCAAAAATTCTGGATTACGACGTGGAAGACATTTCAAAACGAGAGATGGAGTTTGATGTGACTGCCTCCGTCGACGGACGAGTTGCAGCTTTCTCGAGGGTTCATGTGAAGCTTCTGGATGCCAATGATCACAGCCCGGAATTTTCTCAGGCGATTTATCGGCTCTCGGTGAGGGAGGATGCCAAACCTGGGACTAAATTTGGGGACGTCGTCGCCAGGGATGAGGACAGCGAGAGTTTTGGAGAATTGACTTATACCCTGCGAGGATTTGGAGCTGATAAATTCAGGACTGAAATGAAGAATGGAGGGATTTGGTTGGTTAAGGCTCTGGATTATGAGGTTCAGAAGTCTTATTCTCTGACGATGGAGGCGAGAGATGGAGGGGGTAGAGTGTCAACGGTAAATGTTATCATAGAAGTGGCTGATGTCAATGACAATGCACCAGTGTTCGAGCAGAAGGAGTACTCCAGAACGGTGAGGGAAGGTGCCACTAGCTTTGATCCTCAGTTATTCATTAGAGCAACTGATGTCGATGGTCCAGCTCATGGCAACGGACAAATCACGTACTCTATCAGCAGGCACACCGGAATGAGTGATAATGTCTTTCATATCAATGCGCAGACCGGAGAGGTGACCATGAACTCTCCAGCCAGATCTGGGGACACCGAGAGGGGTCTCTATGAATTGACAATTCGAGCCACTGATCATGGCTATCCCCCGCTGTTCTCCGAGACAAAAGTATTGGTTCGTGTTGGTGTTCCTGGTAACCAGAGGCCCGTCTTCAGGGGAAACTACAAAGGAGTCCCTGGACCCAATAGTTATCGAGCGAGATTATTAGAAAATGCCAGTCCGGGGACAGAAGTTATTAAAGTAGTGGCTAATGATCCTGATGGACGAGACAGCCTTCTGCAGTACTACATTGCCTCCGGGGCTAAAGACAACTTTGTTATTGATTCCAGTTCCGGAATTATAACGGTATCCCCTGATGCTAGACTTGATCTAGAGACTGGTGGTGATAAATACGAGGTTATTATATACGCTGTTGATTCTGGAGCACCGGTTAGAGAGACAGCTACCACTACTGTAACTGTTAATGTTATCGATGTTAATAATAAGCCACCGAAATTCAGGAATTCAACTTACCTGGTTTATGTATCGGAACGAGCATCGATCGGTGATTCTGTACTCAGGGTGTCTGCGGTCGATCCTGATACAGACGCTGATATCGAGTATTCGATAGTGGAACCTATTCAAGCTGTTGATAAGACTGGAGTTGCCTTGAAGAGCACAACACCTTACGATTACAAGACTGCATTCAGGATTCATCCAACCACGGGAGCTATTTCTGTGAATCGAGTTTTGGATTATCAAGTGGCAGCGGTGATTATTTTAACTGTTCAAGCAAGAGATGTCAATGCAGCGGTCGATAAAGAGTTGCAATTCGATACTGTCGAGGTGACGATCTACATTCAAGCCTTCAGCAACAATAACCCAATATTCTTGAATCCTGGGTGGTCGTTGAATAATCCGGTGATCAGAGTTACTGTGCCTGAAGAGCAGCCCCTTGGAACTACCCTGTTGATGCTGTCTGCCAGGGAGTCCACTGGTCACGTTGTCCAGAGGTTTGATCTCGTCCGAGAAGATGAAGACGAGGGATTCGTTAATGTAGGCGTTCAGAGTGGAAACGTCGTGTTGAGTAAAAGACTGGATTACGAGTCTTTGGGACAGAAATTCATAAAGTTCAAGGTCCGAGCGCTTGCCAGGGATTACGATATAACCAGGACGATGACGGAAGCTACCGTTATCGTTGAGATTCAAGATGTCAATGACAACAGTCCAGAGTTCACGAAGAAAGAGTACAAGATATCGGTGTTAGAGGATTCGAAGCCTTCTAGGATTGTTTTGAATGTCAAGGCTGTGGATGTGGACAGTGCGAATACCGAAGAGGAGGTCAAGAGGGGATTTGGCGAGGTGAGGTACACCCTGACCGGGGAAAACGCCAATCTCTTCGATATTGATGCACTCAATGGAAACATCAGGATCGCAAAGGATACAACACTCGATCGAGAGAGGCAATCTGTCCTCAGGTTCTATGCTGTGGCCTCTGACATGCCTGGAGGTGGGGCAGAGCAGAGGACCACGCGGTCTTTGGTAACTGTCGACGTTCTCGACGTCAACGACAACGCCCCCACCTTCCCCCAGGACTCCTACACAGCAGTAATTCCTGAAAATGCTCCCGTCGGTGTCAGCGTTGTCAATGTCACAGCTAGTGATCCAGACGAGGGAAAGGGAGGGGAAGTATACTTCGAGATTATCGACGAGGGAGAGGCCAGTGGACTCTTCTCGATCAACCATCAAACCGGAGAGATTTACTCTGCAAAAAAACTAACAGGAAAGGGCAGGACTGATCCTTATAATATGAGAGTTAGGAGTCAGGATAATGGACAACCTGTTCTGCACTCTGACGTTTCTCTGACCCTCTACATCGGTGACGTCGTCAGCAACGATGGAGTTCCTCTCTTCATCCGTCCCACACTGGAGGAGATTGCGTACATCTCCGAGAACTCGACGATAGGGAGTCCAGTGTTTCAGGTAGTGGCTTCGGATCCTGATGATCCCAATCGTCCTGATGGTAGGATTACCTTCAAATTTCTGGAGGATGGAAATTTTGAGAACGACGCCAGCTCGTTCAGGATCAATGGAGAGACAGGATTGATTACAACGCGTAAACTTTTGGATCGTGAGATCAAGGACAGTTACACATTAATTCTCGTTGCTCAGGATTTGGGGAGTCCTCCTCAGCAAGCGTCCAGAGTTCTTCAGGTAGTTGTCAACGACATCGATGATCACAAGCCACATTTTAAAAGGGGTTTGGACAGTCCTCCGATAGAGTTCAGTGTTCCTGAGGAAGTTCCTGTGGGTACGAAGGTCGGAATCGTCGAGGCCGTCGATGAAGACATTGGTGAAAACGGAATGATGGATTACGCCATAACTTATGGGAACGAAGCTGGACTTTTTAGTATAGAACGACTGGAGAACAACTCAGCAATTATTAGATCAGCTGGGCGACTCGATCGAGAGATAGTGGATCGTCATCTGTTAACAGTCAAGTGTTTTAAATACCCTGTGATGCTGCCTGATGTAATTCCCAGGAGATACAATCGTCAGGATCCTTCGGAGCGACAGTTCCTGGTTAGAGTCATTGACGTTGACGACAACAAGCCCCAATTCAGGAAGGACAACATCACGATTGGGGTCAGACTTAATGTACCTATTGATACGAGCTTGATTACTTTGGAAGCCTATGATGAAGATGTCGATGCACTTCCGATTAATTACGTCATGGGAAAGGTGTCATTCACGTCATTGGCTGAGCCCTCGATGTCGAAGAAGGGGATTCCATCGTATCTGGCACTGAATCCTCAAAGTGGAGAGCTCAGGACAACTGGCTCGATGGCTAGCTTTGCTGATGGCTTCATGGAGATCCCCATCACAGCGAATAATTCTCAAGTACCTGGAAGAGAGACCAACGTGACACTTCGCATTTTTCTGCTGAGGGACAGAGACATGTTGAAGTTTGTATTCTCAAAGCCACCGGTTGAGGTGAGAAAGACGCTCGAGGAATTTGAAAAGGCTGTGCAGCAGGCGTTGTCTCTTCCCATCACAGTCAACGTTTACGACACTCAGTTCTACTCGAAGGACGATAATTCCCTTGACTTCTCATCGACAAGCTCTTGCTTTCAAATGGTGGGACGTGAGGCATACGATCTCGAGGAAATGAAGGCACTGTTGAGGGACTCCAGGAATGACGAGTTGAAGAAGGTCTACGAGAAATTTCACGTTGAGAAAGTACAGCATTGTGCAGCTCTCGTGGCACGAGCTGATGCTTCGATGACTCAGATGTGGGTACTTGCCATAGCAGCATTGGTTGGTGTTGCCACGATTATTTCTAGCTGCGTGTTATGCTGCATGCACTCGAAGTAAGTTTTATCGTAATTGGACACTAACAACTCTAGAGATTGAATGCAGGGGTAATTTGTTGACTTTGATTTCATGGAATTCAATTACCAGAGTGATATTTTAGTGATAATATGAAGATGATGATGAGGTTATTAACTCGATTTTCTCCATTTCGAAGATACAAACGTCACGTGAAACACGCACGCTTGAGGGAACAAGCGAGACCACCACTGAGTTATGTTTCTTCAGGGCCTGGAATGGTCAATGCACAATCTCACACAACATTGGGGACCCTTGGGCCTGGAACAATCGTTGCTTTGGGCCCTCACGAAGGCCCTTACGAGTGGGGGGCTGACACAACGCTCTATCATCCCAGCACCTTGTCTAGAGCGTAAAGTGTTTTCATGAGAGAATGAAGAAGACTTCGGTGCTTATGAATAATGACTAGTGATTTAAAATTGATAAGTGGATAATCGAAAGGTGTCCAATTATTTTGTACAGTGGGATAAGTTTGAGGTACAAGCCTTCTGTAATATAATTCTTAATTAGTCCTTTCAGTTGAGACATGTACATTTTAGAGTATTTATATAAACGTTGAATACAAAAAATATATAATTTATATTCATCGATGGACGTTTAGACATGTGAGAAGTTGAAGTATTTCGGCTGAGGATTTATCAGTCTGTGCGTTTATTTAAATGTCAAGGTAACAGCTGGTACCAACCCAATGTTTTATCTTTCTTTTTTTTCGATAAATCGACGATTTTATGGTGCAAAAAACATGATAAAATAGTCGTAAATCGGTCTTACGATATCACATTATTTTTTTCTACAAAGTGAAACTCGGAATTACTCTAATTGGTGAATGTCTGCTACTATGTGGAGACAATAACTTCTAATACTTTCACTTTTACAGTATTTTCCAATTTTACGTACAGGATTTATTCTTTGGATTGCTCTTTGTAATTAGTCTGTCGCTACCAGACCATCGGCAAATTTCTGAAAACCCTCGGGGGTATCGACATCCAAATCAGAGGTTGAATTTTTTATTCCTCCTGAGACAGTCTCGTTAGCTTCGCTCATATTATCAATACTTTCCTCGCTCTTATTACCCTGATGATTGAACAGTACATCCTGGGGCTTTTTGTCCTCTTCATTCGGCATTTCCAGAAAGCTCTCTTCGTATTTGGTCAATGGTAAATTAGTCGGGTCGTTATCTGCCTCTTCTAGTTTCGATTCCTCAATGGCAGAGTGATCAGTCAATTGTTTGGTGATTGTATCAAATGGAGACATGACTTTCCTCACGAATTGCTCATGATTCTCTGGAGGCATTGCCTCGGATCTCTGGATAATATCTTTCCTAAAACACGAGAGTGACAATAAAAAATCCTTAAACTCTTCAAAACCTATCCCCTCACCTGCTGAGTTTGTTCTTCTTCCGGGGATACAAATTCAGGTGAAATACCATTTGCTGCTTCTCCTCCTCTTCCGTTCCAGATGGACTCGCTGGAAAAGCGACGACAGGAATCGGTTGGGGATGGCCCCCGTAGTATCTCCCACCTCGACCAAAGGTCATAGGTCTTCTGGAATCTGTTGAATAGTCCTCTTCACTCGGTCTAGGTCGTGAAACTTTCTTATTCGTCGGTTGATCATTAATTTCGGTGATGGGGTAGATATCCAGCATCACGCTGAAGGGCTTTGCCTTCCTCTTCTTGTTCCCATAGGCTGAGTAGCCTGCACCATTGTCATAGGTTGATTCGACGGGTGGAGGTGGTCTCATGATGATCGGACGCTGCATATATTGTTCGTAGTAGGGATTGTACCTTTGAAGACCCGCAGGTGAAAACCTGAAGACAAGTCGATTAAATGACGTTTCCTGCTAAATTTAATGATTTTATTCACCTAAGGTTGGCAGGTGCTAGGAGATTGACGTCCGCAGGATGTTTAGGCTTGTAAGGATAGAAAGGATCATTATTCATGAAGAGAAATGGAGAACTGTCAGAGTCCTCAGGGTCTTCATCATCTCCAGGGACTAATATCTCGGATTTATCGCTGTTAGCCATCATCTCGCCGATGTCGGGGTATAGGTCGTACTTCTTTGGGTTCATGTACACTCCAGTGAATTTAATTCCTCGTTTCGGACTCTCCGGGTCGTTCGTCAGGTATTTTATTATGTCCTGAATGTTTCGGGAGTTGTGGGGATACCTGTACTGGGATAATTGAGGGAATTTGAGGCGTTGGAAGGATGTGGGCGTCGGGTTCTGGAGTTTGAAGTGAAAAGGGGTGGGTCGTAGATCCTCTGGAGCTTCCTCGTTGTCGTCTGGTCCATGGGGATACCTAAATCAATAAAGAAGTGTTGCTGATTCATTCGAGGGACGTTAAAGGATTTTTTTGTTACATTTGTCTGACTCGATAGACGACTGCGTGATTGCTGAATAATTGCTTAGACTCGATTTCCTCCTCACCAACGTCTTCGCTCTCGGCTGATTCCAATAATCTCTTGCGTAATTTGAAATTTTCAAGACTCTGGGATCGTGGCTCCAGTGGATCAGGCTCCAGACTCTTTCCATACTTTTCGGATTTGTTTGAGGGATCGATGAAGGACAGGGATTTTATGTCGTCGTCATATCGCTCTTCAATGCTCGTCATCGAGAGTCTCTCGACCTCTGGTTTTTGGGATGTTGTTGGAATTTTTTTGGGGAGACTCGAGGATTTTTTCAGGGCATTCTGCAGGATGTAGATGTGCTTTGTCTCCTGGCTGACTTTGCTGCTTGCTGATGCTCCGGAGGCAAAATCGTAGATGAATATAGCGGCCTGTTGAAGTTGAGAAATCATTTCCACGTCGAGTTTCTATCGATCATCTTGACCGTGAAATTACGACAATTATAATTCAACAATTAAACGCTTCATGGTGTTAGATCACGCTATTTTATTCGCATTAAATTGAGAAATAATCGAGTTTGAGAATTGTAGGAATGTATAATCCGTGTCAAAGCACAGTTAACGCCCCATATGTGAAGCATTGCAGAAAAATCTCGGGTTCGACGTCACGACCGGTCGTCACGCATCATGTTCATTGCAGAATTAAGACCTGAGGAGAAAATATTTGGAGCCTCCTCGTACATGATCTTCCGTAGAATTTCTTTCGTGTAGAATTTCTTTTTGGGTTGAGAGATACAGACATTTAACGGTTGAATTTAGACGGAATTACATGATAAAAGAGAAAGCTCGGAGGGAATTCCCACAGTCCATCTACTGATGCTGTTCACATGCTAACGTAACTGCAGTGATGAGACAGAATTTTACAATGAAGTGCTAATGAGCGGGTGATTATTGTTATTAAGTCGAGGGGAACGAACTGCTCTATCTCTCTTTGCAACAATGTAATCTTTTTTATAAGAATTATCATTATCGGGGAGAGTGAATTGTTCTTAGATTAATCTTTCTATGAACAACTGATTTTCCTTTTATCGTCTTGAAGAGTACCCGGGTAGAAAAAAAATTGTAATCGGAATATTTTTTCCGAATTTTCAAAACATTTCGGAAAATTTTTCTTTTGAAACAAAAAAAACCTGGGAAACAAAACAATTTTATTTTTGGAAAAGGTTTTGAAAAACTTCAAAAATTTATTTCGGAAAACTTTATTTATAATTTTCTAGAAATTTTTGCGAATATAATTTTTTTTTTAATTATACTGTTCAGTTTTTACTTTTTTGATTTTTCAATATTCTAAAAAAATACGCCATTTAAATTATAAAAAAAATGTTCCCATTTTTTTTTGTTTCGTAAAAAAAATTTTCTGGAAAGTTTTCCCGAAATTTTTTGAAAATTTGGAAAAAATATTCCGATTACAAGAAATCGAAAATTGAAGAAAAATTTTTCATAAGATATGGTTTACCGGCGTACGGGCCCACGGGCCCACGGGCATTATCTATAATTTTTCACGGAGGAAAATTTTTTTTTTTAATTCAAATATTTTTGGCGCGTAAATGATGATAAAATTCTTAGGGATGAGATGTGGAAATAGGATTTTTCAATCTTTAGGATCTGATTAGATATAGTGAAAGGAATTACCAAAATTACAGCGACGATAGCCATGACCACAATAGCAAATTTCCTGACGACAGGTCCGTATTTACTCGAATTGTATCGATCAGCGCGATCAGAGTAAAGTCCCAGCTCTGAACTGCTAATTGCCGATCTCCGTCCAGTCTCGAACATCTCGTGCACTCCAATTTCACGCACGTTCAATCATAATTGAGATTTTTTATTTTTTCACTGGTATCAATAGGCTGGTTGTTCACTTGGCACCTGCTGGAGTGACTAAACTCCCCGAATGCAGTTTTCACTGGTATTCAATTGCTCTGTTCGGGTACAATGAGAAATTCTTTTCTCGTGGGGGCGGATGGAGATGGTAGGAGAACATGTGAATGCATGAACTACTTACCAAACGACTTTGGAAGTCAGTGTCCATGAAGATGGTTTAGAATGAGAAGTCACTGCACTTGGACAATGAAATTGGTCCTGTACAGGTGGATTTAAAAAATTGTCTTTTATTTTACCTTGCGATAATTACATCTTCACGCAACATTTTCTCTTTCTAAAAGATAAAATTGGTACAGCGTTTTCAGGCGTTGAGTAGATGTGAGCATTTTCGGGCGATTTACATTCGTAAATTTAAGCCTCAAGATAAAAAACTATCAATTTTTTTTCTCGTTAGCCAATTGTACGATTTTTTATTATTCTTAATATAAATCTAGGTACTAACGTTTACGAAAATCGAAGGAGATTTCAGGGATTGGGTAGTTGTATCCGATTGGTCTCGATGTGGGGGGTGGGAGGGTTGGTGGTGGTCCTGGTCGACCGGTTGGGGGTGGACGATAGGTTGATGTACTCGGGGTTATGCTGTAGATTGGGGTTGGGAAGGGAGGGGGACGAATGGTTTGGTACGTGGGTCTTGGGGAGGATGGTGGAAGGTATGGGGGTGGTCTGGTTTCAGGTTGACGAGTTGGTTGAGTTGGAGGAGAAACGTATGTTGTTCTTGAGGTTACGGGGGGTGGACGGGCTGTTGTTTGAGAAGGGGTGTAAGGTGTTCTCGTTGTTTGAGGGGGAACGACAGGTGGTCTGGTGGTTTGGGGAGGGATGAAGGGATTTCTGGTTGTTGGGGGTGGCAGGTATTCTGGTGGAGAGGTTGAGACTGGTCTTCTCGTTGGTGGAGGCGGTGGAGGTCTCGTAGGTGGAGGAGGTGGTGGTCTCGTTGGTGGTGGAGGTGGAGGTCTCGTTGGTGGAGGTGGTGGAGGTCTCGTTGGTGGAGGAGGTGGAGGTCTCGTTGGTGGAGGTGATGTGGGTCGTGTTGGAGGTGGAGGTGGTGGCGGACTCCTTGTTGGCGGTGGTGGAGGTCTCCGCGTTGGTGGAGGTGGCGGTGGAGGAGTCCTAGTTACTGGTGGTGGTGGAGGTCTTCTCGTTGGAGGTGGCGGAGGCCTTGTAGTAACTTCTACCGGTGGTAGGTACTTTGGTGGATTTGTTTTTGGTGTATCGAAGTGAGGTCTCGTTGGGGGTGGTGAAGGTCTTCTCGTGGTAGTCGGAGGAGGTGGAGGCCTTGTCTGAGGTGGTGGCCGTGGGGTTGTTCGGGTCGGAGGAATATATTCAGGAGTTGTTGGTGGGGGTCTAGTGGGAGGAGGTCTGGTTGGTGGAGGTCTAGTCTGAGGTGGTGGTCGTGGGGTTGTTCGGGTCGGAGGAATATATTCAGGAGTTGTTGGTGGAGGTCTAGTAGGGGGAGGTCTGGTCTGAGGTGATGGAGGAATATATTCAGGTGTTGTGAATGGAGGTGGAGTTTTTACTGGAGGTCTGCCGGTCGGGGGAAAAGGTTGATCCGGTTTTGGATAATAGTACGTTGTGCTCTGAACCGGCCTCGGTGTTGTAGGAGGCGATGGTCTTGGTGTGGTTGGTCTCAGCGTAGTGCGTTCTCCGAAGGGCACAGTTGGCCTGGGGGTAGTCTGTGGAGGCACCCTTGTTGGCGTTGGGAAGGACTCGTCTGGTTTTGGATATGAATATCCGGGTTGCTTAGGTGGTTGAGTGACTGGAGGTCTATACGGAGGCTGAGTTACTGGCGGCCTGTATGGAGGCTGAGTTACCGGAGGCCTGTATGGAGGCTGCGTTACTGGCGGTCTGTATGGAGGCTGAGTTACTGGTGGCTGAGTGACTGGCGGTCTGTATGGAGGCTGAGTAACTGGCGGCCTATATGGAGGCTGAGTTACCGGAGGTCTATATGGAGGCTGAGTAACTGGCGGCCTGTATGGAGGCTGAGTTATTGGTGGTTGAGTAATTGGCGGCCTGTATGGAGGTTGAGTGACTGGTGGTTGAGTAACTGGCGGCCTGTATGGAGGCTGAGTGACTGGTGGCTGATATGGTGGCTGTGTTACTGGAGGCCTGTATGGAGGTTGAGTTACTGGAGGCCTATACGGTGGCTGAGTTACCGGAGGCTGAGTTACAGGTGGAAATGGCTCTTTTGGTTTCGGATACGAGTATCCTGGTGGTTTCGGTGGTTGCGTTACTGGAGGCCTGTACGGCGGCTGAGTAACTGGAGGCTGATAGGGTGGCTGAGTTACTGGAGGTCTGTACGGTGGTTGAGTAACCGGAGGCCGGTACGGAGGCTGAGTTACCGGTGGCCTGTAAGGTGGTTGAGTTACCGGTGGCCTGTACGGTGGTTGAGTTACAGGTGGTCTGTACGGTGGCTGAGTAACTGGAGGCCTGTACGGAGGCTGGGTAACTGGTGGCTGATACGGTGGTTGCGTCACCGGTGGCCTGTACGGGGGTGGTGTCACTTCTGGTCGCCTATTCCAAAGATAATCATCATCATAAATCCATAAATACCCACCAAATAATTCGCATTAAATGTACTCACGAAGGCGGTAGAGGAAAAGGCTTCTGCGGGGGATTATAAACATATCCCTCGAATGGAGCTTGTGCGCCTGAATCACCATCAATCGCTCTCTTGCTCTTCCCGTGCACCTGGCACGTGGAGAGCACTGCCACCAGTGTGACACTCCACAGCAACTTCCACTGTAAACATCCACAACATTATTCCCCTCATTAATTATACTCGTTGACATTCAGTGGTGAAATGCATCGACGGATGATCTGCACCGAATAAAAATATTGCGCAATCGAAATCAAGTTTTCCTGAACGTGAGGGGCTGACTAACTCGTGGGATACTCTCACGCCTCGCCCTCAATTATCCTTACATAAGTCTAGACTCCACATGATGACAGAGTGCAATCGTAGGAGGATGGCACAAGATATCGTTAAAAATTCTCAATCATATTGGCAGACATGAAATTATCATTAATCAGTTTCCAATGGCTGTGCTCATCTAAATGAGGTACAGAATTCATTTCGAAACTTGAATTCAATAAAAAATACTGAGGGAAGCCGAAAAAAAAATAAAAGAAAAATGTAGGGGCAATGGGGTTTGCGCCATCGCAGGGCCATCGATGGTTCCAGCTCGAAAGGAGACGTCCAGTGACCTTTAACAACTATAATTTATATCTAAGATCGAGCATAGGGAAGAGTAAATATCGCTCCTCAAAGGTTATGGCATCTATTGTAGATTGGTGAATGTCCCCATGACGAGTCAATGAGTCAATTAAACCCCATTAAAGCATTCACGCTGGTGTATCAATAGTAAATTGAGTCATTGAGTGTAAATCAGGTACTCGGTACTTATTTCATTCATAAATGCCTCATTCATATACTCCTGAATACATTAGAGAAATTGCAAAAAAAAAATTATATATATACATTTCCACATTTCCACATTTCCTGCTTCACTACTTCACTTGAATCTTGCATTTTTCTTTCAATTCCGTAATGCGAATGTAGATCCGGAGAAAGTTTGAAAATGGTCGCGCATCTTTGGATTCTGCCATGGGGCAAATATACGATGACCAATATTGTTGATGCTGGCCTTTATAAAAGCCCCATACGACTCGTATGAGGCGTCGACTTGTTGTGCAACATCAGGTTCCTCGATTATATCATCGACACCAGTGGGTATTGACGATACCAAACATGTGGGATAGGTTAAACTGTCAGTCTTATTCAAACGCTCTGTTTAGATTAGTGCAATGGTCCATTGAGTACTCATTGAGAACCTGTTAAACCTGACGCTCGTCTCGACGATATTTGCATGGCAATTATTCTTTAGTCTCACCGTTATCCCCAGGATTACGATTAGGAAATCATCCGGGTGTCAGAATTTGAATAATGGTGGATAAAAATAGGGAATTCAGACGATCGTCTGATGAAATCAATTGGAAATACTCTTGCCAAAAAAAAATTTCTCTTGGTGTTCAAGGTCTAATCGTTTGCGCAATCCTCTCGGAATTATGGTAATTTCATCTCCCTTCACAATATTTTAATCGAGGTGAAACTGATTCATCCCTCGTCAAATGCATAAGGTCTCGGTGTTTTCAATAATTGAGGGATTGGTGCAGGAATCGCTGTGTGAATGGTAATCGCGATAAATTCTACTTGCTGAATAGATAGTTTGTTCTATGATTTCTATGTGTTTTTCATACAAAAGGTTAAACAGAATGACGTTGAACATATGGTGACTCGGCATAACTGACACTCCGAGGCGTTCAACACCTCACAATTATGGGTAATATTCGTAATGCATTTGCCATCGTTGATCATAAGTTAGTACAACTCGATATTTAATTTTGAAATACTTCAGGGGGAATTTCAGGCTATTAATCTATCGGCTTCTGGGCATCCGCAAACGATCGTAAAAGGCCTTCACCCGCTCTGCTTTGTGGATATCTGTGTGGGTAGAGATGAGGATGCTTCAATAGTTATGCGGTATCACACTGTTCGATTGCTTAACTCGGTTCAACCATCAATTTTATTTATTTTTCCAAGTTTGAATTTAACGATTAAGTACTTTTGGTGGGTACTTATCGAGGGGAACGAAATTTCGATTATAAATTCAGTAGCGAAGTCTTCAGGTTTGTCATGATGTAATATTCCACTGAGATCGACAGATGTACCAATAGAGATGGTCTGATGGCCCAAAATATCGGCCTTCACGTCCGCCATTGATTAACGTTCACCTCAAAATAAAGTTGCGACGGCTTCTCTTGCCCTTTCTTTTTTCGGTAATTTATATCATCGGGTGACATCACATGCACGAGTTTCAAAAAAATAAAAATTACAATCCGCGCATGGAACGAGGAACTTTATGTGCTTTGCATGAGTTTAGAGATCTATCGTCACGATTCACGATTCCACCACTCCTGTTTCTCACGAGGTGCTTGACATTAATTATCTTTAATTTATCGTGCATATTACCGGGGAAAAAATTGTACTCGGAATATTTTTTCCAAATTTTCAAAACATTTCTGGAAAACTTTCCGCAAAATTTTTCTTTTGAAACCAAAAAAAAAATCGGGAAACAAAACAAAAATTTGTTTCAGAAAACTTTTTTTATAATTTTCTAGAAATTCTGCGAATATAATTTTTTCTTTTAATTATACTGTTGTTTTTTTACATTTTGATTTTTCAATATTCTCAAAAAATACGCCATCTCATTATAAAAAAAATTTTCGTATTTAAATTTTTGAAAAATTTTTCAAAACCTTTCGCAAAAATAAAATTTCGTTTTCCAATTTTTTTTGTTTCATAAAAAAATTGTCTAAAAAGTTTTTCCGAAATTTTTGGAAAACTTGAAAAAGATATTTCGATTACAATCTTTTTTACCCGGGTTATCCCGTTTACCCCTAAAATATTCCCCTAAAATATTATTGCCGTAAATATTATTTCCGTATCGTAATGTGGAACGATCAGGACTTCTGTCAAGCGCATGGCAATGTGACAACCTCGTGGCGATTCCACAACACAAATGTCTTATTATGCAAGAGACGCGGATGAAACCGGGAACCGATGTAGAACTGATCTTTAACCCTCGGCTTGGGAAACTCTGGGATTTCAATTACGTACTAGGGACCTTTGAAGCTATTGCAGACCGCTAATCACTTGTCGTTTTGTTAGTGGCTCGTTAATTGATTTTTCCACCCGGTAAAAGTGAGTAGATAGTCCACAACATTTATATCCAATGAGAGTACGAGAATTCATAAAACAATGCGATGCATAAATCAATGAGTTACATCAGACTATTGCAAAATCATTAGCCATTATAGTCTTCCGAATTCATTTTATTAGTGATAAATATATTTAACGATGTTGACCCACGGGGGTGTTAAAATAAAAGGAGTACAAGGGCCTCCACGAATTGGCTATAATTTATGCACAAGAATAATCAAGTCATTAATTCAAATTATTTTCCATTTAAAAGTCGATAACAGCGGGTAACTGGCGGTTGACATTCCGATGTGTCTTGTCAGGATTCCACTCGCAATCATGATAATATCTCCGCGTATTAACCAACAGTTGTACCCTCTATAAATAAAAAATCGCGACGTGTTATTTAAACGTTACAATTTCTACGATTAGCGGGGGATAAAGCCGAGGCTAGTCTCGCTGAAAAATGTTAGAACGATACGTCAATATGGAAAAAAGAAAAAAAAAATAATACATTCACTGGATTTTCTGTAATCGGCCTCAACTGTGTAATCCCTGCTATTCGCAACCCGTAACCTTTACAGTGTCTCTTGAGATGGAAACGAAAGGAGAACCTCTCTACCGCAGATAGATTTTTTCAAAATCATCCCATTACTTTGATTTATTTGTCAATGACAATTTGGCACATTAAACTCGCCACTTATTCTATTTACTCCCATTTTTTCAGTTCAACCCACTTGTCACAACTTTTATCAATCACACTACTTACCATCTTGATTAGTTTCACACGCGACTGGTGATGTTTTTTTTTTAAGATAAAAATTAATCAGAAGTTATAAATGTTGCACTTGTGACGAATTTTAATGAAAATTCCGGTTACTCGCGGGAGCGGGTGTCCCGGGAGTTGAACTTCTTCGACGAATGGCTATCGTGGAGCATTTATAGGATTCATCCGATCCTTCTCCCCCTTGTGATGACAAGGGGGGGGGGCTAGTGGGGATAAGGCGAATGCTGGTCCAGCGATGATACACCTTGGATGCTTAATGCCATCTCTCTCGGTTACGCAGGTGATACACCTGTGTGACGTGGATGGCAATCCAGCTGAGATAATACCACCTTACTCTCGAGAGATTGACCAAAAGGTTCCAACTCTTGCGATAGGAGGAATTTATGGTTTTGTCAATTTATCGAAATTATGGAAGGTCGTTTTTTTCTTTTTAAATTAAGTAAACAGTCATTTGCCTCCAACATTTACCCCTTGAAAATATTTCTCTCATTAATTCTTCGTCTTCACTTTTTTTATTATCTCGGGTATTTTTGATGAAGTCTCGATGATTCTCGGTGACTTATAGAAAAAGTCTTGTTATGGTTATCACATTTGAGATATCGTATGCTGAATATTCAATAGTTCAGGAAGATTACAGTGTGAAAGGTTGCAATAATAAATTCCCGGGGATAGTAATTATCGACTTGAGTAAACATGATCAGGAATTAATCTGTTACGAATGGAGCACGTGTTGGTCGGTCTCTAGGAGCGATTCGCAGTCCCTTCACGCCTTTCATCTGCTCAAATGTCCTTACCAGTTGCGGTAATGAGATGTGAAATTGAAAGCATTGCTGGGAATCCGAGTCACTGATTCACACTTGGATGAATAGACAGTATAAATATTTATTTCGGGATGTACTTGACATCAGGATCATCGAACCGAAGGTGATAATAGGGTGAAGCATTCAGCCTTCGATTCAGAAACTCTAGGAGACGTTCAGTTAATTTAATTTATAATATTCGTGGAATTTCTAGGGTAGAGGATAGTGCGAGGTTTTAGTTTTATTATTAAAATTCTTATCTAGTGATCGAGTCGTTACCACTTGTGTCCAATGGCATCAAGGACACCTGATTTTTGAGGAAACTGGTATTCGAAATGTTCGATGTATTCACAGTTGCGATAGCCGGCATTTTGATGATTCCTCGGCTCAAGGTACGACCTTTAGGTATTTCGTAAAAGTACGAGATCAAAATAAAAATAGTTCCCTTCAATTAGATTTCATGATCAGTATTTTTATTGATGATTAAGTAATTTATGTGGAGATCTCACGAGTCCTCATTAGTTGATTATAATATATTCTCGATAATCAAATTTGTTTTTGCAATATGGGGATCACGGAATTCTGTGCTTTCGCCAAGGTCGTCTCCATCTCTTCAATTTAATCTAAAGGTTGAATAACATTCGGGTTGACTGTGTCGTGGTCCTTCCGAGAGAAATGAAACTCGCAGACGTAATAATTCATTGTAATTAAAATCTTTTTATTCACCGATATTTCTGGGAATATCCCAGAATTTTGGTGACCAAAGTCGATGGCATTGAGACAATCCTCTGGAATCTTGAGGTTTTGATGACTGTCGTCATCACCCGGATGACGATTAATAAGGCGTCTGTCTCGTCCGAAATCACAACTCCACAATCTCTCTCTCGTATTTCAAGTATCTCCATTACTCCGGAAGTTGAAATTCATTTTCTAATGCATTAAGTAATCGAGTGTAATAATGATGTCGATGACTTTTAGTTGAAGATGCAACAGAAAACATTGCGTCAATATTTAGTAAAAGAAAATTATCATTTTTCGCAAACCGTGCGTTATCTAAACACTAGGGGATTAATTAGGAAGCTGACCTCCTTGGACAGACACTCGTGTCTCAGAATAATTATATAAATTCCTGAAGAGAGTGTATTTGTTGTGGGAGGAGTAATGGAATTTCGCAAATTAATTTTTCCGCTGGGAATTTTTGTCTCGACACCCAGGGTCAGGATTCACCGCCATTTGGATCGGTTGATGCCGACCCGGGTTAAAAAAAATTGTAATCGGAATTTATTTTCAAATTTTCAAAAAAATTCTGGAAAACTTTTCGATTTTTATTTTGAAACAAAAAAAAATTGGGAAATAAAACAATTTTATTCTTGGAAAACGTTTTGAAAAATTATTCAAAAATTTGTTTCGGAAAACTTTTTTTATAATTTATTAAATTATACTACTGTTTTCATACTTTTTTGATTTTTCAATATTCTCAAAAAATACGCCATTTAAATGATAAAAAAAATTTCCTATTTCAATTTTTGAAAAATTCTTGAAAACCTTTCGCAAAAATGAAATTGTTTTGTTTTCCAATTTTTTTTGTTTCTTAAAAAAGAATTCTGAAAAATTTCCCCGAAATTTTTTGAAAATTTGGAAAAAATATTCCGATTACAATTTTTTTTTACCCGAGTATATTTTCATGAAACTTTAGCCATTCCGAAAAAACCTATCGGCTGCTTTTGATATTTATTTAACATTATACCAACATTAAACTCGGTTCATGTATCATGTGCAAATGGTGAAAGCTGTGCGTTAAAACTTCACGTTAGCATCCAGCACTTTCGTAATATTTCGTGGATTGTAAAAAAATATGCGGACAGTTGAATCCCAATGATGCGGTCAGTGAATATATTCACCAGGAAAAATCTCCAGCTATTGCCATCGAGGTGATCCAGACAATGAATCCCGGGAAAATTAATTTGTTACAATCGGAGGGCTTCCAGTGATAATTATTCACTGAAATAATACAGGCGAAGGCAAACTAGTTTGAAAGATGCGTCCACACGATTCGACCAGTTGTGCAATAATTCCCTCTCATTCCACCAGAAACATTCTCCAATCTTCATCTCTAATTCAACTAATTCAACGATTTCGAGATGACAGACGAGACAAAGTCCCACAGTTGATGGAAAAGAAGACACGTTCGAATAAAAAAAATCACATGTCGCAATTGAACATTTCTCAACAATTGATGTATTGCCACTCCCCGTCGTCAAATCCGGCTGTAATTCTTGATAGGTTGAGATGAGAATGCAGGCGTTATCCTCAATTACGAATATATTCTTCCATTGTCTGTGATGATTCTGTCAGAGACGCTCATTCTAATTAATTCCGATAAATGAATTCCATGCTTCCCATGAAAATCGAAGGTTCGTCGTAAAAATTTGCATTTATTTCAGTTTTCAGCGTTAAAAAAATGGAAAAGTATCAATACAAGCAGAAGTTTAAATCGGAAATCTGTGGGCGTTTTGTCGAGTTTTCGTCGAGTCTCGTCAGGATAGTCTCCACTTCCAAAGGGTTAATTTACCTCAACCTAGAGCGGCTAGAGATAGTAACCGTAGTGTCCGTATCCGTGGCCGAAATATGGGTAGCCTGTAATGAGAGTGATGGCCTTTAATGAGTTAATTAAACTGAAAGAAAAATCGATAAGAAGAAATCGCGTAATTAACTGAACTCCCCCGGGGATGTCACTCGTTCAATTTTCACCCGAGCTTTTGCGAATTATTTTCCGGATAAAAAAAAATTGTAATCGGAATATTTTTTCCAAATTTTCAAAACACTTCTGGAAAACTTTTCAAAAATTTTTTTTTTGAAACAAAAAAAAATTGGAAAACAACAATTTTATTTTTGGGAAATGTTTTGAAAAATTTTTCATAAGAAAAATTTTCTGGAAAACTTTTTCCGAATTTTTTTGAAAATTTGGAAAAACTATTCCGATAACAATTTTTTTAACCCGGGTTACTCTCATGGAGACTTACCGTATCCGTAACCATAGCCATGCCCATATCCATGTCCATATCCGTAGAATGGGTATCTGTAGCCGTAGTAACCGAGTCCATGTCCATAACCACCATAGAATCCACCGAGATGTCCAGGACGGGCTAGGGTCACGCCGACGACGACCAAGAGGACGATGAGAATGAACTAGAAACGATTAAAATTAATTAATTCCCCAATTAATAACAAAACTAAACGAGATTAAAAAAATATTTGAAGGATGTACAGTAGCTGCTTATCAAAATTCGATTATGATTAATCATTCAATTATTATCAATAATTATAAAGACACGAAGTGTCGGGCCCAGTTCGCGATAAATCGAAAGATCGAAAGATCGAAAGATCAAAAGATCGAAAAGACATGAATGAGAACTTACGATCTTGGGGTGAGCCATACTGCCGATGGTTTTTCTTGTCACCTGAGGATATTTCACTCTGGAGTGTCCCATTGTCGTTGCATCGTATCTTTTTATGCTGAACTCAACTTCCGGTGAGGCCCCACCCGCACTCAAGACATGTGTTTTACCTATTACGCATCACTAACACGCATACTGAGTAATAATAACGTCCATTGTTGAGGTAGCCATAAGAGTTATGCGGTCGAATGTCATTATGAAATAGTAAATAGGACAATCCCTCCCCCGTCCTGATTATGTACCTTTAATTTCATTGGTTAGCGCCTTGACATCCAAATATCTTCCCAGCGATGCAAATCGCACGTTATAATTGACTGAATGCCCCTGTGTCCACTCAATGAACATCTAGGAGAAAACAATAGGTTGCACGCGAGATTTCAAACAAATTAGTGACTAGCAATCGTCAATTAATTGATAAACACAAGAATTAGGAGAACGACGTGATTAGTCATTTTGTAATCCCCTGGAATTATTAATATCTCAATATTTTTTTAATCCTCTGCTCGCAGCGATGGACATCTTAATTTCACGTCTTGAATATCTCTGCATAATTTTATGGGTGGTTTTATAAATAATGAGAATGTAGAGAGTATATTTTACAGAGTATTTATTAATAATTTTTTGGTCTCGGTGGAAAGTTTAACATGAACATAACGAATGTGATGTAATTACAGGATACTCATTCGATTATTGCGCATTAGACAAGGGGATAGATAAAATATCATTATTTCAATTTATTGTTTATAAAATCCCACGTATATATACAGTGACAGTACAATAGACTGAATTATATAAATGTTAAGTGGGTTTCAAGCTTTGCCGTTGATTCCTCGTTTAGCTGCCAGATTAGAATTGATTAGGAAGGCGTCGGGACGAAACCGAAGGTCTGAGTAATCATCGAGTTGAGGATAGAATAATTTCTGGTCGTGGAAGGCTGCACTGGGTGCATCTGTCAGGCTGTAATCCACATTTTTCTTGTCGCCCGAGGGGTTTTCCAGTTTTTCCGAGTTCTTTGATGCCGATGTCAGAGGTCCTGAGGCGTTTCCGCTGCTCGAGTTATTCGGTCTGGGTGATCCTGGAGCTCCTGGATGTCCTGAACCTCCGGCACCTCCTGACGGATAAAAAGCTGGATAATTGGATAGCCCCTGGCCTCGGTAATTCTCGCTGAAGGGATTCTGGAATCGTTGGTTCGGTAGGAAATCAAAGTTATTGGGGGCATATCCCTGAAATGGAAAAGATCCAGAGAATTGTGATAGGGATCGCTGATCGTTTAGGGAATTGGGGTAATTGAATCTTGGATCCTGTCGATAGTTTTGTCCATTCAGGTCTTGTGGATTCTGGGGTCCGCGGTAACTCTCGAATCTGGATCGATCGTCCTGTCTGAATCCAGAGTTGAATTGACCGGGAAATCTACCCGCGAACCTATCGTCGTATCCGAATCTACCGAAGTCCCTGAACCTGTCGAACTCCTCAGGATTTCCAAACTGCCTATTGATTCCACTATTGAACCCACCATCGCCATTAGGATTTCTTCCATCGCTTCCTTGAATGGCATTCTCATTTCCTCGTCCACCTGCCTGATCTGCAGGTGCATCAAAGGGCCTGAATGCACCTGGGCCCTGATTGAATGGACTCCCATCCCCGAAAAATCCGGGATTGAATCCCCGAGGATATGTTGGATTGAACTGTCTTCCGTTCTGCTGTCCAGCCCCATTGAAATCAAAATTATTTCTGAAATCAAACGGAAATTGGTTCTGAGCAGCTTTCGCTGAGTCAGGCCCTGAATACTCAGGTCGCTGATCAGGCCGGAATTTGAGTTTATCAGTAGAGGGTGCCTCTGTAGTCCTGGGCTTTCTCGTTGTTCCCGTTGATCTCGACGTCTTCGGCTTTGCTGTCCCTCTAGATGATTTTGGTTTAGCTGTTGTTGTAGCTGGAACACTCGATGCACCAATGGTCTCGGTGATGGCCGTTCGGATGGGCCTGTCACCCTGGAGGCCTTTTATCAAGGCCGAGGGGATGACAGCTCCCACGTGGGCAGCAATATTGCTCAATAGGTCTCCTGTTAAATGAAAAAAAAAAAATATGTCAGACCGATTTCATGTTTCCTCACGGGCAATTAATCATTCACCTGCTGCTGGCTTATCCGCAGCACCTCCGTGCTCCAGAAGTTGCAAACCCAAGATAATGCATAACAATATCTGAAATGAGATATGAATCATTTGATTTATGGTCATTAACACTGGAAATGCAGATGGAGGATAATAGCGAGGACGTCAATATTTCGCAATGGACAGATAATTATGACTGATATTACGTTGTCTTGATTAACGTTTTGTTTCTTCAGTGAATTAAAGCTGATGATTAACTGTCAATCTTCATTCACGATTAATTATAATGAAATTTAAAAGTTGCGAGTCTTCTTGGTGCGTTTGATCCTCCGATTTTGCCAGTTTAATTTCGCAAAATGTCATGTGTGTCGGAGAATATTAAAATATTTCTTGGGTACTCACTTTTATTGCGTGATACATGATGCGTGCTTCTCAGGTAGACTAAGGGGTTTTCTTCGTTCTCCCTGTCATATATACTTTCCCTGATCCTTACAACTGTACTCACGACAATCTCAGCTATTCAGAATTATGATACTTGACGTGGAAAATGTTCATGCATGACCGGTCGTTGTTCTCCTTTGTGGATCTATTGTTATCCAAGTAGAAATGTTTCTCTCTGATTCAGCTTCCACCTGAATGTCCACCGAATTCAGAAATGACATCTCGACTATTGATGTGACTATCGTTCGTTATTTCGAAAGATCTTTAGTGAATTCTTACGCAATACGTTTCATAAAAACAATTTAATTATCGGTGAGGAATTCTAAATTAAAAGATTCCAGGAATATGTGGATGCAGATTTTATTGATAGGTAACATCTGTAAATAAATATTGAGGAGTTATGAAGAATTTGAATCTGAAGAATCGTTTTCTCTCGCTGCATCTTGCACTCGATTATTCGCGTCGTTTATTATGGGATTAAAAGGTATTAGAGTGGCACTGATTGCTCCTGAGAGCAGCCTTAATTAGGTCATTGAAATAACGTAATTGTGGGGATTAATATCCGATTTGGCTGAATGTACCGACAACTCCGGGTGCGATAACACCGGGTAAATTGTAGATTTGAAAGGGTCCGGCACTTCTCGCGGCTAAACCTGCAGCGCGTACATTAGGTGTTACAATAATTGGTGATGAGGTTTGAGGTTGCGGTCTCTGCGGTCGATACGGGTATTGATTTAACTGGTAATAATTTGTAGACCCGACGGGGCTCTGATATTTAGCCAGCATCCCGGATACACTGCCATATGGAATTCCACCTGAGAAAGAAAAAATAATAATGACACATTGAGGCTGCGAAGCCGTCCAAATGCCAGCTCTTTATTTATCAGTAAATAAATTTCGAGAAGAATTCTCTCAAACATGTTTTCGAATAAATTGCCCACATGCGGGGATTCGGTGGGATTATATTATTAACCGTTTTCGAAAGTGAAAGGAAGGGAATGTCGGTGGAAGGTACTCGTGGTGTCCTCTCACAGAGATTGCCAGCAGTCGACCAGGAACAGGAGGAACTTGTTGTCCACCGGTGCCTTATCAGCTGCCGAGGATATCACTCAGTGATTACAAGGCAATTCATTTAAAACGGGATTCAAGTGGATTTGAAAAGTCCCTCGGGGCTAAACCTGAAGGGATAAGTTTGAGCTACTCACCGTAAGCCAGACCATCAGTCATCTCCACTATCCCCGCGCTATCAGCTCCGACGTACGTTATCAATCCCGCAACACCAACAATAATCAACTGAAACACAATTTTATTAATGAATGGAAAGGACTGGCTGACTACACGGATTAAAACCCGTGACATCCCATGTTTTACTCGATTTTTTAAACATGACGAACAAGAGCAGTCCAACCTTTACGGAGATCATGTCCGGTACGAGGGTAGAGCACAACTAGATGTTAAAACAAGGCAACAGTCGCCAATGAAGGATTATATAGATGCGGTGTGGTACGCATGTCGTCCAATGGCAAACGAGAATTTTCTCTTGTATTGAATTATCATTCATGGGCTCATGTAGAGTATGAACAAGGTGTATCACTTGCGGGGATACCTCAACCTTGGAGTAGTTGACTCCTACCTCTCACCATCAAGGTTTAAACTTATTTTATTTACGTTGTCATGCTGATAAAAATGATGATAATATCCTCGGTACCGCGGCATGTCTTCTAGCTATTGGAAATCAATTTTCAGCTTCACAACCTGATAAATGGATTTCCATGGAAAAAGTAATTGTCGCGGAAGTTACTATTTATGGCGCACTAGTATTACCCCGTTAAACTGGTCGATTGAATTACAATATCCTCTCACCATTTGAATATACTCTCATCGCAATTAGATCAAGGCTCCCAATACAATAGTCATTAGCTCTTACAACGATTATTCGTAAAAATGTTGAAGATTCACGGACTAGGTGATTAAATATCTGTGTGCGAGAAAAATTGGGTCGAGGATGCCAGATTATTGACATCGCTGGATATTTTTTTCTCGGTTCAAGGTTTTCGATAATAATCGTGACAAGTTTTGTCTCGATAAATATCAACAATTGAAGAGAACGGAGACGAGTCCTTTATTTATTCATTCTAAATTCGTAAACTGGATTACATTATATACAAAAGATATTTAAAAAGGGAAACAATGATTAGAACTTCTAAGAGATAACTTTCTACTCGATATCCTCGACGTAAGAGTACAATCGCTGATCCGGCTCCTTAATATAAGTTACTTCAGACTTCTCGATATCGGAATTACTCTCGTTCTCCTCGATTTCTCCACTTCCCTCGCTCCAGTCTGACTCGGGTGGTGGTGCATGCATCAATAAGCTCGCTAGGAAGTGCTGAAAGTAATAGTTCCTCAATACACAGTGATTACGAGCTAGTATTATCATCTAGAGTAGCGGATGTGTACGGATCTAACGAGAAAATTGATATTTACATCCATCAGTAGTCGTGATTTTCTGTAACCCAGGAGACTGTGGAAACTACCTTTCGTGTATCATGATGGCTTAACTGGCTCGCCCTGTTTGGTCTGGTAACACTTACTTCTGATATTCGTTCGTCCTGAAGAATCTCAGGATCCATCCGCTGGATGTCCATGTCGTGGATTGGATCCTCCATGCTCACGGAATCCGGCATCTCATCAGTGCTGTTATTCGGGATGATGGTGATGAAGGTCCCTCTCACCCCATCTTTGTCGATCTTCTCGGTCCTGTAGATGTGCTCTGGAGTCTTCTTGGTGACAATCGAGACCTTCTGGACCCTCGCACTCTTCTCCAGTCCATCCTCATCCGAAGAAAAGCCTTCATCAGCTTTATTCTTCATCGGCTTTGATTTCGGGAACAACGTCTTCGTGATGATCTCCTCTGTTGATACCCTGGACCTGTGCTCAATTGTTCTCTTGGCAGGTGTTGTGCTCTCGAAATTCTCTTCGGGAGATTTTTTCAAATCGAGGGGCTGATGAGACCGCCTCAACTGCTTCCTCGGAGATCTTCTAGTTGTACTGGATGATGTCGTCGTCGTTCTCGTGCTAGATCGCCTCTGGGTCCTCGGGGTTGATGAGTTATGATTAATTGGCGTGGTAGATTGTGTCTTCTTCATCATCTCTCCATTTCGGGACAGTCTGAAGGGTCTCGGCCTCACAGTATACCTCGGTACCTTGACCTCGGTGGTCGCTCCGATTATCGGAGTAGTTGGTGCCCTCCTCGGGATAGAAGTGACAGTTGTCGGCGGTATTTGAGGGGTAACTGTAGTCGTCGGCACGTATTTACCTCCTGGAGTCCCCTCAACATGATTCCTCACAAATTCTCTCGTTCCTTTAACGCTCTTCACCGCCAACGGGGCTCCTGATTTCTCGCTGTGATATCTGCTACTGAATTTCACCGGTTTGGCTTCACCAAACACCTCAGACGACCAGAAAGGCGTTGCAAAGTCCCCAGCCCTGTAGGGACTGTTCCATCTCCTCCAGGGATGGGTCACAGCGAAATTGAAACCCGTCTCGGACGAGCTCTGATCGTCATTGTCATCCTCGTCGCCCCAGTACCGCTGATAATAGGAATTCCTTTTCATCTTATCTTTTTCTCTCTCACGAGCTAGCCTCTCCCTCTTCTCCCAAGGAAACTCGTAGTGTCCAATTCGATGATCTGCCTTCGACTCCTCAGAAGCTTCTTCTTGTTCTTCATCCCATGGAAAAATATATTTCAATTTTCTCCGGGGCTTATCCTCCTCCAGTGACTCATAATTCTTTCCTCGGTGTCGCTCATACCTCGGGGCCTCGAACGGTGGATGATAGAATGCCGGTTTATTTATCCTCGGCCCCAGGTCTGCATACTCAGGGTCATAGTAGTTCTCCGCTGGTGATTTCGGCCGATCGCTGAATCTCTCGAAATCCTCTTCATCTTCAGAGGTTCTCTCAGCATTTTTTTCCTCATTGGAGTGATCTTCAGAAGACTCTTCATTCCCTTCCATTTCGGAAGAACTCTCGACAGAGGATTCGGAAGGCTTCTCCAATTGCTCCCCTCTACTCTCTTCCTTCTCTTCTTCAGATTCCTCTTCACCAGAACTGTCCGCTGTGTATTGGGTCGTTGCCTCCCCTGATTCACTGCTGTTACTTGACACCTTGTTGTACCCCGGAAGATCGGAGTCGAGATATTCCTGGAGTCTCTGGACCTCTGGAGCTGCTGTCAACTCCTCGATTTCCTCTCGTACTTGATAAGTCGCTGTTGTCAAGTTGTCATTCTCCCCAGGATCCTCAGTATGAGTTGTGTCAGCCAGTTGAGAATCAGCGGCTGGAAGGAGTTCCTCAGGTTTCTCAGTTGGATCCCTGTACCGGGGCTCCTTCCTCCTAGGATCCACCGTCGTAACACCCGACCTGAAGTTTCCGTATCTGTCAGTCTCTCGAGGTTTAGAGAATCGTATGAGATCTCTGATTGTCCAGACAGTCTTCGGAGTAGACTGAGTGATTGGAATCAGTGTCTGAGCTGTGGTGGGTATCACTCTTGAACTCCCAGCTCTTCTTCTACTCCTCATCGAAAAATCCAAATTATTCCGCGACTCTACAGTCCGAAAGTCTTGATCCGAATCGACACTGCGTTTCTGAATCCTCGGGGCCCTATGATATCTAATTCGTTTGGCCTCTGGAGGCGATTGCACCCGCGGCCGCTGTCGATAAATGACTTTATCAGTTCTGTAAGGAATAACTTTGTGTTTTGGAGGACGAAGCGTTCGCAGACTCTGCACTTTTCCCTTCTCCTGGACTCTTCTCTTCCTCCCACGACGTGGATTTTTGATCGATTGCTTAACCCTCGTCTTGTGAACAGCCTGATTTTTTATCGTACCCATCACAGCCTCGTAAACCTCTTTCTCGTAGGGAGAGTTCACAGGTTCTATCACCCTGACCGAATTGTTCCCTCGATGACCCTTTTTTATCCTTCTGTGATTCGGCGCGGAGTTGTGATTAGCTCTGCTCCTCGATTGATCGACAAATTGATTCTTCTTGCTGTCACTGGGATGCTGATCCATCATCTCAGGTCTTCTGGAGACTCTCCGGTACACCAGAGCCTCCGGATCACTTTTCAAATTATTCAACCGATCTTTGAACTCCTGGAGATTAAATTCGTTCGGCACCTGAGGCATGTCTATCCTCTTCTCTATGAAGAGGGGATTATCAAATGGATTTTTATCGAAGTACTTCGCCTTGAAGCAGGACAATTTGTCACCCAAACCATTCAACCGTGGAAGGTTTTCTTCTGGTCCTCGATCAGACCTCGGCTCCTCCTCCTCAGGGACAACCTCCGTTAAATCAGGATTGACGTCGTCACAGTCCAGATATTTGTCTCGAGAATCATAAAACTCCATTCCCCCCAGAGTTTTTCTGGGTATTTGCTGAGGATTCAGTGCATACTTGAGCGCTGAATTACCCGGTACCAGATCATTATGATAAAACGGATATTTTTCGATCTCCGTGTCATTTTTCCCCTCAATCTCCTCACTAAACTGCTCCGGACTCCGGATATCGTCGGGACCGATCGAAAAATCAAACTCCGGAACCTCAATCTCCACTTTCCCTTCATCCTCATTTTCTACCTCCTCACCATCGACGTCACTTTCATCAGGAAATCGCTCCCTGATTTCTCTGTCAACTTGAGCGTCCGCGACAATCGGTGCATCATTCAACAGATTATCGCTCCTTTTTATCCTGAAACCGCGAGATTTCACAGTCACACCCTCACCCATCACCAGCTCCGTTACCTCCTTCTCTCCACCAGCAAAAACTTTTCCATTATCTCCAACCGAATGCCTCCTGAATCTTCTTGCAACACCTCCATTGACCTGGAACGTACGGTAGACGTTAAACCGTGAATCTCGGGGTAATTGGACGCCATTTCTCCTCCCCACGTATTCTGCATATCGACTACGACTCATTGGTGATGGTGGGAGCATCCTGTTGGGTGGTAACAATTTTCCCACTGGATTAAGGTGCGATAGCCATGAGAAAAATGGATGTATTCGATTTTGCTGTGGGATCTGATATTGATTGGTATGCACATAATATCGAGGTGGTGGTTCTGGATTTTCCTCAGACACCGGGTGATTTTCCTCGGAGGAGCTGCTGTCAGATGGCCCAGCAGGTCGTCCATACGCACGAAGATAATCGGCGTAGGTTATCTGACCAAAAGGTGGAATTGTCGGTGGTTTTATCACGCTGACATTGCTGATAACTTCAGCATTCACTGATCTCGGGTTGACGTTGTTAGTCAAGTGTTTCAGTAGCTCGTACTTGGAGACTGACTCCTGTAATTTCGACTCGTCAGACTCCTCGTCGCATTGCTTCGCCGGGGCTCTGATTATAACCGTGTAAATAGGCCTCTTGGTCGTTGCCGATTCTCGACTCCCACTTGCTGTTGTTTTTACCGTCTCCTCTGAGTTTAATCTCGGTGAGCTCATTGCTCGCATTACCTGAGGGGATTTTAATATCGCTTGGATAGCACCTGGGGCTGTAACTGTAGAATATCGGGATGCTTGGGGAGATAATTTGTTGGTCTCTCTACTCAACTCCTCGGACTCCTCAGAGTATTCACTTGATCTGCCGCTCTTTCTCCTGTAGATGTTCTCGTCGGACTCCACGGACGGATTTTCCGTCGTTTGATCTTCTACAGATGATCGGTATCCCTCGGTATCCTCAGTACTCTCTGAGGATGACGGCTCCTGGGGCTTTTGCGTCTTATAATAATCCCAGAATACTTTCCCATGATTTATCGTCGTCGGATGGATTGTCGTGGTGGCCATTACCTCTTGGTACGTGGGGTACACCTTCGGCATGGTATCTTGATCCTTTGGATATTTTTTTTTATCGGGATCATCCTTGTATTGCCTGAGGGCCTGCGCCTCTGGCTTCTTTGACGTATCATCACCACTCCCAGAGAAGGATCTTCTTAATTGAGATCCAGGAGTCTCATCCTCCTCATTCTCCTCATTCTCCTCATTCTCCTCCTCGGAACTCTCGGAGTCATTCAGACCCTTCAAATTCTCTGGAACTTCAGTCTCCGCACGCAGAGCTGCTGCTTCAGCCTCTCGCTCCACATCCTTCTCCAATTTCAATCCCTCTTTCTTGACGAGAACTACTGGATCCACTCTCTCACCCCACACCTTCCCCGACGCACTCTTCGAGTCATATTTTTTGCTCTTCAGTTTCTTCGGCTTCACTATCTCGTTACGCGTCGAGGCCTCTCCCGAATCATCCTCACCTGGATCATCGGTCTCCGAGGACGATCGAGATCCTGCAGCATCCCACGATTTTTTCTCATTATCCCGTTTTTTATCGTACTTCTCATCGAAATCCGCATCCCTCTGGTGTCCAGCGTGATCATAAGCCGCATCTTCATATCCCTCTTCAGTATAAATCGTATTAACTTTTTTATTCGTCACAACTTCCTTCAGTCTACCTGCATTCTGCCTGTCCTCTTCAGTGGAGGCATCCAGGAAGGCTTGACCTCTCGGTGCACGTTTGACAGTGTGAGTTCCCCTGACTTGAGCGTACGTCGTACTCGGTACAAAATCAAGAGAAATATTTTTCTTCGGCTTTGCCCACTGACCTGGTGCCTCGTATTTCGGTCTCGTCGGTGGCTCTGGTGGATCTTCATGCTCTGAATACGGTATTTCGTGGTCTGGTGGTGCATTCACCTCGTCACTCCCATTTTCATCCAAATCATTGGCTCCTACTGAACTGATTAAATCCACTCCATGATGGAAAATAATAAATAACAACAAATTACGTGCAATCATTTTCCACTGGAATAGTCACAACATTTTTATCGATAAGAATCGCTGAGTTTAGTTTTTATTTTTATCTTGCTGATGGTTAATTGAAACAAGCACGTTACTCGGATGACTATCACAGCGTTACTGGTGATCTTTTCACCGTGGGGCCTGTTCCGTTAGAAGGCGAAAACGTTTGTGGTTTCTAATCATCCTGGATCGGACAACTGTTACGGACTGTTCACCGCGCGACTACCGCAGTCTAATTTATATTTTCTTGCTGGAAACGAGGGAGAAGGATAGAATCAATGTCCTGAGGTAGAGAGATCACTCGATTACTTTGATATCCTCAGAGAAAATTATCCCAACGACTCGGTTATGGATCATAAATATTCGATTGTCTCCAGATTTTCCTCTTTCACCGATTCAAAACGTAATTAACAAATTATTTGTTTATGTTGAATAGAGGAAAATTGACTACAAAGTGAAGGCAATTCACCTGGACACGGTTGATAAATCAGGATAGATGAGTTTCTATTTGTTCTTTTAATTCGTATAAAATAGTATTCGTAACATTAAATAAGGAACAATGCAATCAACAATATAATTGAGTAATGAATTGAAACGCCATCTTCGTAGAATAAATTAAATGATTTGCAGACTGCAGTCGCGCTATCGATTACTTAACACTGGCGATGAATGATTATTTATCAATAATAATAATAAATGTAGATATTCAGGTACTCTAGGGGTAATTTCGTTGAATTTATGCCGAGATCATGGGCTTCCAGGAGTTTCCAGTTGATTCAATAGTCGCTGGCTGTGTGGATAGTGCCTCAGGGGCTTGTAGTCTGGAGGCTTCTGGCTTGAAGAAATCGATGATCGGGTGGTAGTTGTAATTAACTCGTCTATTGGGCTCTTGGTACTCCTCGTCGAAACCACCGTTGTGCAGCTTCAATGAGGCATCGGTTTCCTGGTCATTTTGCTGTTCAATCCTGTTGGCATTTAATTTTCATCGACGGCTTTTGATTGAATTTGAATTGATGAATTCATGATGAAAGATATTTTCGTAGATCTCGAAAAATAGAATGAATCATGAGACGTTTACCCTTCATTGATTGGAGCTGGAGATGTCTCTTCATCTCCAGTGGACTCTCTTCTGTAGGGCCTGACAGGTCTTCCGGGCCTCTTCACCCCTTTTGCTGGGCCTTTGTACCCAGGTGCTCTGGTGTTAGGTGCATGCTGTTGAGGAAGCTTGTCATAGGGTCTGGGATTTGCCGGTGAGGAAGGTTTTTTCGGTCTGTTTTGTCTCCCAGGCAAAGCAAAGCTAGGGCGGTGAGAGCTGCCAGCGTCAGCGATGTGTTTATTACCCCCTGACGAAACTAGAAATTTATCAATGAAACCTGGTGGATACTGGAGGTATGGTGGAAGGTCAGTGTTAAAATCAGAGTTAATACCGAAATTATTATCAGGGTTAGACGGCTTGAACTTAGTGAGATAGCTAGTGGGACGTTTGAAAGCATCATCCTCGCCCTGTTCAGTGGCAAAATCAGCCCCTGGGAATTTCTCATCAGGTGTTGGTCGGGGATCTTTTTGAATCGGTGGATAGAGCTCGGCGTAGCCCTGCACATGACAGCTGCAGCACGATGGCACCTTGAAGATGTCCATGTGAAGACCCAAACTGCTGTCCCAAGTCAGTAATCTGTGGTAATTGTACACTTGCATGCACGATGATCGGTAATTCTCCGATATAAATGAGCAGCTCGATTTGGGTGATCTGAAAGTTGTGATAAAACAATAGTAATTCAACAGAATTCTATTTAACGGTTGAGTTGGTACAGAGTGTTGGAGCTTGAATTGAAATTTTGTCCATGACTCAATTCGTTCCACATGGAGAAGAAAAAATCAAGTGGATACTTTCATATCAGAGAACTATTACTCACGAGCATTTCTCGAGGCGGAGGGTTTGCGTGTGCTCAGCTGTGTTTACTATGTATTTCCAAACACCGGAAACAGCCCTGGCTAATTGAGGACGTGCGTACATCACCTGGGAGGGACAAGTGAAACCCTCCTCAAAGTTGTCGAAAGATGAGTGATCCGATCTTCTGATTGATCAAATAAAAATATTTATTTGAGAGAGAATCAATGGTCATTAGCCAATCGATTTCGCAACAATTGCCAGTAGTTCTTTCGATGATTGCGCGATTGTTCATCGGTTCAATTCTGATTCACGTCATTCATCGGGATTATTATTTTATTCACTATTTTTCTTGTCACTCTGATCTGAATAATTAGAAAGCCTGACCGTCTGGAAACTACCGATGACGTTGATTTGCGATAAGACGTTTCAAATAATAATCACTTGTACCTCGACGATTATGTATAATTATAATTGTTGTCGAGACAACAGTGAGAGACTCGGGTAATTAGAAAAAAAAAATTTATTGAGACTTGGAGAAAAATAAAACAAGTTGAGGTGAAATTTTTACCTCTTCAATAACTTGCTTTCTACTTTCCACGAACTTCATTTGTAATAATTCAAATATTTCAAGGTTCTCATCCATTAGCCTACCTTTTAATCTCGTTGTTCTCATATTTATTCTCGAATCTATTGTCAACGTGGCTCTCTAAAGGCAAGGCCTTTGGATAGTTATTATCCTGGGGACTGAAATCCGTCAGCAATGACGATACCATGTCCTTATTACCCCGAAGACTTCTCGCTATGGCTTCGCTATAAATTCAGACAATTGCCGATTTATTTCCATCATAAATTTTTCGATTTCACAAGTGCTGTATCACTTACTGTGGGTAATTAATTGTCTCGAGACAAACGGTCTTCGTGAAGAAGGTGCAGTCACTTTCCGTTGGTTGTCTAGCCTCTCTGATCTCCTGGGGCCTGCGATTGGGCCTCATCGGCGATCGGAGTGGGCCCTCAACTGTAAGATTTATCGCAATCAATTAACAAATTGATGAACAGTGGGATATTTTATTTTTTTATACCTGGAAAAACATTTCTCCGATTGGTTGGTTGGTTGGTTGGTCTCCTCGGTGGATTGGGCCTGTAGAGGGGCCTCCTGCGAGTCCCCGGTCGTTGAAACCTCAACTCCTGCGCCTGATATCCAATAATTAATCACTCACAATACCACGAGAGCATCGAAATTATCGGATATTTGTAATAAAAATATAATTATAAATAAACGTGTTAAGTTTTTCAGATTAAAAAATTTATCTGGAAAACTTGATAAGCTCGTTTATTTTCAGGGAACCTAGGGGAAATGTCCGATTAATTTCGAAGCTCGAGTCGTATTCGGAAGATTATTATTTTCGTTCAAATTTCAGCCAATGAAAAAAACATTTCACTCGATGAATAAAACAATTAAATTCAATCCAAAAAGTTTAAGTCTATACAGGGAAGAGACAAAAACAATTTATTTAAAAAATATTCAAGATAATACCGAGTCCTCGTCGAATGCAATTCTATTGTCTGAAATGTAAACGAAAATTGATAATTAAAAATTCTCTGTGTCCAATCACGTAATGCCATATCCATCAGCAACATCAAAAATGACTCAACTATATTTTCTCTAGTCACGCGCTGATTGAAGTCTAGAACGGCTCTTCCTCCATTTCAATGCGTGCGGAGTGTGAAAATGCATTAAATGGGCATGGGAATAAATTCGATTATGGGGAAAAATTCACAAATAGAGATGCGTGGGAGAGGAACTCCAGGAGAGTATCTCCAGGTGTCTATTATTACAGAGAGGAAAGCAACTGAGGTCGCTATGACTTTCTAAGTTCAAAACGTTGCATTGATGGGAATAAGTAGGTGGAGTATGAATTCTGTGATTTAATTTCTCTGAATTTACCTCGGGTAGAGTCTCTCCGAGGTCTTCCTCCTCAGGTGTGTCTTCGGTTATTATCCTGGCTATCGACAGGTCCGTGGGAAGGACAAGGTCTCTGGTAGTATTTCCTCGAAGGGCTCTCTCAGCAATTGCTTCCTTTTCAGTCATCGGTAATCCCTGAAATCGATTGACTATTTAGTTATGCCCTCAAGGTTGACATTGTTCTTGTTTATTCACCGTTGAGACAGTCCCCTGGATCATCTCCGTTCGGTTCTTCAGGTGTCCATTGCCGATCCTCAGAGATGTTGAAATTTTACTCGAAATTTGGTCCTCACTTTCGAAAAAATTCCCATTATCATCTGCTCTCGCTTTCCCAAATAAAATCAGGACAGCCTATGAATAAAATCAAAATTATAATAACCTGCGAGGTTTTCCGAATTAAATGAATATCAATTGATTCCCTAAATCGATATAAACTCGCGTTAGACTTGATTGGATTGTTTAATGAGGTGAAATTCCTCTAATAGTCACCCGCGGGAAACGACTTTCATAGCAATGACATTTATTATCGAAAGTGAGAGCTATCTTTAAACCTGGAATTATTACCGGTGAATATCTTAACGGCTCAACTGAGATTAAAATTGGAGGAAAGAAAATGAAATGAATAAAAGAAAAAAACGAGCTGTTTGAGAGTAAAAGCCCGAACGTTTGAAATCATAAAAATTGAAATTTCATTGGCGCCTTTTCTCCCGACTATTCAGGAAATTGAGACTAGAACTTCCCACTGCAAGAGTGACCCACAAAATTTCTACAGTCAAGATTTCACTGGATATTATCGCTTCTTGGAGAACCCATGAATATCGCAATTTTTTTTGAGTATTTCCGCTGTTGAGAATTGTCAGTAAAAAATAAATAGGCAAATTGATTGCTTACCAGGGCGGTGAATACCATGCGTGTCATTTTATTGCATGAAGTGTCACGATAAAAAATAATCACTGATAATCACTGGAAATAATATGTATCGGAGTTGTTAACACGTGGAATAAACAGGAGCGACGAATAGCGCACGCACAAGTCGAGTACTGAGCTCGGAATATCAGACAACGTGCATCAGCAAGACTCTGATGCTCACTTCAATCTTCCCCACGTACCTCATGCAGAGGAACTTCACATTCACCTCCTCTCCGTTGCTCGTTAATTTAACGGTTACAGGTGTCCAGTGCATCTCTCTCAGTTTGTTTTTGTAGGTCAAAAATTGTTCAGGATGAGGGGGAGAATTGAAGGAGAAAGGAGGGGGAGAATGGAAATGATAGCTGGAATGATCATGATCATCAAACTGATGAAATCAGGGAAACTGATGAGACCCAGTGAGAGGGGATACCAATCCACCTTGATCTCTTACTTTCGGTGTAATTAGACCAGATGGTGCACGTGCTGTATCAGAATACCGAAGGGCACCTAGGTGTGGACCAGTGAGAGACTGGATAATGTGAGGACTTTATCTCAGTCATGACCGAGAAAGCCGGCGATTCAGTCGGTGTTTTAGCACGAGATTTTCAGTGGAAGGGAAATAAGTCGGTCGCAGTCCGCAAAATTCTCGGAGGATTTTCCATGAGAATGCAGATTTGTGGACACCATGCAGGACATCTGGACCATGATTATCTTTAATTCCTGATTACTCAATGGGAATTTTGAGAGAATCTAGAGAGCAGTTGCGAATACTGCAATTCTCTGGGGTTAATCAACTCACTATCTCCAAGGCATGAGAAGCAGAAGAAAATGCGTAAAACGGACATTTCGAAAGTTGTACAATCGCTCTTTGTATTTTACTCGGTCTCTGTTGCAATTTGTCTTCAATTCCTGGGGCTTTATTTTTTTTTCTTCTTCAGTATCATCTGCCCCTGTGGAGCCGATTGATCTTGAAAAATTCACGTCGGGCAATAAAGAAGGGTGTTCAGTTTGAAGACAGTTTTATCGTTCCATTGGGTCTCTATCCCTTGTTTAAATTTACCTTTTGTTTCGTTAACGTCGTTCAGGTAACATCGAACACGTGGAAACATTGCGGTAGGTAGATCTCACCAGGTTGGGGGTGGGGTACCAGGGAGGAAGACACGCTGTCGTATAAACGACTCTACAACCAGCAAAGAGAGTTTACTGATGCCAAGTTGACTTTGGTTATACCAAGCTGGAGAATGCAATGTGAAGCGAATGGCAACCAACCGGCTTACAAGTATACCCCGGTTTCTTTATTTCTTCTTTTTATTTTTTTTTTCCCTTGGGATAGTCAGTGAGGGAGTTACGAGTAGCTCTCGAAGATAAGCGAGGACACGCTTCTGCGTGAACCCGACAGGGGACTTTGCCTAGGTGGGGAATGCAGTCGCGTGTTTAACAAACCTGCAAATCTCCCTTTCTGTGTCTTTTATTCGTTGGAAAACATCGCCGAGATATACGTCTCACTTTGAGATTACAATTTCAAATGATTTTGGGAATAAATGCCATTTATGGCGTGCGATGAGATAAAATAATTTATACCGTGAGGAAATTTGGAGGATTTTTGCAAGTAAAAGTTATTATCGAATTAATTTATTCATTTTCAAAGTGCTTTCTCCATTTTCACGAAAAATTAGATTTTTCGATGTTTTTCGATTTCCTTCACTTTCACAATTTAAATCGTGTGCCCTACTGCAACCTTTTAATAAATCATGGAATTTAATTAAATCTTTGGAGATAATTGAGTCGTTGATTGCGCGGCATCGATTGAAATGTGTGGAATCAGCATTTTGAGAGCTGAAAAATTATAATTTTTCCAACAAATCATGAAAAAAAATCTAACTTTAACGCAGGGAAAGTTTTTTTGATATCGAGACGATGTTACCGTTAAAGACCTCTTAGCGCGGGCCCAGCACGAGTAAAAATAAAAAATATAATTGCAGAAAAGAGAAAGAGAGAGTAATCGAGGGGATTTTGAAAGAGCTGGAGGGGTTTCCACAGTGGGTATCGTCTTTACTTGATTAACGCCCATCGAATCCACTGGATAATTCATCCACCATCACGCGATCCCATTTACACGCAATGGCAGGTTAGCGATGTGAATTGGGTGAAGGAGTTATTTTAGACAATCAAATCAGAGTATTATGAACAACACCTTTTTTTTTCAATTCCGCAATCGTATTAATGGGGATGAGGACAGTCTAGCGTGTGCATAGTGAAAGCTGAGAAGTTTTTTAATGTAGAGAAAGAACAGAAGTCTGACATACTTATTATGCAGCATCACCTTGACATTACGATTCTCGAGATAATTCTCCTAATTACGATAATCGTGATCTGGAATTCATTCGGTTGAAGTTTGCAATTGATACAATAATTGCAATCGGAATATTTTTTCCAAATTTTTCAAAACATTTATCAAAAATAAAATTGTTTTATTCCCCAATTTTTTTTTGTTTCAAAGGAAAATTTTCCGAAAAATTTTCCAAAAATATTTGGAAAATTTGAAAAAAATATTCCGACTACAATTTTTTTTTAATCGGGATCTCCGGATACAATTGACATGGTTTTTTAATAAAATAAATTGAGGTGCACGTGCCCATCGGTCCCCCAGCAATTTGTTCAACTGGCCGGATTTAATTGGCACACGCGGTTGTACTATCCGCTCTCAACCGCGAAGACACTGGGATAACAAAATCCAACGACATTCATGAGAGAGGGGAGGGACTTTAATTAATTTAATTAGCGCGGGCGTCCGAAGGCGAGAGATTGCAATCCAAATCCCAACACACGTGACCCCTCCAACTGCTAGAGTGGATGGTGAACCTTGACGGTGCTCTTTGGTGAATTATTTACTTGGTCGACGACTTTTGATTCCCCACTGAGATTACGCAGATTTTCTCTTATTTCAATTCAACCCCTTCCTCCATTCATGTTTAGGTAATTAATTGGACAGTATCAGGCAAGGTGCAAGGAAACAGACATTTTACGCTTCATTGCACTTTTCGTTTGACATTTTTTTTTTTTTTCATTTAATATAACATTTACTGACAAAACATTTACTATTCTTACGGGTAATTGAGTTTAAGTACGATTTAATGTGCACTCGTGAGGAGATTTATTTCTGTGATAGTCAATCAATTATGAAGTTTTTACAGCTGTTTAGGGGGTAGAACATGGAGGATTCGAGCATTTTTTTTTTGTTTTAATGAAAAATTACTTAGTATAACTGACGAACGCGGAGTTGCGTCGATAATCCAACAGCCAATGGATGTAATAGAGTAATTGAAACACTTTTAATATCACACTACTGTGTTTGGTCCTTCTACTGCATTATTGGGTTTGGATTACCACTCCAGGACGCGTCGAAAGACTAGAATGATTAAGATTAATCTTAAATTTATACAGTAGTGTATATAAAATATATAAAACTTACACTAGATCGTAAATAATGCATTCTCAGGAGAAAAACCTGATGACATCCCCGTGCAGCTATTATTTTTTTTATTTAACGAGTCAACAATCATTGATACAGTTGATAATATCTATATACAAGGTCTCTGCACGGGGATTCAACGACAATAATCTAGTGATAAACGATAAGGAATGGAAGGATGAGAAGACACTGTTCAGGCAATGATGTCGATGATTGATAAACAAGTGATTGAAGAACAGAGTACAATAGCCGAACCCAATGAATTCGCCACGCAGCAAATTCCTCCCTCGTCATCCCTCTGCTTTTTGTACGTCGTCAGCCTCTTGAAATTTACTTACGAACATTAAAGAAGGATCTCGATAAATGGCGCAAATATCACCTGATAAACCACTTAAGATCTACTAAGCAAATGAAAATACAGAACAAAACTCCGGACAATGATCAATCAATTCGATACACTGGATTTACTCCGAAAAAAATTCAATAGCAAATCCATCTCCAGCAACAACTTTAGCTGATAAATAAATTTCACGGGATTACCCGGAATGCATTGAATTAAAAATGATGAAATTGACTTATAGCTGAGTTGTGTGGATTTTATCAATTGATTGATGAGTAAATATCGCGTTAATCAGCGCATTCAGAGGCAAAACTCTCGAGATCGACATAGTGACCGTTCATATTGTCCTCCAACAACTGTGCAAGATCCCTCCTGAGTGTTTGAAACTCAGGTCTACGATCAGGATCGGCGTGCCAGCACCTGGCAATCACCCTGAAGAGCTCACTGCGGCAATGCGAGGGCCTCTGGAGTCTATAGCCATTCTGTACGTTCCGCATGACCTCCCGTGCTGCCATGTCCGGGTACGGCGTGGAACCTGCAGTAAAGCCATCACCGTTACTTATTTTATCATTTTTCAAATGTGAACTAAGAGCGAAACGTAAGGCGAGAAATAACACGAGTATTATCATGGAATAACATGCTCAGCATTGATAGCAACACTTCCTGGATTAACCACCACTGATTTATTGTTTTTACCTAGAGTTACGATCTCCCACATGAGAATACCAAAACTCCATACATCTGTCTTGGTTGTGAATAGGGAATAGATGAGAGACTCCGGTGCCATCCATCTGATTGGCAGGGCATTTCTACCATGTCTTGTCTCGATGCACTCGCCATCCTTATTGGCAAACCTTGACATGCCAAAGTCAGCGATTTTACAAAGTTTGTTGTGATCCACCAGGACATTCCGAGCTGCCAGATCCCGGTGAATAATCTGGAACAGTTCATTTCAGAGTTATTCGATCATAAAGTTATTTTTAAGTGTCAAGCGGAAGTACTGGTGGAGAAGACTTCCATATTCGTTGGAGTTGTAATAGCGCTTGAAGGACGAGCCCCGTAATTATCTTAAATACCGGCCAGACCGGAGTATTTCCTTGGTTTTAGTAATAATTAAGTAACCGGGTCTTTGCACTCTAGGAAAAATTGCACGTGAATTTTTGATGCCTCTTATGCAACCCACGACGACGAAATTCTATCTTTTATGTCGTTTTTCTGTTTTCTTTATTTCTTTTTCTTTCGTTTTCTCCTTTTTTTTTCGATGCGAGGGCGGCATTGTATGCTAATTTGCATCCACAGCTGCCTCTGGCAGATGCAGCACGATTAACGAACATCTTCCTAGTCGTCTGGTAAATTGACTGTACACTGGGGGCAGCATGGAAAAATAAACAAAAAGGTGTAGGAAAAACTGATGAGGAAGAGGTGATTATGGGATGTGTCGATGGCTCTGACAAAAATTATTGGGCCGTTAAATACTTCTTTTATTTATTTTTCCATGTCTTTAACGATTCTATATTCACTTGTCGGTTAATTTATACCGTTGTCCATGACTTGGTGACGATATTTAATAGTTTTCACTGTAAATTCAATGATTATTACCCACACGGATTGAATCTTCCATTGAATTTATCCGTATGATGTAATAAAAATTCCTAGATGGATGAAAATGGTGAAAATTTCAAAAATAAATGGCTCGAGCTATCGACTACTAGGATACAACATTCCTGGATCGTCCAATTACAGATATCCATAAATGTGAATGTTCGTTTCATCCAATTAAAGTGAATCGTTATTCCCCTCTCTTTGTCCACATCTGATCGAGTGGTGAAACGATTCACTTTTCAGGTTTATCTTTTCATTTCTCAGTGGATTCTAGTGTCGAGGGGACAGGTTCGAAGCGCGTGTAAGACTATTAGCATAAATTTTCCATTTTCTCTAGGACTTTTTGCTGAATGGGGCGTGTAGGACGTGTCTTAATGAGCTCTTGTGGTGAATTGGTGGGGTAAACAATAATAAACCGTAAGGATGATAACGAGATAAAGTGGCGTTTTTGATAGACTCATTTGTATTTATCGTCATCGCTCGGTTGATTATTGCTTGGTCGACCTTGATGTCGATGCACCAAGTCGACACACATTTTCGAGTGAGGATCAAAGTACAGGAGTCGGCCACTGGGTTTAATTCCCCCCAACGTGTATTTTTTACACATCTTTATCGTCTCTCCTTCGAGATTTTTTATTTCGACTCATATCTTCTCCACATATTTGAGATCGAATATCTCGGGTTAGAACCGGTGCTCTTTTTCATTCCAACTTGTCAATCTTCTGACAGTTCTTCATTTCTGAATTAAATTAATGATTAAATTAGTTTAATCAATTGTACCTTTTTCGAGGCGAGATATTCCATTCCTCTGGCAACGCAATATCCGAAGACTGTTAGGTCTCTGGATGTGAGGGCTGCCGAGTCCTCACTAAAATTGTAAAAGTCCTGTCTTGTTCGGTGATCCCTCAGGTAGGCTAGCAATTTTCCGTACATTACGTACTCCAGAATCAAGTAGTGCGGCTCTGCAAGTATTTCAAGACGATAAATAATATTTATCATTACGTCGCATAGTGAGGAATTCATTGGAAACACGTTTTTCCTATTAGTGCTGGTACCAGGAAAACAGGAAAATATTAACAGGATAATATGAAAAATCGTTAAACCGGTGAAGTGCAGAAGCTTATGATTGTGATAGAGCACGAATGCGGGCTGCGGGTAATCGTTGTCCAACCAATGATGCCAATGCAATTCGTCAACTCAACGTGCATTGTGCCTTATCGGTTTACATTTTGAATTATAAAATTCCGCTGCACCACGTGCAACACCAGCAATAAAGTAGAACAAATATTATTGAGAAACATAATGGATTTACTGTTGACATTCAGCTGACGCTGCATGCGCGAATGATTATGATTTTTTTTTTTTGTTTTTCAATACAAGACTGGTAAGCTCCGTGAAATGTGATAAAATTGATATGCATGATGCTAGCGGCGACTTAATCCTAAGCCCTCAAAGAGATGTACCAGAATTACCGCGTAATACCGACAATTTCACCTTGAGAACTCGATGCATTCAATTGCCAATAAACTTAAGCCATTTTCGAGTAGCTACTGCCATTTGCTAAATATTTACAACGGAAAAATTGTAATGGTAACCTTGACCGGACAATCTGCTAAGTGGAAATTATTTTTATTTTCACTTGTTAATACGATGGTGGTTTCGAGAACGCTTTTATCAGTTATGGTGTTGATGAGTTATAAAGCTTTATGAGGCGAGTTATTTTTAAGCCACAAGAGACTATCAATTCTCCAGCGGCTCCTGATAAAGCCGATGTATTCCTCAGGATAGCTATGAAAAAAACAATTTCAAGAGGCATTTTTCAGTCGACCGTCTAAATTCGTCATGAAAAAAAAAATTATTTCTTATTTCAAGTCCTGAAGAAGTGAATATTTTCAGTTGCCGTAAAGAATTTATCATCCCTTTTTTTTCAAGCCGTGTATATATGTAACTGAGGAATGCTTAGGAGCCATAAATATTGCCATGAACTTTCTTGTGCAAGATGTCGGAGATGGGCTATTGTGTTGTATACTATATGGTGGAGAAAAAATTACACGTTTGCTGGACGCAACCCCACAATGTTGCCCTGAGGTGGAGGGCGCACCCTCGGCACTGGCAGTGTCCAATAAGATTTAAAAGTAGGATCCGGTCCCCTGTTAATTTTTCGTCTAAGTGGGCGGCACGGGCAACGCGTATTCCCTCTATATCATTTTTATGCGAGTTCTGTTAACCCTCGCGAGTTAAATTGCGCATCACCGCGGATTTAATATCAATTTTTATCGCTCACCAGGCGTGCAAACACAGGCCAGATTAATTACGCTGTTAAAATAATATCTGAAAATTCATAAATCAATTTAAAACTAATAAATTTACTTTACAGTAATAATTTAACAGTGGACTGGTGGTTTGAAAAATTTATTCGATAAAATAAAAAATCTTGACAATTCGATCTTTAATTGAAACAATCAATTACCATTTAACATCTCGGGTGAAAAAAAAAATTGTAATCATCATGATCTTTCCAAATTTTCAAAAAATTTCCCAAAAATAAAATTGTTTTGTTTCCCGATTTTTTTTGTTCCAAAAAAAAAAATCTGAAAAATTTTCCCGAAATTTTTGGAAAATTTGTAAAAAATATTCCGATTACAATTTTTTTTCCTCGGGATAAAGAACTCAATGATCATGAATGTTCAAGACCTCTGGTGAATTCTCCGAAAATTTTTAATCAAAATTGCCTTGAAACTCTCCTAATTGAAAATTCAAATACCTGAAACATCAAGAAATTTTCACGAATGCCGTAACACCAGTGTGAATATTCATTGTTATGCCCCTCGCATTAGCAAAAATGTAAATTAACTAATAACAAAACTTGAATACGGGTAAATAATTGATCGTGACATGCGGCCGTGAATATTATCGCGTGGAAAATTGAAAAGGAATGAAACAAATGATAATTTCTGTCTATCACCTCCGCAGGTACCGAGGACTAAGGAAGGGCGAGAGGAAGGTGCGATCACGCGAGAAGAAACTTTGCACGCGGACTTAATGGCGGTATTGTGCTATAGAGCGAAGCGTTTGTGAATCTCACGAGACGTTACAACCCAAGTACGTATGTAAATTTATTCGTGGATATGCGCAAGCAGAAAAGAGGTAATGATCCGTCTCGTGTCTTCCCCAAGCCAACAGGGAGCATCTTTTTCCCTGTCTCATCGCAATATTACTTTTATTTTTCATCATTTTTTTTTCATCTAAAAGAAAAAAAAATCTCGTCTCACCCTGAAACCAGTGGCAAGTTCGTCCGGGCAATAAATTTCACGGTTGACTCTTGAATAGAAATAAAATCGAGTGGCGCTGAGTGGCAACAATTGTTGCAATAATGTAATTGGTTTTTCTAAGAAGTAATTATTGAATTGAATCTCGTACGTTATTTCTCACGTTTCGTAGATCGTGTCAATTCTATCTTGAATATTGACTGTTCAATGATGAAACTTGCCAATTACATTGTCAATCACTCAACAATGAGCAACAGAAAATTATGAGAAAATCTCACCTTCTTCAGTGCAGCAGCCCAGTAATGTAACGACATTGGGATGATTACCGAGCTGCTGCATTATCTCCAATTCTCTGACTAAGTCCTCCTTCTCTCTGGCTGATGCCCCTTCCTTGACGGTTTTAACAGCAACGAGTCGGGTTGTACCCTGATGACCAGTTAAATCATCAGCCTCGGCTTTCCATACCTGGCCGAAATTACCCTGGCCCAGCACCGTCTGGAGTCTCAATTTGTCACGTGGAAACTCCCACCGGGACTCCAGCGATGATGGAGGCAGTGGTTTTTCTCCCTCGTGACACTGATCAGATAAGAGTTAGATATAAAAATTAATGAATAAACCACGTGAGGAATTTTAATCATGCTGATGAATGTGGTAATTCATCAAATTTTTCTCGAGCTCATTCTTGCTCACCAGATGCTGTATCCTCGGTAATTTCGTTATCGCTTTTTCAATCGATGTCTTGAAATCCCCATTCTCGAGATTCAGGGCGTCTTTTCTGCAGCTTATCTCAGATGACGTGTCCGACTCCTCCAGCACCTGCATAAGCAAACAAAACGTCAGACCTCTTCTGCATTTAATCTCAGTACAATTGAAATGACCATTGTGCCTTGTTTATATTTTTCAAACAACCGAGTGTCAATTGCACGTCAATATGCCAGACAATTACAATGCAATTGTCTGCAGAAATTATCTGATGATCGGTTCCATAAATCTCGTGATGTTCGGCGCCAGTTAATTACGATTTCCCGATTGGCTCATGATCAAGACAATTTTTTCTTTTAAATTGGGTAGGGGAATTGAAAAAAAAAAAAACACGTTATTCGAGTGCCTCCACGGTGAGACTCATGGATATCCTTGAGAATGTCGAATGAGAGGAACTGCGCGTCTTCTCTGGTGTGAGATAAATTTGTCTACCAATACGTCCAGGTGATAAACAATTACGTCGGCAATGTACGAGGGCATCGGTGATGCCATTAATTTTTTTAAAAGCCCTCGGGGACACCAGAGGCCCATGATACCGCCAATTTCTCATTTTCACGGTGTGTTAACTTGATTGTTCACGAAACATTGGATTCATCGGTGGAAATAATCTCGTTTGGTCATCTCGAAGTTGTGGTTACCCCAGAGGCTATGGATACTAAAAAAAAATCGCGTGGATCACCAGAGGACATTGAAAATCCCGTGGAAACAAAGGGAAAAATCAAGGGCTTCATTTAATCTTTTTTTTTAACAACCCACGGCTTTGTTAACAGCAAAATAGGGGCCGATGGAACGAATTTCGATCGTAAAGAGTGAACGTGGGCATAAATTATATTTCACTGTTCGCAACGAATGGAGAACGAACGATCAATAGGCAATACCCGAAGTGAGATAAAAATTTAATCTCTCAACCGTTGTAAATTGTATCGAGCATCGAGTAAACCCAAGACCTTGGATTTTTAAAACCAGCGTGAATATTTAAATCGAAAAACTTCTCGGTGAAGTTCTAATATGGAAAATGAGTATTATCACTTATTCGGCCTCGATCCTTGGCCTCCTCTCGAAATAGACAAAGCTTCGATTGTTATTAAAATTTCTCGCTGTCTCGTTCTTCAAGATTAATGCAAGTGACATCGATATGGAAACTGATAGTCATTATTAGCCCGCATTCTCCATTGGATATCATATCATCGTGTCTAATCCTGGATAGTCATTAACGTTAATTGTGTTATTATCCCCAGACCCACACCATAAGTGCAGAGAGAGATAATATTTATTGTGTTCACGAGGATGTACGACCTCGTCATCGGCAAGGCCATTCGGTAATTCCAATTGATTTTTGACGGTACTAATTTATTCATCAATTCACCTCAAGGAAATCAACGCGCCTCATCTTCCGTATTCACATGAAATTGATTATTAATGCCTTTGATATCCCACTGCATCCAAAAATTGCAGGGGAGAAATCAGGTACAAGGATGACACGTTTAAAGCAATCACTGGCCTCAATCGCAGGACAAATTTGCCGTCTTTACATTGAGATTTTAATCACCGACAATCAACCGAGGAAGAGGATTCAACCACACACGTGGGTCAAAGCGCATCAGCAACTCTGTCATTACGATCTTATCCGTCGAGTGAATTTACAATCGCATGTCTCAGAATTTACCGAGATATATTTTTTCCATCTTCAATATTTCAATGGCATAGCTACACCTACACATCAGTCAAAAAAGCGTCGCGGTAGAAAAGAAAAAAAATGAAAAAAAAAGAGGAAATCGAGTCAAGGAATTTTACGACACGCTTGCTCGACTCCGAGACCGCTCGTTATCCACGCCAGTGTCATAATTCACGGGATTGTCCCAGCAAAAAGGGTATATCAAATATAACTCTGATAATGAACACTGATGGCTTACCTTTCGATTTCTAATGATCAGTCTTCTGAGGATGAGCCCAACACCAACAGCTATTGGAAAGACAACTAATGTGGCTAGGATATAACTAACAACTGCAACAGTCTCCTGGGTGGCCAGGGTATCACCGTCGTGCCTCTTCGTTATTACTTCACTGGCATTGAATGGATCCCTCGGGCTCTCCGCAATCATACCAGATTCAAAATAACTCGTATTCAATTCTGGATGATATCCACTATATTCTGGTGGTCCTGGATTATAATACATCGGTCTCGCTCGTGTTTTATTCATGGAAATCGATCCATTCATCCATTTTCCAGTCTCCAGCACTTCCCGGTTCATCTCTTGTCGATTTTTATTCACTCGTTGTGCACTTCCAGGTCTGCCATCCTTGGAAATGTCCTCAGTTGTTTTCATTGTGGCAGCCTCCGTTGTGGGTGTAGATGTCGTTTGGGGTTGTTGAATCGTTATCGTGGGTGGATGGTCTGCTGGAATTTTCAGTGTCACTGAGTTCTTCATCGTGTCGTTCAAGATATTTGAGTTGTTGTAGAGTTGCATTATGGGAAGTACATCGTCTTTATCCTTGGTTTTATCGGAGAGATTTCTCCCTCTGACTTCTGGTGATCTCTCGCCTTGCTTGGACGTTACCATTTTGGGGGCAGAGGTCGTCGAGTTGTTGGGCCTCGTAACTTGAGGGGGTAGTGTCGTCATGGCTGATTCAGGCTTCAAGGTGGTCTGGGCTCGGTACATCTTCTGGATTTCGGATGGATCAAGCTCTTTGTCGATGCCGAAGGGTTTCTCCGGATTTTTTCGACTGTCTGAATCAATGAGCACCTCCTCCGGCTCATCCCTGGTGACCTTATTCAATCCATTGAGAATCACCGGTGTTACCGGAAAAACCGAAGGTTTAGCAGTTGTCGATGGACCTCTCATTGTTCCACCAATAGACCCCAATGTCGAGGCTTCTATCGTGCTCTCTGTCGAGGTCTCCATCGTACCGTTTAATCTATCCCCAGGTTCACTCGAAATAGTAGTAACGAGCAATCTGTCATTATCCCTGATGTTTTCATCACTTTTATCATTGAGACTCTCCGGTGGCACATCGACGTTTGTAAACGACGACAGGGTCGTCTGGTCTTCAACATGTTCCCCCATCGCGTCAATATTCACTTGTTTGTTATGCAAACTCACCTCATGGTCACTCGTTGTTTTATTGTCCATTGACCTGTACCCAGTATATCTCTCCTCACTCTTCAAACCCTTGATTCTCCTTGTCCCTGTATCACCACGTCTCCTCTTGAAATCTCTATCGTCACTGATGCGTTGATTCAACACAGCACTAGCTGACTTTCTCATAAATCTCCTATCACCACTGCTCTCCCTTTCATTATCACCTCTCGATGTGTAATTCCACCGCACAGTCGCACCATTCAAATCAATATCACGTGTTGTTGATATTATTTCAGTTGTTGAATTGATTACGGTTGAGCTCATTTGATTATTCTCCGATGTATTTCGATGTTGTGGCACTTTTCTAGTGCGTTCATCCACTGGCGTTGTGGTTTGAACCGCGGTCGGATCACCACTGGCACCAACGGACGCGCGCGCCGCCTCTATACCTACTACGCCAGAAAGTGGAGGAAGGAGTCCAGCTCCATCATCATCGTCCCCTTTTTTCTTTTCCTTTTCTCCTTCCGATATCACTGTTGTCACTGCTGTTGTCTTCTCACTTGGCCCAGGTCCAGTGTAGTTGCGCAATAGACGAGTTACATTTGTTATAGTGTACGTGTACGGATGCATCTGTTGAACTGAAGCAACAGGTGGTTCTGTTGCGATTAAAACCGTTGAATTGTCCAGTGCTCTCGTTAATGGGGTTGGGGGTGTAACCTGTGGTGGAATCGATGAATTAACTAAACTCATTCTCTCGTAAATTCGAGAATTATCCATTGGCTCCGTTACTACTATTCTCAGGGATGAGTGCTGATGGGAATTTGTCGTCGGTATATTCGTAGGGTCATTGAACCCCGGCCGAACTGTCGATGCTAATTCAGTTGTCACCTGATCAACTGACAGCCACGTTGACAGTCTCGTTAGACGACGCAGCTCATCTGGCTCCGATGTTGACATTACGGAATTCAACTCGGTACTTGTTTTTTCACCGTAATTAGGTGCTCTCGTGGTAATATCCTCGATTTCATCATCCATTCGGGATATTTCGCTCTTCTTACTTCTACCAAATTTATCCTCACTCTTCACTGGCTCGTCATTCTGGTAATCATCCATTAATTCTCCGGGATATATCGTGGTTATTATGTCAGAACCAGTCATTTCACTCTCGGTACCGTTGTCCTGGTGTTCCACCCATGGAATCTGGGTTGAATGTTGTGTGTTGTTGGCCCAGTGGGTCGAACTTCCTTTTCCCTGATCGGTAATCACCAGGTGGTTCGCGTGAGCGGACGAGTCCACATCTGTATCGCTCGCATTCCTATTCGTTAAAATTACATTCGTGACTATTGTCGGATCTGATGGTCTCACCGGTGGTTTTCTGGAGTAAATACCATTATTACGGTATACATTCTTCATCTTCAAAATTTTATTCCTCTCGATTATTGATTTTTCCGACGCAATGTCCATTTCCTCGTTCATAATCACTTCGAGCTTTGGTACTGTGCTCAGTGTTGTTGTGAATCTTTTGGGATTGAATCTACGTCGAGAGTTGGTCGACGTAGGTGAGGCTGACGTAACTTCCACTGAATTATTACTCGTTGTATTCTCGGGATGAATTTTTTGTCCAAAATACAGGAACTGCGTCATGTCCTCCACCGGTATATTACTTTCTACCGGTCTGAAGTGATTGTAAAGAGATTCTGGCATAACTACAGTATTTTTCCTCCTTGAAACGTCATCCGTACTCTTCTGGATTCTCGAAGATATCGATGAGTTTCTCGGTCCATTAATATCTTTTTTAGACACCACAGTGTTATTCAACTCTGGAACAAGCGTCGATGTGCTTTCAATGGGTTTTGAAGGTGCCTCGATAATTTGCATTGTAGACGGTGTTATCTCCATGTCCTCATCGTCCTCCACTATTTCTGCTATCTGATCTCCCATTGGTACTGTGACGAAAACACCGTGTCGTGTCTCCTGCGCCTCCAGCATGTCCAGGGAATCCTTCGATCCATTGACAACGGGTTTTTGAGTTTTAGCGCCGATAGATCTTGATGCAAGAATTTGACGTCTTCTAGCTGCAAGACTGTGACGTAGGGCTTGCTCTCGTTTTTCTTTACTGGCTAGAGGCTCGGCATGAAGGGCCATCCTACCTTGTTTGTGGTCACCAATTCCATCTGCAATCAAAACAGAAAATGTATCATTTAAAAATACCAGTGAGTAGCGGTTCACTGGAAAAACTTGTTCCACATCTTTTTTTTTTAAGAGTCAATACAACGGTTTTCTGCACCATTTAAGTGGTACAATCTCGTCTCGCATGATCAACCGATCCCAGTTGTATCGTTTCAAAATACCGGAAAAATATCACGATAGACGGATTAAAAAAAAAAAAAATTATCGTTGACTCACGTCACGATTCCGTGATTCAAAGTGCATTTACAATGGTTCTAACGGTCATGTTTCTCTTGTCCAATTCTATCGGAATATTCTTGCAATGTTGACGGCGCCATCGCAAGGTTAAAGGGCACTTGTAATTTACCGTCTCAAGGTCACAAGGTTCACGAACCAATGTGCGGTATCTCTTCATTATATGAACTCTAGGTGGAGTTTCATCCGACGGTTTTATTGGTCATTTGACCTGATCCCGACTTGTGGTCGGGTATAAACAGAATCCCGTCCTGACGTTTCTCACTATTTCCTGGGTAATCTACATTATTCAAATTAATCGAATTGATTTTTCTTTTCGAACGATCTGGCATTGATCGTCAGCCTAATCGCCAGCATCGACAATCATCATTTACCGTGGGAGATAAAGATCAGATGAAAATTTGTTTGGACAGTGAAAAATCATGATTTATTGTCACGATTCCCGGCACCTGATCAAAGCGGCTTGACAATGAGCATGAGGTCATCTGATGTACCGCTATTCGAGTCTGATAATGACAAATGCTGTGGTAACAGAAACCCAAGCATCACGAATGGAAAATAAAAACGCCTCATCTAGTCTAGATCATCAGTCAGAATTCGGAGGCACCAGGACAACGACCACCGGACTCCAGGAAGAAATTGGAGAAATTCGTCAGCTACTGGTTTGAAAACGGAAGATAATGGCCACCCGTTGAGCCATTACCAGCGACATTTTCTCGCGTTTGTCTTGAATATGCACTGGCCACCATAACAACGAGACTGTATGCCACCTCCTGCCCCATCCTCAGCTCTCCAGCCTCCGAGATGGTACTTACACCCACTCAATCGTAAAATATACATTCCACATTCCCTGAACATTCGAAAGGGAGAGGGAAGATGATGTACGTACACACGAGTTGTTCTCGTGGCCCTACCATTTGACATGCATCATGAAATACACACACTTGTGAATATTCCAAGTGAACCTGCTGAACGGTTGTGATAAATCATCCTGAAGCATGTAAAATGGTGTCCATCCTCGCTCCCTGATGTCTCCCCGGGTTGTGAGAATGAAGCTGTTGTTCCAGCTGTTCAATATATCGAAAATTTTATGATCCCACTCGACGAAAATCAACTCAAACCTCTTGAGGATTCACCAATGCAGCAATGTACCAATACACCAATGGAGATAACATCGTTGACCTGCATAAATGACCGTTGAATTTTCATCCTCTATTGGCCACCTATGGAGAAGCCTCACTTTAGCCACTTAACGACGGACAAAGTACTACCGAGGAGCGTTTCACCCAAGTGGCTTTCGTGATGTAAGTATAATGAATACCAAAAGCCGCTCCCTAGCTGGTGGCTTCCTCTTTGAGGCTTTTCTTTTTAGATGTTGGAACGCACAAGATAGAGGACCTATCGCCTGTCCACTCTCCCTCTAACCGTAAATACGCGTTTAACTCGGCTTTCTATGCACCAGCATAAACATTCATGTCGTAGTCTAGGTGGATAGGGGATAAGTGTTGTTTTGTTGGAATAATGGCGAATATAAACATGTCGACATTGGGGGACATTATTCTGACGCTCTCGTTTGACTTCAACTCGGAAAACCAGTGATTCACCACTTCTGTCTATCAGCATCATCAATCATTAGTCAGCCCTTATGCTAAATGCAAATATGTAATTCAAGCGTGTACCAGATGGAATGTTTATCTCACTGGATGACACATGGTCATGTCATTCTTCAGGACCTCAGCTCATGGTCATTTCATTGTCCTGGCTTCAAGACACTTTATATGAGTCTATTTCTTTTTTTCTTTTCATTTCTTTTTTTAGTCCACTCCTATAACGAGAACGGGAGCGACACTGACCTTACTCATACACGTGTTCGCATAAAATATTACGGCTCTTTATGCGGTCACGCCGCAACGATAACCCAGAGACACGTGTATTATGTGGATGTGTGCTTGGGATGGCCACCATAGGGATAGGCCATGTTGTTTTTTACACGTTGAGATCCGGTATCGAGATTTCCCTTTCTATTTATCCCCGTGCAGTTGGGAGAACGGAAAAATTGGGGGAGTTGTCGGAAAGGGATCGATTGAGGGTGGGAGAGGAATCGGTGGAATCGGTGGAATCGGTGGAATCGGCAGGAGAATTTCGCGATCTGTTATTTAATTTCACTGCAACAATTGTAGTTGTCTGACGACTTACAGGGTTGGAATTATCTTTGAAGTTTCAGGTAAAAATGGAATTTTTCATTATTCTTCGGGGATGAATCATTTGATTTATCGAATATTCTGGGGATTCTCTATTTTTCCATCGACATGGCATTGGAAAATCGTGAAACATTTAGAAATTGAATCGTAAAAAATGACGAGACATCAATTTCCCAATTAAACAATAGGAGAATGATTCGTCATTTGCTTGCGTGAATAATTCCATCCTTTTTCTTGAATATTCATCTCCACGTGGACAACCTCTCCACCAAAACACCCAGTTGATGTTGTTTGTTTAAAATTTGTCCTCAAAAAAAGGGAAAAAAAAACCCGACTCCTAAGTAGTCATTTAGCTGCTCGTATATAGTCCCTCGAAATTTGTTGAATTTATATTGAGCCCCACAAAATAGTCTCCAACCTGAAAAGGAGTTGGTTGGCGCGTGAAATATTATGATTCTTTGTGCGGTCACGTCGAGAAGATAACCCTGAAGACCCATGGAGACGCTCACACAGCCGGTCCTGGCTATCCTTGCAATTCTCCGAGAAAAAGAAAAGATTCTCAGAAGACTAGATTCACGAATTAGATTCTCCTCTCCCTTTTGTCCTGTCGACTTCTATTATCATTCGTACGAACTCTTTCTTCAGCAAGTAGAAGAGGAGAAGAATATTTGGAGAGATAGTGCTAGCAGATGGAATTCATTTGTGGAGAGGTGAATAAGGACTTGAATTTCCGATGATAATTGGACTCAACATCCCCCCCATGGGTCAGCCAACATTTAACCAATGATTATTAACATTCCTTTGTTTAAAATGTGAAAGAACAGTTGGTACAGGCTGATGAACAATCACGCGATCGGTTGTACATATCTGCGTCGTCTTTCGTGGAGCGTACATCCGTTTCCGGTGTGTACTCTGGTGATTCTAGAGGACACTCCGGTCACCAAGTGCCTATAACTCCCGACGATAATTATGTAACGCGATCCACGATATTTATGCTGAGAGTATCCAACACTAACGACAAAGGAAAAACCGGTATTTTTCCAGCTCGTTGGATAGATAAGAAATCTCAAACTCGAGAAGGGAAAAATACAAAGTGGTCAAACCCTCAGGCCCAACGAGAAAGCATTTTGCGATTTTTACTATCGAACATTGGCATCTGATTCGTCATGACATGTTTCCATCGTCAACGCCTCATCAACGTAACCGATCGTTCAGTTACGCAACTCCTGGTGATGCTAATTCCAGGTGGAATGAAGACAATAGGGATTAACGATCGCTTCCTCAAAGGATCTTGAATAAATCGGTTGGAATAAGTTGGGTCATCCCGGCACGCGCGGATATCTTTAATCTATTCAAGTGGAAAATTCGCACGTGAATTTTCTGACTGACCGGCAATAATCGGATAAATGACCGAGTAAAGGGATGGGATTGAAGGTGAGCAGGCGCTTGTGATCAGGATCATTGACTCCCCCAGGACGTAATACGATCCTCTCCCTCCCACCAGATCCTATCGGGACAATTACAATAACAATGGCCGACCGGTATCGACGATCGGTGCCCTTGATTTTTATTCAATGACTCCTGGGATTTATCCCAGTATTTTTGGTGACTCCGGGGATCAGTGACGAGTCATTTAATCAAGAAAGACCTCCAATCGGCCAACAGGTCTTTTTATTTTCTCGTCGATACGGAAAACCGGCTAGCGCGCATGTCGTACCTCTTCTGGGTCGACGAGTCTACCATAACGGTATCATACCCTCAGCCGAGAGTTATCGCGTATCGTTGGAACGCGATATCAATGGTTCACCCGATTTCGCGGGATAAAATCGGTAACCGTAAATCGGAAAAAATCGGCGACACGGGGGAAAAATGTGAATATCAAACCGTGAAAGTTTTTACGTTTACGTCGATCGGTTTGATGAATTATCGGTGCATTCGGGTGAAATGCAACATGAGAATTCAAACCAGTGGCTTCCAAGGCCCATGCTGGATCAAGATCATGGTCGTATACCGCTCGCCATTCCCCCGAGACAGTTATTCGCGGTCAATGCTCGAGCAATTTCCTATAATCACTATAGCAATGCCCCGAGGCGCAATTTTTTTTCATTCTCATAACTTTTTTCCTTATTTTTTTTTACTACCCTCCGTTCACCACACCGGGAGAAATATCCAATAGAAATTACCGGAGAGAGAGGGTAAATATTACGTTTTGAAGTGTAATCCGAGAGTGAAGTGAAGTCCAATAAAAAGTGGAAGCTGCAACAGAAATTGGATGTAAGAAATTACTCCACTAGTTGCTCCGCCATTTTTCCCCAGTGATTCCGATTTTTTAAGTTGCAATTCAATTTTTATTTCCATTTTTTAAAACAATTATCAATTCTAATTCATGAGATTTTCACTTTTCTCTGAGATTTCACTCGTTTGGGTAAACTAACGCTCCAACTGGATACTCCAACAAAAAAAAATAACAAATAACAAATTAAATAATATAAATTAAAGAAGAAATAATGAATTATTTCATTTCTCTCAATTATTAATCGCATCGACCT